GGTACAGTCGTATGTTGACAAGCTGATGGGTAGGCTCTCAGAAGCTTCTGACCGAAACGAGACCGTGGATCTGGTCCGTTGGTACAACTTTACAACATTCGACCTCATTGGAGATCTCGCATTTGGACAGTCGTTTCAATGTCTAGAGAGCGGAAACTACCACCCTTGGGTGCGGATGATCTTTGAGAACATCAAATCCTTCACGTATCTAATGGTTGCGCGGCGTCTCGGGTTTGAGGGGCTGGCACCATATATAACCCCGGCACATTTGGCAAAAAGCGCTCGAGAGCATGCCGAGCTTACGAAGGAGACAGCAAGGAAGCGAATCGCAAGTAAGGATACTGAAAGAGAGGACTTCATGTCGTACATCCTCCGCCACAATGACGAGAAGGGCATGACGGAGGATGAGATTATTGAGAATAGCAACATTCTCATCATAGCTGGCAGCGAAACTACAGCGACTCTACTCAGCGGTGCCAGTTTTTACCTCTTGAAGAACCCTGAAAAGATGGAAAAGGTAGTTCAGGAAATACGATCCTCCTTCACTTCTGAAGCCGACATCACGATTCAGAACGTCAGCCAGCTTCCATACATGATTGCCGTCCTTCAGGAGGCCTTACGCATGTGTAAGGCGTACTTTCCCCGGATAACTTGAAGAACTTAGTGCTGATATAGTATAGATCCTCCGGTACCATCAATCTTACCAAGGGTTTGCCCCAAGGGCGGGGAGTACTTGGAAGGTTATTGGCTTCCTGAGAATGTGAGTCTCTACCTTTCAACGAACTTGACATGTATTAACCTCCGCATCACAGACAATGGTAGGGGTACCACAATTGGCAGCATTTCAAAGCGCACGCAACTTTCGGAATCCGACCAGTTTCGTCCCTGAGCGCTGGCTCGACGATCCGGAGTATGCCGGCGACCAAAAGGCCGTGGTGCAGCCGTTCTCGATGGGCCCTCGGAATTGTGTTGGGAAAAAGTGAGTTTAGCCCAGCCTCATAAGAGAGTCAACACATGGAGAACCAAACAGTCAACTGATCATGTGAAAATAGTCTTGCTTATGCTGAGATGAGACTCATCTTTGCACGCCTTTTGTGGACATATGACATCGAGCTGATGCCAGAAAGCGAGAATTGGAACCATCAGAAGATTTTTGCGCTATGGGAAAAGAAAGAACTCAAAGTGAAATTGACGAAGCGTGTTGGATTGCCGGAGCAGAAGGCTTGAGCTGGCTGTCTTTGCCTCCACTATATGGACACTGCATGTGTGACTGCATTGTGTCGTTTGAGAAATGACGGGATTGCATTTTGGGCTTATGTAGGTTGCTTATATTTATGATATTCTCTGCTTCATCTATTGTGTATGTTTCATAAGCTTGGGATTATGTGCAAAAGTGTATACTTCGCCTTGTGCATGTGAACCGACTCATGGAGCGGCCTTTCGTTAGCCCCAGCCACTTTATTGTTTCATTTAGATAACAGTCTCTCTGATACGAACATGCCCCAATCATGGTACATTAGATCGCTTCTTTGTTACCAGTTCCTTGGTGGCTGCTCCGTCTGGAATCGGCATCTGGGGATGGACGCGTGGAGGTCGCCCCAGCCAGCGGTTCCCTGTAGTTGCCTCGACTCAGGTTCAGGTTAGTGGACTTCCGGGGGGTGAGCCACTGTCGCGTGCCCTAACTGCAGGCGGCCCGTCCACTAAGCGCGCTAGAGCAGCAGCCGAACAGCGACCCCACCCACCGTAATGTAGCGCGTCTCTCAGGCGGTGGTTGGTTCTGAGCAAACACCGAAGATCAAATTGGATGGCGATGATCCCTTCACCATCGCCACATCGACGTGACACCCATGGCCATGTCCCCCGCGCTATCCGAGCTGGATCCTGCCGGCCTGTCAGATCTGCGAACAGAATGGCCTTGTCCTCTACTTGTTGTGAATAGCTGCGTCGTGCTATATGTCACCCTCAGTAATATACAGCCGCCAGCCAAGCGACACGCAGATTGCAGGCTGATAGAGAGAAGCTGCATGATTCAGTGCATCAAGGGGGCAAATCAGAATGTCCACGTCCAGCCCCATCATACACCAGTTAGTTTGGCCACTCATCTTTGTCGCTGATCCAGTATACGCGCGAGGCCCTGGTCATGGCTGTATATGTATGTAATGTAACTACGCGTCCTGGCAGATGCTCCTGGCCCAGCAGGCAATATCTACCTCGAGCCGGCAGTAGACAGCGGATAGTCGTAGTACAACCCATGTGAATATTGGAAGTATCAATACCAGAGATCAACACAAACACGCAAGCTCGCAAACGCCTACCACGAAAGTACACAGGCCTGAGCCCGGTGCGTGCGCCAAAGGGTCAGCAACTTAATTGGGGGCCCTGCTGGGAGCCATGTCGTCTGAACGGCTTCTGAGTGGCCGGGGGAATCCTGAAGCCGTCCGTTGTCGGCGTGCCACCAAAACATGCAGCCAGTAGTACCAAGTGTGTCAGGTAGCTATCGCCACCGGCAACATCAACAGACGCCTCAGCTGCTTGTTATCAGGCTCGTCTGCCCCGCCTTGTTTCCATCTCCATTCCATTCTTCTTCTTGGTGAATCACGACTCCTGCGAGCCAGGAATCGATTTACTATCTTTATCCATCTCTAATCAACCAGGCCCAAGCCTTCCCATCCGCCATGCATCGCCGCAGCGAATCCGCGCTCTCGACGTCCAATTGCTCGCCGCCGTCCTACTCGGTCAAGCACTGGAGCCCGTTCTCCGAAGTCCAAGAGGATAGATTCTCACTGATTGAGCCCAGCGAAGCGCCCAGCGAAACGTCCACCGAGCCCTCGACCACTGTCTACACGGCCGAGTCCCGGCGAACCTCCTTCACGCCCACCATCGAGGGCAGCTGGAATGACCTCGACGGCTACTACTCGGTGCCCTGGCCCGGCCAGACCTTCATGATCCTCGAGGCCGAGACGCGCCGGACCATCGCCCTCACCGACAAGGGCATCCGGCTCAAGAACGCCATCGACGTCGAGAGCAGCGACTGCCACTTCCTGTGTGTCGAGCGCGACGGCTACTTCGGCTTCCTCAACCCGGCCCGCGGGCGGTACATAGGCCACGACGGCGAGGGCAAGGAGGGCATGCGCGGGACGGCCAAGAAGCTCAGCTGGTGGGAGTACTGGGTCGTCCGCAAGCACCCGGATGGTGGCTACTGCCTCCTCGTGCCCGAGGGCCGGTCCCTCAAGCTCGTCGTGGTGGCCGAGGATGGGGAGACACTGGCGAGGGCAGACCACGGCATCACACGGTGGAATTTTGCCCGGCTGTCCGGCCAGCAGACGCAGCAGTTTGCCGGATATCGCCACTCGACCTGAGAGGAATCTCGCGTCGTGTCCCGTCTGCCCGGTGCAGACATGTGTCAATGAACTGGTTGATTTTGAGCGTGATTTACTATTTCCCCTCCCCGTTCACTTTATATCTACCCGCAGGCGGTCTACAGCAAGGGAGGCTTATATACCTTAATTTGGATCCTGCCATCTAACTTGGCGTTTCCGTAATATAAAAAAACATTATAGGGCCCTGTCTTTGGCCCTGATGCATGACAGTCTTTTCGTCTCTCTGCCTATCCGTGACTACCTTCCGCCATATTTGATATCATCGGACCTTGGGTCGCTGAATATCCGATTCCCCGAAGTTGCTATATATATTTATATTAGATCTTAAAGATAGACCATAAATACCCAGGCGCCTCGCCATTATTCCGTGGCATTCTAGGTGAGCTTTCGTAGATCGGCCCGTGGCTTGACCTTCACTTCGCCTTTCCTGTCTAGACTTTTGTAAAACACCATGTTTGGCACTAGATCGGCGCGTCACAAAAAGGGTGAAAACGACCGTTGCAAATATCCAATTAGGACAACTGAATGACCATATAACTTGGTTCCCTTAGGTTGACATTTCTTGAAAGACAAACGAAACGAATGGAAAACGGGTTTCAGAGCACAACGAAGCTCTTGAAGTACATTTTCGATAATGATGATTGTGTTTGTATAACCTTCGTTTAGAATCTCTGCGTTCTTAGTATGTTAGCTCTCAAAAAGGTTGCTCGTACCCTCTTGCTCTAAGTGCTATGTTCGAGATTTTCCTTTTTCGGGTTTTGTGCACTGAAAACAGATCTTAGGGACCAACTATATTGCCTCTACTTCTGAATGCTTCATTAGATTCAGTAGGTTTCTGGCTATTGTTTCGGTCTCTAATCCCACCTACCTCAAATATCTCAGAATACTAACCGAGGCAGACATGAGTCGCGCTGCCTAGATAAGTTGCCTGATTCCAAGAAGCCCATGACAGGATCAAAACCGGCCGAATCCAATACTCTACGATGTGATCCAAAACTGGAATTATCACCGAAGGGTAGGGCTGTGTGGGTGGACCCGATTGCAACATCAAGCACCACCACTAGCTTGAGCAGTCTTGCGTCCTTCTATGTTTAATCTCATAATAGATCATCGGCCAGATTATAGTTTAATAAGAGATGTATGTAATACCTGGTGCTAATTATCAGCGGAGAGTGTAGCTCTCTTGAGCCTTCTTCGTTCCGTATGCCGCATTTCTTTTTCCCTTCTCAATCACCTTTCTTTCATGTTCCTCAAGAGACTTAAGCATCTTTTTGTAGGGCTATTGATGCTGATGCCAAGAACAAGAATATTGGCTCCATAATTGCAGCCCTATCAAAGATAGGCAAATCACCCCATGATGTTACATTGGCATGGACAACCCGGCCTCCCTCGCTGTAAGACAGCTACATCAAGGCAGAATAATATTTACAAAAGCCCTTATCTCGTACTTCGTATTGTAGAAGCTTGGCCACGATACCTCTTTATATATGGCAGTTATTATTGCTTGCTTGCTTGCTTGCTCAGTTGCTCTGTCGGCTGAAGCTTTTGTTGTCAAGTTGTGACTAGCAAGAAGCGGAAACTCACAGTGCAGTCTACTTTTACCAGCTATCAAAACAAAACATGAGACTTGTTCATTGTCTTCGCTATGAGCTGCTCTTCCTCGCGCTTGGAGTATTGGCTAGTGCTAGCATGGAAGTAGTCAATGCCAACCCTCGAAAGTCATTCCAAGGCATTGCCCAAGTCCGGTCGGAGGAGCTACTCGGCACCTCTGACTTGGACACAAGGCTCGTGGAGCGCGCAGAGTGCGGCCTTGGCAAGAAGGTTTGCAACAATGGCTGCATTCCCATGCTGGCCACATGCTGCGAGACCGGAGGAGGATACTGCGATATCTCAGAATACTGCACTTCGGATGACGGATGTTGTCCTATCGGCAAGACCTGCTCTGGCACTGGTTCCTGCTCCAGCGATGAAGTTCCATGCGGGCCAAAGGGTTACTGCATACCCAGTGATGGAAATTGCTGTACGTCCGGGACTGGGTACTGCCCCAAGGTCAAATCTTGCATCGTTCGAGATGGCGAGACATTCTGTTCCTCCGATGGCACGAGTTATTCGTATACATTCAACCTAGGAAGCAGTTCACTCGCCACGTCCACAAGGTCCCTCACACTCGATCTTACCTCACTATCTTCGACCATCGAGAGGGCAACGACAACAACTGCAAGAACAATTGGGTTCTCATCCTCATTCCCATCAAGCTCAGAGGAAGATTCTAGCAGCACTACCAGTTCTGTTTTTGCTACTGAAAGCAGTGAGGAGGCTTCTACATCCATCATCGAGAGCACTGCGACGACTTCCGAGTCGAGCGTGACAACGGCAACCGAGGCTGCGGCGACAACGAGCCAGCCTGGGGCTTCCACAAGGGTCCAAGTTTCAGGTTTTGTCCTGCTCTCATGGTTGGCCGCTATGTACCTGTGGGCCTAGAAGCATGTTTAATGGAGGATATTGCGTAGACAGCGGCCGTTTTTACCCCAAGCACTGGCCTTCAATAGTTTTGCTTTATGTATCGTTGCCTTAATCTACCGAGTTATTCAGTAGTGGTTGCGACCATCTCTCAGGGTTTGGGGCGTCGTATGATCACAGGAGGTGAAGGAGGAACCCGCCCTGTAGAGAGCATTAATCAAGAAATACTGATCTTGGACCTTGACCTACGTAATTTCTCAACAGCGAAACAACATCTGTTCATCGCTGCAACTTTCATAGCCAACCTTTAATCGTCCTTGCGACAGTTGATACAGCCATCGGTCTCCCGCATGCACTTTCGCCATATCGGAGACCGCGAAGTAAAGTCGGCAATAGCCTTCATACATTCCTCCTTCTTATAATCACTCCCTGGCCAGCCGAACTTGCGATACAAATGCCTTACCCACCCAACCAGTTCTTTCGTGTCCCGATCCGACGCCGGCTCCCCTTCGCTATCCTTCGGGCCCGGATCATACTCGACCTCCAAGTCAATACCGGCATCATCCATGTCCTGAGGGTCCATCCAATTAATGAAGATGAGCTGCAGCTTTCGGATTCTCTCCATCCTCGATGCAAAGTACTCGCCGACGGGGAGCCTGACGCCGCTGCCGCATATAACAAACTGCTCGAAGATCTTGCCGGAGAATGTGTCCAGGAGGAGAACAACGCCGCCGGTATGGACGGTGTTGGCTACCATGACGACATGCTTGAAGTTGGAGATGCGATCCCCGTCCTCTGGGCCCTGCTCACCTTGCAGCTCATCCGCCCATGCCTCCTCGACGTCTTTCCTAGGGAGTTCCTCCGGGTCCAAGTCTGAGTAATCCACAGCATCGCATCTGTAGTCGAGGTTAGTGATGTCAAAGTGCCTGTGGGAGTTGCTGATGTAAGGGAGATGTCTCAGCACGTCGATGGCGAATGGGGTTTTGCCCAGGACGGCACAGGCCGCGGTCGTCATGGCCGGCCAGCCAAGAGCCGGCGGTGTCTTGACCGAGTCAGCTGGGAACTTGAGGCGCTGCAGTAGGCTGTAGTATTCCCGGAAGGGAGCGACGAGCAACTCGCGCAAGGCGGCTGTGATGCTGGGCTCGTTCGCCAGGTAGACCTCGTTGAGCTGGCGACAGCAGAGGCGAAGTGCAACTGCGGTTTTCAAATTGGGCATATGCCGGAAGATGTCGGCCTGAAGCTCGACAGGGAGCCCCATGAGACCGCCTGTACGTTGCATCTCGTACTTGGAGGACGATGACGATGTCGAATGCCCGGTCACCAACTGCTCAGACATGTTTGATTGGTGGCGTTGTTACCTGCTGATGTGATGCCGGGAGTGAAGGCTCAATCCTACTAAAAAAATAATGCTGACACAAATTCATGGTCTTGGAGGCTAAGATTACACCCAGGGGAAAACACGACTAGCTAACAGTAATATCAAACGAGACGGGACAGAGATAACTCGGCAATTGTTAAAAGGATAGGTAAGAATATTAATTATTAAATTAATTATGAGGATTGACGCTGATGGCTCTTGCTGGTCATATCTAGGGTTTGATCAGCAGAAGGGCCCCTCCGTTAACTGAAGGGTTTGGTGAGTTGGACAAGCTATGAAGAGTTGCATGGCCTTGTGCACGTGAGACGTCTTTGGTCGAGGGATAAGTTTTATTTATCACAATAAGCCACCATTGCAGCATAAAATGCGGGCAGTCAGCTGGTTTCATGTTGTGCAGCTATACAATTAGTGAGGAGATGTGGCCAGCAACAGAAGGCAGTAATGGCGGGGTAACAACTTGGCCTCAGTCGGGAATATAGAGCCTCTCTTGACAGATATACAAATAGAAAATGCTGGATATTCGCAACCTCTGAGAGACAGATAGCATTAGACGTAACAGATCTGAAAGTCTTTCAGGCATAACTGCCTGTTGAGACGTAGCTGCTGATGCTCCTTCAGAGCACAGAAGCCACGCACTAACGAAGCTCTCCGTAACAGTGTAACAAAAGTCGGAGATGGCACGGTCTTGGCATCAGGAACGAGTGGCCGAGACTCGACAAAGACCCCGCAAGTGAAACAGCACAACATTGCACAGCACAACCTCGCACAACTTCGCATAAAGTGGCACGGCATAGCACAAGGAAAGGGACGCGCGTACACGCCAAGACCTGCACCTCCTGGCTTTTGCATCTCAGTCGCGCCAAAAGACCCGGCCATGGCAGCACCCTTGCGCAGCGTGAACCGCTTGTGACGCCGTCTGTACGCCAGAGCCTGTTGGAATGGCCCTCAGACGCCACCCGAGACGTGAATTCCGCAAGCACTAGTTGGCCTGGACCTTCTCGTGGACGGTTGACTGACCTGACATGTCTGTGGTTTGGGCATCGCCTCCGTGCCGTGGAGTCGAAGCCTACAGACGCGATTGGCGGTCCCTGCAAGGCAATACTGCAGCTTGGCATCCTCCGCCAAGGGATGCTGTCGTGTCACTTGGCTGCAATTGGGTGTTGCTGGGGAGGAATTGCAATCAAGGTTTCTCCACGAGGACGATGGGAGACGCGACCTCGTTGTTATGCCGGTCTGGTCGCTGATGGGCTGAGCTGTGATCATCGCGGGGTTGCAGGTAGGTCATGTTTTGGAACGATGACATCACCCTGATGGGCATCGGTTTGGAAATCATGCGTGTTCAGAAGGTTCATGTTCATTTGCAACAGGTGTCTTCATTTAGAGGAGGTCCCTATCTGGACCAAGACTGCTCTCGCTAATCTGGTACTCTCTCATCCAAGCCCCCATTGCCTCTTTATTTCATTGATGTCTCGGTCGCTTTCTAGTCTACAATCACGATGCCACGTTAGAATGTGGGATACCAAGGTACAAATTGATGGGATGGGGGAGACATACTGAAGCTGAGGTTGCCATTGTCGTTGCCAATGCGCTCGGAGAGGTTGATGTCACGGTCATGGAAGTTTCCATCAACGTCACCGAGTCTGGCGCGGAGGATAGGCTGGCCGTCACCCTCGAGCTCGAAGCGAATGTCCTCGGCGGAACCAGAGAAGTCTGGGAAGGCATAGGTCAGCAGGAGAATCTCAAGAGGCTTGAGGGGACGAAGGTTGGTACTCACTGACGCCTCCCCACTCGAAGTTGCCGTTGCTGTTGCCAATGAAGTCGTCCAGGTTGATTCTGGACTCGCCGTTCTCAAGGTCGGCGACGAGGATGTGGCCCTCCTCGACGCGGATGTTTGAGGCACTGTGGTGGAAAGACATGATTGTTTGTGTATGTGGTTGAAAGTGAAGCGATATGTATGGATCACAGATAGAATCAGAGTAGTTTGACGAGGAGAATCAGATCGGATGCACGCAGAGGATGGGAAGGACGACCCTTATATAGACTTCCGACGAGACACTCTCGTCCATCATCCCAGAGCCACGGATGGACGTGCAACCCCTCATCTTGGCTAGATGATTGCGTATGCTGCAGCCAAGACCGCCTCCATAGGTCCCCTGATCCAACAAGCGAGCTCACTCCTGCTGTTGGGGCCGGTGCGCCATGTTGGGAACATCCAGACAAGCACACCACATGGCCACAGGATGTGCACGACTCTCCGACACGTCACAAAAGCCAAGGACAGGATGGGGAGGGGTGAGGTGAGGGGCACTGAAGCTCCAGTGGACGCTACAACTTTTAGACGTGCACATCAAAGAGGGGCAAGCGAGCCTTCCAAGGCGATAATCCCCATGCAATGCACTATCAATCCGGCTGGTGGGCAATAGAGGCGTTGCTAAGTGCCGTAGCTCGAGCCCGGCCGCCGTCCTGGTCTGACTATTGGGCCATCTGGAACCCAGAGCCAAGCCCAGGCTGGTGCCGGTTTGCCCGAGTGGCTGACGACAGCAAGAAGTGCGGCGCTTGCTGCTGCAGCTTGTGGATATCTTGGGCCTTGGTGGAGTGGCGGGGTAGCAATAGCTGAACATAGGCAGTCGGCTCGATCTTTGTTCAGCTTCATTGCCGTCATCAGGTAAGACGAGCAGTGAGAGCTCCTCTCCGTGGCCACTGGTGCGTGATGCCTCGTGCTGCTGTCCAATGATACGCCTGGCCGGCGGCTGGTGAGACAAGTAGCATCACGTTGAAGAGGGGTGGTCTTCTCTGGCGTTGCAAATCCCCAAGCTACATGATGCCCCGCCTCGATGATGAAAGCGGCATGTGAAATTGGGACATGTCTCGCACAATGGATGATGTAGATGACATATTTGCTAGCCTGATCTTCTCTCGACGTCAGTTTGACGATGCATTGTGTGTGCTCCTAGTGACAATGGCCGCCCCTGAAGGCTTAATTCCTCAGCTGCTTCTTGGAGCTGGACGCGTACGAGAGCTTTGGGAGCTCTAGCTATCGGGACGGACCGCCACTGAAAGGAAACGCCAAGCACATAGACAGCTCTCTAGTTGGGTCTCGACGTCAAATGGTTGGGAATGGCTGGAGTATCCTCTCCTTGGCGCTCCACCAGCAGCCACTCTGTGACAACAAGGTTCCTCGGCGACAGGGAACGTTTCACGGGGTCGTCTTAGTGGGCGAATGTGCATTTTCTTGACCGCCAAGGTCTTCAGCCCCAGTCAGGATTGATCTTGTGGCCACCGTGGCTGGTGTAGCTGAAGGAGGAGCTGAAATTGGAGAACAAGCCGCCAACATTGCTCGTTGAAATGTAGCGATTTGCATTGTATTTGCATTGGGTTTGTATTGAAGACTAGTGACTATCATTAAGTAAATTATGCAAAGAATGCGAGGGCATAATTACACAAACCCGAGGTCCATTCCTGGGCCATGCGTGGTTGGAGCCCGATATTATTGACTGTACGTGATGGCATCACTCCAGCGTCACGCTGTTGCTTTTCCTCGTCTCCGTCTCGTAGCCTCTCTTGCTCCCCGTCACCCAAAGCTCCACCTTGCGGCTCTTGCCCGCCTTCGTCTTGTGCTTGAGCTCGCTGCCCGGCGTCACCTTGAAGCGTGCGCACTTGGGTTTGCCGTCCACAACCCACTGTGCCTCCAGTACTACACCCGGGTCCCATCGCCCGACGGTCCCCTTGATGATTGATCCCTCGACCTCGATCGAGGGAGGCGCCTGGCGTGCCAGAGCAGCCTCGCGACCGCCCACTGAGATGACGTCGCTGAAGATGTTTCCGCGCCCTGAGGGTGCAGTCACCTCGGGCGACAGCGGCGTCTTCCCATCGGGGGCGTGGTCCTGAATCCAGCCGTACACCAGCTCGAGGTAGTTCCAGATCTCACGGGCCTGGTAGTTGCCGCCGTGCGTCTTCTCAGGCAGGATGGTAACATTGGCCCAGCCCACGCCGCCCTTGGCCTCGATGCGGTCCTGGAACTGCTTCACGCCCTCGTTGAGGTAGTAGTTGTCCCACTCGCCGACCCAGACAAACAGGCGCTCGCGCAGCGCCTCGCCCAGCTTGCGCTCGGTGTCCCAGTTCTCAAGGACGTAGTTTGCCAGGTCCATCTCCTTCCAGTACTCGACCGCCTCGGGGTAGATCTCGCCCGTGACCTTGTCCCAGGGCTCGAGGGGATACCCGTTCAAGCCCTGCACGCCGAACACGGCGTTCCAGACGTCCCACTGGTTGGCGGACCGCGACGACGTGCCGAAGACGAGCTCCCAGTGGTTCTCCTGGCGCACCGTGGCGAGGACGTGCTCCTTCTTGTCGACGAACTCGCGTATCGAGCCGATCTCGCTGCCGTCCTCGTTCCAGTACGCGTTCTTGTTGGTGTACAACGGGATGTCCTGGTGCTTGTGGAAGTCCAGCGAGTCCGGGTAGGACGAGAAGCAGGCGCCGAACAGGTCGGGCCGGAAGATGACGCTGGCGATGGAGATCCAGCCCCCCGTCGAGCCGCCCTCCTGGACGCGGGCGTACGGCTCGGCGATGGTGTTGAAGAGGGCGTCGATGTGGGGGATCAGCTCGTCATTGATTGCGTCGCCGTAGGGCCCCAGGTTGGCCGTGTTGACGGCGTACGAGTCGTCGTAGTACGGTGCCTCGTGGCGGATCGTGACGAGGATCATCCGCGGCGCCTCCCGCGCGCTCGTCGTCTGGTTGTCCCCCGGGATCACGCCGCTCTCCCACGCCTGGGAGAAGGCGGCGGTGGGATAGCGGAAGGCGCCGCGGCCGCCGGGCCAGTGGCCCTGCGAGTACATGACGGGGTAACGGTGCGTCTTGTTGCTGGCGTCGTAGCCGTGGGGGAGGAGGACGTTGGCGCCCACGTACATGTCGCGGCCCCAGAAGGCGCTGAGCTTCTCGCTGCGGATCTTGACGTACTTGAGGAACTCTGTGTCTGCGTAGTTTCCCTGGGCGCACTCCCCAATCTCCTTGCCGGTGAATGCGTCGACGGGGGTGACTTGGTCGAATGTGAGCTCCAGCGTCTGCTCGCCGCCGGTCACTGCCACGTTTGTCGCTGTGGTCTTGAGGCTGCCGAAACCATCGATGTTGGCTGATCCGTCGCCGCAGGGGAAGCGGATATTGATGGATGAGCCGTCGCTGCGCGTTGCATTCTCATACTTGTTGAGGAAGGCCTGGACGTTGTAGGTCCCAGCTGCGAGCGCATCCAGGCTCACTTCAGGATAGCCGTAGACCCCAGCAGTGGTGTTGTCATTGCTTCCCCCAGATAGCACAACGGTAGAGCCCTCGCTGAACTGATTCACGTTGAAGCCGTAGAACTGGTTGGGCGTGCTGGTCACGTCCGTGTCATCCAGAGGATCGACGCCTTCTGGCGCAAAGATGAGCACCAGGCGGCCGTCCACGGTGCCATTGAGGATGCCGTCAGCGACTGAGACTTGCACACGGAGCTTCTGGGCCGCAGCAATGGAAGGAAATGCGGCCGAAGCAAGGAGAGTCGCTACCGCCCCGAAGAATAGCTTCACCATTGTGTATTGGCCTAGGCTCCGCTGCCTCCAAGTTTGAAACCAATTGGAGATACTCTGGTGCTCAGATTGCCGCGACCCAAGGCTATATCATGGGAAAACCAGGTAGCGAGGGAAGAAACAAGTCGGTACTACTCCTCTGGGAAGTTCCGAGGTCGGCGAGCTGTGGGCATCGCATTCCATCATCGATTCATCATCCTGAACCAAACTTCCTTATCAGACCATGTTTATCTTCTGGAGGATTGGAACTTTTCGATGGGAACTTTTCGAATGGAAGCCAACTGGGGCTAGGAACCTTCCGTGGCACTTTTGAACCTGCCTGTTTGAGCTGGACGTTTTCCACGCTTCCCCGCCCGATTCATTTCCCGGGGTTCCGGCTAGCACGGAAAACAAGCTTATCCAGGCGGCGGTGGTGAGTGGCAAGCTGCTGAGATATGAAGAGATATCAATCTAGCAGAGATGTACTCACACGACGGGCAGGTAATGGTTGTAGGGGTTTTCTGGGACGTGGAGGTTAAGGTAGCCGTCTACAAGTTCTTTGACACAATAGCCACGGCCTAAGAATTAGCCTTACTGTATTACTCGCCTGTCCCGTATCTTTGGGGCGAACCATGGCGTGTAGTGGATCGATTGGAGACCCAATAACGAGATGCAGGGGCAGTCGGGGGGTTAATTACGGCAACTTATCCAAACGGGATTCGTACCCTGATGACGAGTGATAGATGGCATCTTTGATGAGCCGATTGTTAAAAACCTTGGTTAGTCACTGGATTGTTTGGGACTTGGCAGAAACGAGGAAACATAGGGAGTGTACTCAGTTGTTGCTAGATCCAAGAAGGTTCAACGGCCGGCTAAGCTGGGAGCGATCTTAATATCAGGAACTTGAGCTACTAAATAAATTAGGTTGGAAAATGCAGGAAACTTGAGGTTGAAGAGACACAATATGCTGTTCCCGCCCTCATAGAATTTGAAGCTCTGGATAGCTAGTCTATAAAAAAAACAAAAGCTAGCCTACAACCTAGAGAGCAGTGTTTCTCCTCTCTTCATCCAAGTCACAGCGTCGTCGACAAACTCGTCAACAACTTCCTTAGCTGGCTTGAGCTCGTTCACAACAGCCGCACACTTCCCCATCAACACTCGGTTGCTTGCCTGCAGCCTTTCCAATTCAGCGTCGTTGTCGTCGTTACTTGCTTTATCTAGGTCATGTTCATACGGGATTATCCCCTCCTCCAATAGTTTCTTCTGTTCCTCTCTGCGAATTGTCTCCCATTCTTCAATATAAGGACTGCTTCGAACGCGCATGGGCCTTCCACTGTATATTAGCGTGCGGATGTTATCGTCATGGCCTGCGGTTCGAACGGCCTCCTTATGTGCCGCGGAAGCTCCTGCCTCGTTGGTGAGAATAAAGCGAGTGCCAACCCACACTGCCGAGGCCCCCATCATCAAGGCGGCAGCTAGAAGTTGACCATTGTGGATGCCGCCGGCAGCGATAACCTGTACCGGCAGACCGGTCAGGGGAGATGTATGCCCTTTGCAGGCCTCGACGGCCGCAGGAATAAGAACAGTAGTGGGAATATCGCCAGTATGGCCTCCTCCCTCTCCTCCCTGCGCGCATATAATATCGACGCCAAGATCGAGACACTTTTTGATATGCTTAACGTGGCCAACCATGTTCATGTACAAAACACCGTTGGCATGGAGTCTATCAACAACAGCCTTGGGAGGAATGCCGACGGCAGAGACGAACAGCTTGGCACCGGATTGAATTACAACATCGATGAGCTCGGTCAACTTGCCCTTTGTGTAGTCGTAACTATGAGTCTGGTCAATATCAACACATTTCATCGAGGTGAGGCTTCGTACTTTGTCTTTCGAGCACTACCTCCGACCTGAGGAAGCAGCAAATCAATTCCGAATGGAGCGTTTTTATCGATGAGATGACTCTTCAGCTCCGCAATCTGATCTCGGAGCATATCTGGAGTATAATGGACACCACCAATGACACCGAGACCACCGGCGTTGGTCACCGCAGCAGCGAGCTCAGGGCCTGCGGCAACGTTCATTCCAGCAAGAAGAATGGGATGTTTGATTTTGAATAAATCCGTAACCGGAGTTCGTATCTTTTCTTTAGCACACTGAAGTCAGCTTTTACTACCTTCTCCTTGAAGGGTAGGGACGACTAAGAGAATAGTCACCGTACGTGGAGATGCCATAGTGACACACGCGAACAGTTGTCTCCGGAAAATAAATGCACTATATGGATGACTTCATATAATGTGAGGACTAGCTGAGATTCAACTCCGCTCAACAATTCTCTCTAGAGAATAAGTTGAAGCGGTTGGGCGTAGCGGTCTGTCTTTCGGTACACTACCTCACACCTGCACTGGACCACATCAATGAGACGCTAAGGACGCAAGCCGTATATAAATAATATTTGTATAGTATATTAAAAGAGCGAAATAGCCTATATGTCTTGTCAAGACATCGAAACGCCGACATCAAACAAGTACCTCGGCAAGATTATGGGCGGGGTTAAGAACCGACAAACGCGGGAATCAATCACCACCTACCGCTAGTGGTTGTGTCTCATCCCTGCTCACTGCTCTCTCCTCTACAGGAATGAGGAAAAAACAATTATATCTGCACAGGATAGCTGAATGATCACCATCGAATTAAAATACACGCGGATATGCGGGGAAAGAAATTGAGGGTTGAACTCGTTCAAGCTCCAATTAGGCAGTTTTTATTGAAAGGGAGAGTTAGGAAGATATCCGAATTTAACTAAGGGAATCTTGTAACCATAAGTTTGCAAAGGTGAACCTGCAGTGTTTGATGCCTCGTCACCTCCTGCTAAACAATTTGCTTGTCAACTACTTATGCGGTGGCCTATATCACCTCATGTCGGTCTTATGGTCAGTCTTGATACCAGATGCATGATTATCTTGAATATCATACCGGTGACTGTGAAGCCCTAATGAACAATCAAGGGCTCTTAGATAATAGATCGACTACTTCGAGGTAACTCGTATTTAGCATCTAGAAGGTGAAGTTTAATTACGAGAGCAAGGGCGAGAGTTCGATCGAGCACAAAGTAAAAGTGGCAATGGAAGATGCTAGACCTGATATCTCAACATAATGAATACGAGTTCATTGCGAGGACACATATGCGTTGTGCGTCTTATGTCAAGCGCGCATATAACGGATGCACTGCTAGCCCTTGTTCCAGCTTTTGCAACATCTCATCTCCTTGATTCGCCGCATATTATCATGAATTCTCCGACAGATAGGCCATTTCTCGTTCAGCGCCTCCGGAGGATCAGATCCGCACTTTCAAGTTCAAGAACACCGCCGTGTCCGTTCTTGAGTCTCCCCCGAGAGTTGCTTGACTTGATAATCGCCCCTCTGCCTCTAGCTGATAGGCTTGCCCTAGCTTTAACATGCAAGTCCTTGCTGATCTACGACGGCCTTTCCCTGCCATCTGCCGCAGGGAAAGTACCAAAAGCACAAAGACAATTTCTCATTCGTCGCTTTGAAGTCGACCTTCTTCCAACCCACTATAACTGCCCCAAATGTTCGATGCTACATAAGCTCCGTTCCCCTCTAACTGCCTCCCGAAAGTGCGCCATGGAGCCAGTGCCCGATCCTTTTCCATGCAAAGTTTGGATGCGGAGAGTTCATTATCGCTTGCTGTACGACTCTTATTATCGACGCTGTGCAATGGATCGGCATCTCCAGGCCTTAGATCCCGGCTTGCCTCTGGAGCACGAGACCAGGAAACGACATGGATGGTCTCCAATGTTTCGCTGGAGCACTAGCATCCTCACCGCGGCTGTCCAGAAAGACCTGGTTCTAGCTATGACATTCGAGCTGAAGTACCACAATATCTGGCCTCTGATGCAGTCTCTAGTCATCTTCCAGCCTTGCTTATGCCACCATTTGATTGTCACGCCAGGACCAGGCCTCTCTGACCATCTATTTACTCCCATAAGGGTGGGAGCGAAAGAGGTTCTGGACCTTTCACGCGACCCGTCGCATTCAATCGATGGCTCGTGTCGGAGTTGCTTGACAGATTACACTATCAAGATGGAAAGGCGGGCGCCTACGACATTTAAACGAGCGCAGTATTTCCTGTTGATTCAGGTCTGGACTAACCTTGGTCGGGATGCGACTCATAGTTGGTTGGGAGTGTCAAATAAACATAATATGCGCAATTTCGATTTGAATCCTGTGGGCTCCGTACGTCGAGATTATCTTTCTGTTGCGGGGGAAAATGTATGAGAGGCAGTAACTAGAATCAGATCAGGTGTGTATCTCTTATCAGAGTTCACACCATCGTGAGGGAAAATCTCGCATTGACTGAAGATACAGTTTTACTGGGCTGGGCTGGACTTTAATGGATGGATGGATGGGACATTAACCTCAACTTGGATGCAGCTTCAAACCCTGCTGTGACTGGGAACTACTAGACTGGCAACACGAGGAAGGCAATACCGGCAATCCCCATTTTTGGACAGGGTGAGCTTTGTAACCAGAACTCGATAAGAGTAAGGTTAGCTTACACGAAGGTACTAGGCTTGTCAGGATAAATGTTGGTCATGGAAACTGAGTTCTCAGTCCTCGCGTTAAGGACAGATGGAGCATGGTGTTCCACACTTTTCTCTCCGCATTCTGTTCCCGTGACATGCCGGTCTGCACTTGTAGAATGATTGTCGGCTAGGTTCTCGAGCGGCATCCGGCGGCATGGTTGGAACTATTGTTATCTGTGGAGGAAGCTTTGGGGTTGGGGGGCGAAACGCTCGTGCCATTATCTAGGCCATCTTATGATTCTTATCCATGGCCTAAACAAGCCCAAATCATGCGCCCCAGAGTGGGGGTGGCTCAGAGAAGGAAGTTAGCACGAAGACAGAAGAGAAGACTGAGATATCAGACAGCATGCTCTGCTGCCCATTCTCACTGGCATGGCATACCTTTCCAAAATGTCTTCCATCATTGCATGGCAATAAGCATTGAGAGTTCCAATCATATTGCCAATCGGATATCCAATCTAATTGGCATTGGAATTGCTTGGATCCAATCTCGGAAGAGGAGCCGTCTATCGCTGGCGTGCGAGTCGCGCAATCTCAGAGGTGGCAGATCCCAGATAAGCCCCGTGATAAGAACCGGCCCCTTAACGGAGAAGCCGGTGAGCTCAGAGCGGTACGTAATGGCGACACTTCCACCGGCTTCCAGCGTGTGGCTGCTGGAAGATAGCCTAAACAGCCTTAGATAGGGCAGTCTTGCGGGGGACCCCGGTCAGCCCAGCGCTGGTCAGCGTCCGTCGGCCACTGAAGTGCTGCCGACATATTGCACGATTATGGCGGAGGAAGATAACGAACCCCATTGAGGCAATTGGATCCGGCCGGGAAGGTCTCTCGAATCCTCCTCGATTCGTCTAGATGGTGTGGTGTCATTGATTGACTGATTGATATCATGCCGTCCCCCAGAATGATCTCCCGTCTTGCATTTGAATTGGATCCTGCTCCTCCCTGCTCCCTTACACTTCCACACCTGCCCAACACCTAGATTCTCAGACAATGACAGCCATCAGCATCAGAAAGAGAAGCCCCTCTGGCTGCTCACAATACACACAGCGCCGTGACCAGCCAATCCCAACGACGGCCTACCACCACAAGCAAGGCCAGGCTGCTACTCGACAAACCAGATGGAAGCACCGAGAGCCGTGGGCCAGACAACACGAAGACTACGGGCATGCCTCCAACAAGCCACGTTGGGATTGTGCAAAGGCAGATGAAATGTCTCATATGCGGTATTCAATGGAACGAGCGAGTCATCTAATGGTCAATGACTCCGCGGAGAACCATCTTCCATTCCCTATTCTCGAATATGTCCGACGTTGGCTTAGTATCAAGCACACCCCATATAACTTCGGCGCCAGTCATCGGAACTATCTGAATCCGAATTCGCCCGCCGGATTCTTCGTCAATGGCGTGTCTGGCTCGAATCAGGAATTATTCCCCCGATTCATAAGCGTCATGCTTGCAGGTCTTTCCACAGCATGGACGAACCCACCGAGCGCCGATTTTGACCAGCAGTATCTCCAGGATGCACGTGAGTTGGTCGACATCATGTTATCTGAGTCCAAGAGCCAAGATACGCGACCGCCGTACTTCAACTTCATTATTGGAGCCTATGTGTACTACGACATGGCTACATCGTTCCTCGTTCCTGTCAACCAGCAGCTGCCTCTCAATACCGGTGAGATGTATGCCGCCGTGCTCGATGTGGGCCAAGAATATCACCCTATTGCGGGCTATACAACAGATATCTTCTATCTTCTAGGCACAGTAGGACGTTATTGCCGATCGGTCGTCGAGACTGGAGTTCGCGACGAAGCCCTTGAGGCCGTACTGGAAGAAGAGCTGGAGAATTGGGAACCGAATTTGGATAGTCCCGAGTTGGGACTCATGAGCAATGCCTTTCGCATGCATGGGCTGATTAGCCTCGCTGCCATTTGCTACCGGCGACAGGATGAAAACACACCACAGGAGCACCTCGACCTGTCCGTCATGATGGGCACGGATATGCAGGAGCAGATTGAGAAGTGGCAGAACCCGAGGACTCCACCTGCTGGCGACGACATCACCGACCAGGGACGGGGCCTCGAACCTGATGATGAGCCTGAATCTGATGACTTTCTCGAAGCGATGGTTAGGATGCGTGCTCTGAGTGTTATTCGTGATTTGGCCTCTATACCAACAGACAATGCTTGCATCAATCTCCAGGCGATCCCGCTGTTCACCGCAGGGTCCGAATTGACCAGATCTGACCAAAAGGAGAGGCAAATCGTTATTCAACGTTTCAGAGAGCTGTATTCAATGAACCATCTTCGTACGAACCTGTCGGCGCTGGAGATACTCCCAGAGATCTGGGCCCGCAAAGACCGAGGCGAAACTATCAGTTGGCTGGATGTTATGGTTGAAAAGGGTTGGAGCTTGATGCTCGGTTAACCCAATGTTTTTCTACTTCTGTACTCTTTTTCTTTCTTCGAATACGTGTATGCATATGAGCCGGAGTTTTTGTTGTTGCATTTAGGGAGTTCAAGGGTTGATTGTATTCTTTATTTTTCTGGAAAAAGCATCAAGAGGAAAAAACATACATTAATGCTTAGCCGTACATTTATAACAATCTCACATACGATTCGGGAATATTACCCGTAAAAATACCAGCCTCAGGGCTAAGGCGGATATTGAGCATACTTGTACAGTAAAGTTATTTTCAAGTCGTAATGGGTGCAGATGATGAGACCAACTCGCTTCCCGAAGGCTAGAAAGAGCGAAGATCAACAAGAGCATCGGGGTGATTGAACAGTTACTTGACCCTTCCTCAGCTACTCTATCCTCCGAATCCCCCAAAGACAGATGGTCCTCCAAACATATACCTGGACGGTTTTGCTGGGGCTGGAGTATTGACTGGCGAGGGAGATGTTGCCATCGAAACATCAATGGATCTGGGACTGTAAAAGCTTGAGGATGATGGTGGTGCCTGGGACGCTTGATCGCCGTTTGGTTCTGCGCCTGGCTGCTGGAGATTTAGGGAGAGCGGAACTCTGGGCTGAGGGTGGGATGGGAAGGCTTATCAGGCATCGAGTCAGTAACCTGTAACATTATTATACTGGAGAGACATACCTGTTACGCCTCTGGGCTGATACTTTTGGCAGATAGCCAGCCCTCTCCTAAGGACATCTACATCCTCTCTTAAATGCCTCCTGCGGTCCTGTACATCCTCTGATTCCGAGGTCAACTCCCTAAGTCGATGCTCAGGCATGATGGAAACCTCGGTGGGTGTGAGAATCGAAGGCATGTCGGCAATCAGGCAGCTTTCAATGGCGAGGTTAATCACGTTGACTGCAAATGTTCGCCGCGCGGTCTGTAGATCTAGATCAGTACCTGGGGTGAAAGAGAGGAGAAGAGAGAAAAAGAGAAGTACCTCGTAATATGCTCGCATCATGTCGATAACGGTCTGCGCGCCATACTCGCCATCTTTGGTGTCGTTGTCATCTGATACGGCAGCTGATATCATTGACCTAGTGAGTTTCTCTCCGGCACTCTTGTCTTTGAGCAAATTATAAATCCTGTTGGTGGTTCTCTCATTGGACTTGAAAGAAAAGGCCGAGTGGAACTCTGCATCAAGTGCAACCGAGTACCCGTTCTGGTACGGCTTCAAAAGCTCCTGGAGCTTGGATTTCAGAATCTTCTCCTTTGCATGGAAGAAGGGATCAACACAGCTGGACAGAATGATTTCGGTCGTTCGGTTGGAGTCGGGTGGCCCAGCAAGATGCGTGAAGACTGCATCGACGAATGCTTTTGCGACAAGAGTGACACGGTCAACATGGAACTGGGCGATCGGTTCCCAAGGCTTCGCCTGCTCCTGAAACAAACGGATTGCAAGGTCTTTGTTTGGCTGCCCGGGAAATTCTGTTCCTTGGTTCATTGAGGCTTGTTGCTGTAGGTCTCTCAGAACCTCAGACTCCTTTCTGACGGCAGGATCAGGGAATCTGTAGGGGTATTTCCTCAAAAACAATTTTAAGCTATCAGACGCTGGCTCCTCCGTTGCTGCTTTGTTAGACAACGAAGATGAAGATACGATGTTTATCGTGGATCCCTTCGTATTCAGAACATGATCAAAGGCGCGATTGAAATTTCTGAGCAAAGCTCGAAACTTCAGATCTCCATCCCTCAGACCGCCGAAGAAAGCATCCTCGTATCGGCCTTGGATCCCATCACGGGTAAGACGCTGGAATTCGCTGGCAATTTTAATGAGATACGCTCTCATCTCGTCCAAGTTTGATCTAGGATTCCCCAATTGGGCGAGCTCGCTCTCTCGTTCCACCAAGTTGCTTTCGATGTCGCGGATGACTCGAGGGAGATTCTTTCGAATGTGATCATACGAAACTCTACTCAGTCGCTTACGCAAATTTGAGATGCCAAGATTCTGCTTTGGGACCGAAGCCCATTCCGGGTTCTTGAAAAACCTGTCTTCGATGTCGTCTCGGGCGTTGACATCCTTCTCAAGCTCGGTCCTGTTCCGTACAGCATGCCAGCCCAGTTCTAGCTTATTCGCGCCTTCTAGGTTGCTAGCCAACTTGACGTATGCTGCTTCTCTGGCCGTTCCAGGGAGAGCAAGGTCTGGCTTCGTAATCACGCCAATGGTTCTTGAACCATCAGGATCGACTGCCCTAACTCGGTCGAGCGCGCCGTGTCTTGAGAGATCAAGATCGGCTGTGATCACAGCGAGGATGATGCTGTGTGGCTGCTTCATGTACTCGGACACAATAGCATTGACGGTTTCTTTGTCGCTTAGCGTTTGTGATTCCGCAACATTTTCAAAAAGGCCAGGCAGGTCGATCAACGTCAAAGGATAAAGATTGGGGCCTTCAATCTCAAGACGAAGAACATCTTTAGAGAATCCAGTCCCGGAGAGTTCCATATACCCCTGCGAGTCTTGGATGATACTGGGCAGATCCTCCTCCCTGAACCCGGATGTCTGGAAATGCTGAGGCGGCTTGTTCTTGTCCGCCGGGAGAACCGTGGCCCTGACTCTGCCTTCCAGCGACGGTCGAAGCACCAGCTCGGTCGCAAACCGCGTGCAGAGGCCGTCCTTGATGGGGAAGCGGATGCGGCATAGAGCCTCGAGCACGGAAGACTTGCCGGACGACTGCCCTCCCACGACAATGATCTGGGGCAGGTTGACGATCCGGCCGACGCCGCAGGCGCCGAGCTCGTTCATGGCCTCATGGAGCTCGCTGGCCTCGCGAGTGTTGAACTCGCTGAGGACTTGTGAGCTGACTGATATCTCCGCCGAACGCATGATTTTTGGGTTTCACAAGAGCTCTCGGGTGAACCACAGGGCCGGGTGATATCTGGTCTCGAGCGTTCGCGTTGTGGGGATGCAGCAGACTGCCAGAGTGGCCATCTCAGCACCAAAGGGACAAAGAACAGGGGGATTTCACAGGTTGGAACAATGGCACAGGGGTCTCCTGGTGAACCGGTACAATTGTAGGCCCCATCAAGAGGCCCTAAAATTAGAAGCAAACGCCGTGGAGTGCATTACTCAGTGCTGTCAAGTTGTGTGAGCTTACGTGATTGCAAAATGAAAAATTACCTTGGGCTGTCAGCTTTGGTGTCCTTTGCTACATCATATTATTCAATTCTGAAGTTAATAAAGGTCTGGTCCTGGCTCGAATGAGTTCAAATGCCTACATAAATGAGGCTGTTTGTGAATCAATCCCCACGTAGACTGAGATCAAACCCTCATCACATTTGACTGTGCCAACCACTGTACTTAGCAAGTTGGTGGAATATGCGAAGCAGAAAATGCAATGCGTTAGAAAGAAGCCGAAATGAAAAGAAAGAGTGAGCGTGATGAGAAATGATCAAAAAGAACCGATTCAAATCAAATGGCCAACATATGGAATAACCACCAGTCATGAATTACAGGGCTACTGGGTCTTTCACGCGAGTAGACCACCAATCAGCAGCCTCACTACACATCTTCTTGTCACTTGTTTAAGGTTGACATAGACAGTCAATTCTTATCTTTTCCTGAGATCTGTAGGCCTACTTGAACGCTAAGGATTTTCATCTCTTGATACAAGCAAGACTTGCAGATTCGGGCGCTTCACACCCTAATTCTCAAGCATCATTCGATCCCTTCACTTAGCGACACTCATAGTGAGTCATGGTAATCCTTGTGCAGGTCCATGGACTGCAACAGCGGGCACCACCCAGATAACAAGTCCCTGAAAGATTTGAGTCATTAGTGATCTCCTCGGAAAAAGGATGCACTTGCAGGTTGGAGGTTCTTACTGGTTTTCGGTATACAAGCCCTCTCCTGAAGCTCGGGAGGTATCTCTGAGACCGCCCCCTCCTGAGGCATCGCAACGGCCGATACTATGCCAAAGGCACTCATTGTAGCTACGAGAGCAAAAGTAATCTTCATGATGTCTGGAAATGGGGTTATAATAAGAGCTGAGGGAGTTGTGAACGTGGTAGATGAATACTAGAGTGATTGGTATAGAACTCTACAAGTGCAGCAGCGCTCTTGTCTTTTATAGTTGAATCAAGTAGTAATAGTATGGAAGAAGATCAATTGCTGACAGAAGCCAAGATGCCTATAGAGACGCGGAAGTCCCAAGTTCTTGAGACATTTGTTCCACCTTAGCTCACCTATTCCCTCCTGCTTATGGGCCTTTCGAGAGTAAAGTCTTGGATGATATCATGGTTGTAAATCCACTTTTTCGTTCAATTGAGTTGGCAAGCGGTGGTCAGTCTTCCATGCACGATGAAGCTACATTGTATCCTTGTCAAGGGTTTGAAACGAGCTGTATTCAATGAGGTAGTTCGAACAGTTTCAATAGTATACCGATAACAAACCGATGGCCCGAAATCCAATGACACTTCTGTTGTTGTTCTGATCTTCTGTTCTTTCATCATATATTCTCTGGCCCAAAGGCGCAAGGCTTACTGCCCAATGTAAGCTTACCTGAGACAAATTTACTAACATGATATATGTGAGAGGGGCACGTAATCGTCACTTGTATCAGTAGCTGGCTGCTCACTGCAACGTGTTCGCATGCCGTGCTCTCTTCAACAGTTGGCGAAGAAAGCCACCATAGAATAGCTTTAGTTTTTAACGACGCGTAAGTACTCACGGGTGGTCAAGGATGACATTCCTACACCATTGGAGTAGATGTGGATTGGGGCGGCCGCCAGGAGGCTACGACAGAACACGAGTGATCTACAATTGCTAGGTCAGTATCCCTTTTGTTTCAGTAACATCGTGATGGTGGTGTCAAGAACTGAACTCTGACGTAAGAAAAGGGAGTGAATTCTCGCCCAAAATGCCTGCCGGGCCGCTTCGGGGTTGCAAAAGAAATTTGCTTTCCACCCTTTCTACAGCTGCACTGGTGAGATTTAAGCCAATTCTTCTCAGGAGTTTCTGGTGTTGACTGTACTGCTCTCTACTACAGATTTGGGTCGTCCCAAGTATTCCTGTGCGATTTCAGTCACCAGGACAAGGAAACACATAGAATAATCTCATTGTGCAAGGTATTGCCACACTTTGATATGCTGACCATCAGGCTTGAATCACTCATCATTGGACTGTTTTGGCCTTGCTGGACTATTGGAGGCTCATCCGGCATGTGCATGGCTGAATTAAACTAAGGGAATGGAGGCCGATGTACGCCACGTTGCCATCACCGGTTTCCAAACCAGGGCAGCCTTATCCTACCTGACCGATGTATTCCTCTGCGAATGGGCGGTCCCGTCTACGTACGCGCGTGATGCTTGATAAAACTTTAACGTTATTGGTGAGATTTCTCACTCTAGGGGCATAAGTCAATCGTGAGGACAAAGTCTTGTGTTTGGTAGCTAAGGTAGGTGAAGCGTGGCCCATCTTCCTTGGACTTTGTCCGCATGTGGATGGTAGTCCCCAGAAAAGAAGGAAAACAAAGGCTATGGACTACAATATTGGTTGTATAATGGCGCAACGTACGCGGAATGCCTCATCGGGTATTAGCCGTGATAGTTTGACTTTTGAGTCGTAACTTGTTGTTTTCAGCTGGGCATATAGCCAATGAGATTGGTTAAAACAGCGTCGTGCATGGGTATGAGAATTCAACAGCGCCCGAGTGACTGGTTACTGGTCCCTAGAGGGCCGTTTAACGAACAGCTGGATGACCAATAACACACCGTTACTTCCACAAGGAGTATGTTTTCCATGTCAGCCAAGAAGATCCAAGCTGCTCAGCTGGTTCAGTGAATAGAACTAACTGCTTTTAGGTAACAGCCCACCTAATCGCGAACGATATTCAACATCCACGGCAACGTTTGACACCCTCTTCGGTTATCAGCCTGTGTTTGGGCCACAGCTGGCCATTGAAATCTGTATTGGCGTGGATGAGTCTTAGCGAGAAAGTAACAAAAGGATGTGCAGGGCTGGAGCAAAGCAGAAATATATAAAAGGAGGGACACTCACTGCCCATAGCCTTTAGCCCACACGTCTTTGTTTCTGAGTTTTCCTGAATGAAATCAGCATCTTGCATCCGTTGGATATTTCACAATCGTTCATTTCCATTTGTTCGAAAAGATGAAACTCAGTCGGGTCTTTTTACGGCAAAAGCAGCCCCAACTCCCTCGCCCACGCCGTTTGAAGATTGTTAATATCCCTCTCATGAAGCATGACATATGTCTTCAGGTACAAAGATCAAATCCCTGTAACATATCCTACATCTTACCACTAACACGTATTAGCTACAAGTGCCCAATGTCGATCTACATCCTGAAAGGTCCGAGCCCACGGTTCTCAACTCAACCCGCCTCGACACATCTCCCAATGTCTCAGCAGTGCAAAAGGCTCATCTAGAACTCAAAGTGGCCATGCATGCAGCTGCTACGTCATTTCAGACCTGTGAGGAACAGAGCAGAGCTGAGGTCGCAGTAATTAAGAGATTCTTCCCTGGTTGCCTAGCGGATAACGTGCGGATCTGCTTCGCAGCATGGCTCGCCTTTGTCTGCGCCATGGACGACAAATTGGAGAGCCTTCAACCTTCTGAGGGAGAGACTGTTCTGTATCGCTGCATTGGAATGTTGAGAAACAGCCACAAATTCAACACCAAGAGTAAGTATCTCAAAGTCAAATAAGAAAGGGAATTGCACGACTACTGACATCAAATTCATTGAATAGGAATAGTCCCCGACACTGAGGTTGAAAGGCTAACCTGGCTCTTATACGATCATATCAGGCTTCATCTTCCTGCGGGTGCCTGTGATGTATTTTTTCGGGCAATATGCGAAGTATTCAAAGCTCATATCGCCGAGTGTCACTTCCTAGATAGTCAGAATACCCACGATTTGTCTAAATACATGTCCATCCGAAGACGGACCATCGCACTTGACCCTTTCTTTGAGGTAATCAAATACGTACATCTTCCAGAGAGCTGGCGTCGAAAGCCTATATGGAAGAAGCTCCAAGAAGAGGTTTGCAGCACCGCAGGACTGCAGAATGATCTTCTCGGGCTGGAAAAGGATATTGAGAACGGCGACGGACTCAACTCTGTCCTTGTGCTTCTACGGAACGAAAGGGCAGGCAACACCTACGACCGTGACCCTGAAAAGTTTGCAAAGTCTATTTCTCTAGTCATGAGGATGCACAATGAGAGTGCCCGAAGGGTGTCGGATTGCATGGAGGAACTCTTCCAACCAGCTGATGATGTTCTGCCGGATTCGGTAGTGGAGGTTGCGAGGCATCTTACGTTGGTCTGTGAGACACACCTGGCATGGTGCGCCTCGGCGAAAAGGTACATGCCAAGATCGGAGTGATAGATATGTTATTATTTCGAGTCATCTGAGGCCTTAGAGATGCCTGGATTCAGTTCCACTAGACAAATGCATAGTTAACTCGAACCAGAGTCAAATTTTGAAGCAGACGCACCGTGGCGGCCATTTGGCAAAAGATGGAGGATCAAGTATGATCCTCATGCCGTAGTTTATGAGAAATTACCTACACAACATTCCCCAGTACGAATTTCTCTCACCATCGGTAGCAATCATCAAAGACCACTCAGATAGTTGCAACTCAGCTTCGATTTAGATGCGCTCTACGGATCTATCTCCCCTTTTTCAAGCCCAACAAAAATGTTTCCTTTGCAGTCCAGCGACACCAAGGGGCTCTGTTGTAGAATATTGCTGTGTTAATAGGGTAGTCACCTAGAGGCAGATTTCTATCGAATAAGTCGCTTGATGGTTCTCTTATTTCTCTTATTGACGTCTCAATCCTCAATCCGATCATCATGCCCCATGAAGGGGATGGACGTTTTAAGCTTAAGAATGGTCTGAGATAGTTAAGTGTCTCCTGAGGTTTCTGTTCCTATCGACCTTGTTGCCCCTCCCTGTGTTGCTTTTCTATTGTGTTTACAGGTTAAAAACGTTCAGTTTTTAATTAACAAGCTAAGCCTCAACATCCGCAGTTATCATCAATGCTCCACTATATTAACAACTTCCAATAGCCTCTTCACTTGACTACCTTTCGATGCTGGACATGATCAGCCTCTCGGTTTCGTTAAGTATGGAAATTGGATTATTTCCCCGGAACGATGTGGAGGGGCATGGTGCTGCAATCCATCGATTACTTCTACGGTGAATCAGTGACATTGTGAAAGACTGTAAGCTCCAACACCATGAACGCAACATAACCAGCCAGCATTGCGCCTCTAATCCAACGGTCCAGTGTGCCACCAAACCAGACAGTTAATGTGAAAGCCAGAGTTGAGCCCCACAACACTGCAAGTTCTGTAATGTTGACATTGCTGCCATCGAATTCCCCAGAGGTGTCCAGCATGATAATTCCCATACAGAGGGAGAGAAGAAAGATATTGCTTCCAACGGTGTTGGACATGAGAGTACCGATTTGTCCTCGGTAGCCGCTTATACCGGCTACGAATTTCTCAGACTAGGTAGTTGAATAACTCGATTGCTGATGGATACAGAGTTATGGATACTTTGCGGCACTATGTTATTCCCTTCCATTTGCGTTAATATATACCCGTGGCCCACTAAGCCTTTTCTTTCCTTTCCGTTACATTAGACATTGTTTGGTTGGTAATGTGAAATGTGTGAAATGATCTTGGGTATAGGGTATGCGCCAAAGTGGTAGTGCCGATTGGCACCACGAGTGACTTTTGAACAGCGTTACTGCAGAAAAAGTTGTTACACACGGAAGAGAATTGGTCCAGGCAACAGAAGAAAAACAAAACGGTCAGAGTCAGCTTCGTTCCTCAAGGCCCCTTCGCACAAACCGCGACTGGTTTTGCCACCCTCATGTGTCAACTTGTCTATGTAGGTTGACAATTGTGGATGAGAGAAGACTCTTTACCCTTGCAATTGTTCTTCTACATCAGTGTATATATTAGGTAGAGGGTAATGAACAGGAAATGGTAGAAAACCAGTTACAGTTTTTGAGCAGCTGCGTAAGATCAGGAGAGATATAAAAGTCTAATAATGGCTTCGGTGGGATAATTGTGTATTTGAGCGTGAGGAGAAGCTTTCCAAGGAAAGAATACGTGTTACAATTCATGCCAATCAGAGAAAGTCTAGAATGGTCTATCGCGAAGATACATACTTTGGCCTACACGAATGACAAAAGCTCTCTTCAACAGGTTTGCTCGGATATTCGGTGCCGTCAATGCTCCGCGGCGCCCATATAAGCGTAGTGTTCAGCTTTGACCGTTATTTTACGCATGAAATGTTACGGCCATTGTAGGTGGGCTGTAGATCATACCCGAAAAGAAAACACTCGAAAATGCCCCTACCCTTATCCACATATATACGAAAAAGGGCCGAAAATTCTCCATTCAGAGCAACCCGAAACTGCCAAAGAGTCCTCCGTAAAATTCTGAGGCCGGCAGTGATTGAAGAAACTGAAAAAGCACCGCTATTCGGCGATTTTCTATCTTTGCGCCTCTATGGATAACCCAGTCCAGTCCAACGCTAAACCCTCTGAAGCCGACAAATCGCGGATACCAAGAGCATGCGATCTTTGCCGCCGTAGAAAGGTCAAGGTACGGGGAATCATTGCCGCCCGGCCACGTTTGGTTATTGACTCACACCTGACTAGTGCCGTTGGGCGGCTCCTGATGCTGCCACTTGCGTGAGCTGCTCGTCGATGGGAGTTCGTTGTACATGGGATATCAAGCCGCAGAAGAGAGGAAGGCCCAGTCGGTAATAGCACCTCCTTCCTGGAAGCCCTAGGACACGGCTGAAGATTAACCAATGTCGATTAGCTATGCTCCTGGTAGCCCAATTACTGATGGCCGTGACGCAAATAGCTTACCGCAGTCTCCCCAGGGGACGATTGCAGAGCAGGTCTTGTCTGACCAGGGTCCATCGCCCGAAGAATCACAAGGGGTTAAGACCCGAAGCGAGACTCTCCTCTCACAGCTAGGATCTCCCTCGTCCATACAGCAAGCTCTCGATGATTGGTTCGAGTTCTTCTACCCTATTCAACCGCTGCTGCACCGAAGGTACTTCATATTACGGTATCAAGGAGGGGAGATGCAGACAAACTCGGAATTCCTGGCATTAGTGATTTCGATGTGTGCGGCTATTGTTGTCACCCTACCCCGGAAAGCTGCTGCGGAGTATAGTGAGATTACAGTCTCAAAGAGCCTCCATCTAGTCCGGTACTACAGTCTGTTACAACCTACCTCCGGATGTAGTGTGGACTGGTGCGTGGCGCATTATTTGCTGGCTTGGGCCCATCTGGGTGAGCATGGTTTCACCGGGTTTGACGTCTTCAACAACCTCAAAAGTGCCATGTCAGGAGTTCAGTGGCTTTTGTCTTTCCAGCTCAGACAGAGTAGTGTTCATGACGAAGAAATATTGAAGCGCCTTTATGGGCAACTAACAATATTGGACATGTTGGTAACCCTTTGACTTCTTGTTGATCTTATCTTTCTTTTACTAATCATAACCTTCCAGAGGGCTAGATACGAAAGGGTGGCCAGGCTGTTCTTTTTATCCTCTAAGCGGTGACCAGTGCCGACTAAGACCTCGATGTTTATCTGATGAGGATCTATCTCTCGCAGAAGGCCTGGCCCCAGGCACACGCGCAAGCCAGGATGATACTATAGACTACGTGACTGGCTTCAACGCGCACACAGATATCATCCTGACGTGGTGGCACGCAAAAGCGGATGGCGAGCATAGGAGCCCACGCGAAGTCATTGATCGCGGCCTTGAGCGTCTACAAAGCATATTAGACGGTCTCCCTCCCGAGCTCAGGTGGAGGGGTGGCTTATCGCGAGACCCGAGAGCAACACGCGGACATGAATTGCAAATGCTTAACATCATGATCAGTTTCCTGTACATCAAGTCCAACCTTTTGGAGATTTATGGACCAGTAGCAGAACCACCATTTACCCATTATACAATCATTAGGCAAGTACAACCCGCTATCCAAAGCATCTCTAGAGTTCATACTGACTAGCTTTCTTTCTCAGTGATGTTCTCGAGATTCTTCACCATGTCCCCCGGACCATCTTGGAGTCGGTAGGGTTCTCGGTAGTGAAGAGGATCAGAGACATGGGTGCGCCCTACCTCGAGGAATTGAAATTAATGTCTGACGCGGATGCTTTAGCGTCAGAATCAACAAGACAGCGATTATGGCAACTTCTTAGCGAGCTTGACTTATTAGATTATCAAGGAGCTTCAGGAATTGGTAGTCATTGCTAGAAACTCCCAGTCGTTGAAAGAGCAAAATAACAATAAGAGTGTCCCCATCTCAGATGACGAAGCTCCATGGCACCTAAACTTTTACAGGCAAAGGCCAAGCCTCGCATCATATTTATACATTTATGCAGACTGAAATTCACAGTATTAGACCGTCGAAACAGAAGGATAAGTCAGCCAATTGAGGCATTCGAATTACAACCTGGTGCGATCTACTCGTCGGGGCACCGGAAGTTACCAGGCCCCGAAAACGATAAGCTCCGTCTGGGGTATTTTCGGCGAATATCCATGCACAAGGGTGACATGCTTGCCGTACGGCTCGGCCCTAACTTGACGCAAGTCTTCAGTGCATCGGCCGTAACCCAACCCAAATAAGCCGTATGCGTCATTCTTTCAGGGGACTATTGTAATGATGGCAGTGCGAGAGTTGCATTGCAGATCAATGCACTGCAGATTGATGAAGTTGTGCTTCGTCTTGTGGATTCTTCACTTCTAGTTTCATCTGGCGAGCGCTCGTGCGTAAGGTAGCAATCTCATTGCTTGAGTCAACTCGGAAAGATCGGGATTATCATCGATGCCGAAGCCCCTTGTGAAAGCCGCTATCATATCTATATAAGATCTTGTGGGCATTGCTTCGATGTTCAAGCCTTGAAGCACCGACCCAAAGGATAACAATAGTTGACTATAAACTAACATTTTTACACCTCGGTGTACGGTCAAAGCAAAAATGACTCTCTCAAACTCCTCGACACATCATCTTCCGGCAAGCAGTGCCTTGATGTCGTATTTTGACCTCCCGACTTTGTCATTCTTCTTGGCAACCACTGTCTTCGTTGTGCTGTTGAGCCGTGCCCGCCAGTCCCGAGATACTATTCCAATCCTCAATCCGAAGAATAGGTTTGAGCTCACAGCTCACAGAGTCAAGAAGCTATTCCTCACTAATGGCAATGCAATGGTGGATTCGTGGTTCAATGCGAATCCTCACAAGCCCGCGCGCCTCCATGCCGATTTTGGCGAAGTCACAATTCTTCCGCCCAATCTAACGAATGAGATCCGAAATGATGAAAGGTTCAACTTCTCAAAGTGGACGCTCAATGTAAGTCGCAGCCCTCTCTCTTCGAAACATGATTGACTAAAAGTGTAGGCGTTCCATGGCCACACACCTGGCTTTGAAGGCTTCCGCGAGGGTGGACACGATTCGCGCATACTGCAAAATGTCATCACTAAAGACATTACCAAGTCTCTCAGTATGTCTCGGACATGATTGTGTAGGCTAAATGCTAATTGATAATAGACCAAATTACAGAACCGCTTGCCGAGGAGACCGCCCTAGCAGTTTCAGACGTGCTCCCATCTGATAAAGGTAAAAACCTTCCATTCTACGAGTTGAGACCAGCTGCTTACGATATATCTTTAAAGAATGGCACAAAATTCCCGTTAGGAGCACAATTGCACATATCGTCGCCCGAGTCTCATCCCGTGTGTTCCTGGGCGAGGAAATCTGTCGCAACAAAAGATGGCTCGAAATCACCCTGCGCTACACCGTCGATGCTTTCATGGCTGCCGAAGACCTCCGGTTGTGGCCGGCACCTCTTCGTCCCCTAGTGCACTGGTTCATGCCAAGTTGCCAGAAAATTCGCAGCGAAGTTGCCGAGGCAAAAGAGATCATTACCCCCGTCCTCGAGGATCGCCGTCTGAAGAAGAAGCAAGCGCAGCAGGGTCAAGTCAAATACGAGGCACCAGATGATGCTATTGAATGGGTCGAGAGAGCGGCAAACGGAGAATCATATGACCCGGTGTCGATTCAGCTGATTCTCTCTGTTGCTGCAATCCATACCACGTCAGATCTGGTTACTCAAGTGATGATCAGGCTGGCCCAGAATCCCGAAATCTTGGAGCCTCTAAGAAATGAGATTCAGACCACCCTGAAGCAGGATGGCTGGCGCAAGACGTCACTGTACAATATGAAACTGCTGGACAGTGTGATCAAGGAAAGCCAGCGCATCAAGCCGATTGGAAACGGTATGTGTAAACCTCCCTTTAAGTTTTCCCCTTACTCACAAGTTGATAGTTGTTATGCGCCGCGTCGCATCCGAAGATGTCACGCTTAGTGACGGTACCCTTGTCCCGAAAGATAGCACCATCGCTGTCACATCTCGCAGACTATGGGACAAGGATTTCTACGCAGAGCCTGACAAATGGGATGGCTATCGCTTCTACAACATGCGATCTGACCCCGACAAGCAAGCAAGTGCTCAACTCGTTGCTACGTCCGACAAGTTCCTCGCGTGGGGGCACGGGAAACACGCTTGTCCAGGCCGTTTCTTTGCTTCAAATGAGGTCAAGATTATTCTCATCCATCTCCTTATGAATTATGACTGGGAGTTGCCCGAGGGAGCTTCAACAGCCATTCGCAACGTAGGCCTCGCAATGACTATGGATCCAGGACTGGAGTTAAGGATCAAGGAGCGGGAGGTTCCCATAGAGATTTGAGCGTGTTCTTTGTCAACATCTGGCATCCAATTTGAAGATTGCATCTTGGATGCGGAAAGCACTTTGTCGCATATTAGTTACTCATAGCAACGCTGAGATAGCTAGGAAATGAATATCTGTTTTAACATTATTAGTTGGTATTTAAATTACCTAAGTGTAAATAAACTGAGCCAAATAGCCAAAGGTAGACAGGGCACAACCTTCGTCAGCACTCGGGTTGCATATTCAGTAGAGCCTGGTGTCAGCTATTCTCTTACGTGCATATCTAGGCATCTACCTCCCCGATAGCATCATATCCTCGTGGCTGCCTAAAAGCGGTCTTCCGTGGGGGGCTGGATTCGATTCCTTTTACATCCACCAGACAAGCCAACGATATCACACAGTTTTTTGTTGTCAAAATGACCACCATTCTCAGTCTTCCGGATGAGCTTTTGGCTCCTATACTGCACGCTTCTGTACCTCGGTATTCTGCCCATCGTGCAGCGCCACTGGCCCTTGTTTGCCGACGCTTCAATCGCATTATTACACCGCTTCTTTATCGCAACCTCCAGATAGAATGCAATGGTGCCTGCGGGCCACATGAATATATTCGTAGAACCAAAGCACTTCATCGCACGGTTCGCTCAAATCAGTCATTGCGGCAACATTGTCAAAGTCTTGTCATTACGTTTGGGTCGAATTTCTCGACGGATCTTGATGGGAAAGACACCGCCCCGAATCTAGCCTATATCGCCATAGACTTGGTCAAGTGGCTCTATAATACGGAGGAGCTTTATATCGGCCTCACATCATTTCATGACGACACGTGGTACGAGACTTTCAAGACGTCAACGCCATCAGATCTGTCCGTTTTGTATAGTCAGGCCCCCAAGTCCCTAACGCGTCTCAAGCTTCTGAATATAAGACAAGAAAATGTGCCTATGCACTTGCCGACTCTATTTAGAAGTCTCGAGTGTTTGGACAGTGGCGCATGTCTACGAATTCTGGACCTCACTGGCGTGTCCCAAATTGGAACTGAACAAGATTGGAAGCGGATGAAGGTGAGAACGAACCATGCCTCTGTTGTATCTTATGATGAAAGCACCATGAGTATTCCTGAGCGAACGCTAATATGCTCTTGGGTCTAGGCTAAAGCAGGCACTGCTCCGTTCACAGAGCTCAGGTTGCGCCATTTCACCCAGAGCGCAACTGCTCTTGAAGCGCTCGTGATGTGGCCGGTCAGACTGGAAGCGTTTCACTTCTCGATGCCAATGTCCGACTATTACGATGGTGACTACGCATTAACAAGATACGACTTGGGTATAATGAAGACGATATTATCGCATCAAAAAGCCTCGTTGAGCCATGTTAACATTCACGAGCTCCTTACACAGTCTGGTGTGCAGGACTTTAATCTTTCCGAGTTTCACCAATTGTACACTCTGTGTTTGTCACGCGATCTAACAGGCATTGGTACCAGTCACGTGGCCAATCTTCTTGCGCCCAACCTGCGGACATTTCGCTGGGATATGGCACTCGAAGATCAGCACGATTGTAGGGGTCTAGAGGGGTTTGCTGAACCTCAAGAAGAGTGGATAAGAGCATTGGCTAAATCCTCTATGGGGCGCAAGACTTCTCTCAAGCAGATCCATATCGACTTCCACCCAGAGGGCTCGTTTACTGGAGACATTGATAAGGACTATCAATATCCATGGGATCGAATGGACAGACTTGCCGAGGATTTCAAGTCTCACGGGATCAATGTGGTATACAGCCCCCCTAAGATCACTAAGGAGCAATTCCTGAGGACCAAGGAGTAATTTTTAAACTTTAAAGCTTCCCTAGCTCGAGGAGAGATTACTTGGTAACGGAGCAGTGTTCTTATACGACCTTTGGAAAGCACGAAATTGAGAAGCAAGCTTTGAATAGCGAGTAGAAAATGATTCCAAGCTTTAAGCAGTTCATAGAGTGACTAAGTCCTCCAGAGGAATCTCTCATGCTGATTAATGGTTGACTCATTTGCGGTACCTGCATTTACGAACAAATTTATGATCTGATCCTACAAGCGAGTCTAACCAGTTTTTACGTCATTAGCTACTGGCAGAGAAGGAAGTACGCGCTGATGGCGAACGGAAGGCAATGGATGTCACTGCTATCATATTTAGCCAAGGATGAAATATAATTCGACGAGATACGGCAAGAGGGTTTTTCCCAGTCTTTCCCTTGGGATGAAATCCATGATATCCAGGATAGGTGCCCCGGCATCGCCTAAGACTCGGATTTAAGGGAGCTTTGTTTAGGCGGCCAAAAGTAGTATAGAAGCGAAAGCGCGTAATGATGTTAAATTCGGAGAAAATTGAACACAGTTAAGATTTTCCTAGTTCAACGGGAGCTTCCTTGGATGGTGGACTTACTTTGGGGTGAGTATGGAAAATTCGAGCAATACTTGGCCATCTTGGTAATCGACTGAGCCATAACGCTTTGGCTTCATGTTCACTTTCATGAAATTGCTGCTTGTACATGCCGTTTTAGGCAATTATCTTCAAAGAGTTTAGGTGCGGATTTTTGCAATTAATTTCCTCTGCTAACTCAGGGTGTACCCTGTTCACTAGTTAGTTAACACATTCATAATCAGCGGATGGATGCTTTGGGTAATTCCCGTTGGACCTAGACTTGATCCTTCAGCTTAATAATTTAGTAGCATGCAGTACTATGCATTAAAAATACGTATCACGACATGACAAATGTTATAGGATTATAGCAAGCCACGATCATGCCCAAGATACTCGTTCAGCTATAAAGCTTTAATCATAGAACAATGTCTCAGTTCCTCTGTCACTAAGTCAACAAGGTTGTTTCTGTATCTACTTCAACCCAATCTACCAGTTTCAACAAGATGCGGTTCACGTCCTTCACCCACATAATCAGCTTGGCTGCCCTGGCTAGAGTTCAAGCCAAACCTTTCCCTCAGGATGGTGGTCTGAATCTACCAACGCACACAGTTGCAAGTGCCAGCCAGGAAGGAGCATGGTTAGAGAATCTTGCCGTACGTCCCAACGGAGATCTCCTGGTGACGATGATGGTGCCAGATCCCACGCTTTACCATGTCCAATCCCCCGGTTCTGCGGATGCACAGCTCGTTCCGCTCTACAAGTTCCCCAACGCCACGGGCCTTGTGGGCATTACAGAGCTCGGTAACGACAGATTTGCCGTCAACATGCATAACTTCTCTTCATTCGTGACTCCGGTTGCCGACACTGGAGCTGTGTGGGAGATTAGCTTCTCAAACACCCACAAGGATGACTTCACTGCCCGGAAAGTGACTGTCATCAAGGGGGCCGGATTTCTGAACGGCATGACTCCTTTCACCACGAAGAACAACAAGTCACCCAAGTGCAAGGCTGAGACAAGTCTCATCGTGGCGGATTCCTACGCGGGTGTCATACGCCGCGTGGACCTCTCAACCGGAGCCGATGAGATAATTCTTGATGCCCCCGAGCTGAAGCCTTCACCGGCCAGTCCTTTTGGGGTTAACGGCGTCCACGTTAGGGGAGATTACCTCTACTTTACGAACACGGCTCTTCGGGCGGTCTACCGCATCGCGATTGACTCGTCGGGCTATCCCTTGAAGAATGCTGCTGTAGAAGTGCTCCTCTCGTTGCCTGATATCGCCATTATTGACGACTTCGCCTTCGACAAGAAGGGAAACATCTGGGCTGCTGCGTCAAGCAATAACACCGTACTGGTGATTTACAAGAACGGGGGATCCAAGGAGTATAGCACCTTTAAGTCGGCTGCGGGAGAGCTCACCTCTCTCTCTCTTGGAGGAGTTACAGCGACAGCCTTTGGAAAGGGGGGTTATTCACACACCCTTTTCGCGTCGACTTCTGGTGCCAGCGCTTTTCCTGTCAATGGCACAGCGACCGAGCCTGGCAAAGTTGTGGCTGTTGATCTGTCTAGTGTCCTGTAGGCCTGAGGAAACAAAAGGGAAATATAAAAGGGAGCATACATCCGGTAAAATAGAGTCAGTAGTGGCTTGTTATCAATTTCAAACCATCGTGTTGAGGTTTCCTTATGATATCCTTCAGTGATTGTAGATCTCACGTCTCTGGCTATACAGTGCCTTTACACCAAATGAAAGGCATGGCATCCCTGTCCATGCCGTTCTAGATAATCTAGATTATTGAGATGAAGAACTGACTTTCTTCCGCATCTCATAGCTTAAAGTGGTCGATGAAGTTGGCTTAACTTAGCCAGATCGCTGTAAATCAATCTGAATATGACGAAGTTCGGACTCATTTAAGGAGTCGTGGGTCGCCTCATATGCCATGTCGGATGTTTTCAATGATAAATTGGTGCAGCATTACCTTCTTGGTATCATGCTATGGAAGGGCTAAGTCACCAACATCAATACGATGCAGTAGCGCGGCCAATTGATGGGCTTAGAGGATGCTAATAATAATTTTCAGCGGATCTGCCACTCAACTTGCTGTTGGCTACGCTCCCTGTGGCCAACAAATAATGTCCATCTTCCATCACCAAAGTAATGTCTGTTGGTTGGAACACACCTAAACGCGCTAGAGCTATGGATCTTTCTAAATGTAAGGCAGGTACTTACGTATCTCACATGCACCGCTCTTTCTTTAAAAGCAGTCGTCTGACCAACAAGACGAGAAATTATTCTTTCCTCCTTTCTTTCCCTCCACCATTGTGCTTCCTTGAATATTTCGCATTCGAAAACAAACTGGAAGATGACCGACACCGACAGTCTCGCCGATGCCGAGAGAAGGCAGGCTACGATCAGGAGTGAGAAGGTATTTGTCTCAGAGGCTATTTCTAAGCTGCATACCATTGCGCTTCAAGTACCCCGCTTGGCAGGCAACAGCAACGAATGTGATGAAAAAAGAGAACTCAAGGCTTTGCTAAGGCAGCTCTACACCGTCATTTGCAGACTTTCAGATTACCGGAGAGGCAAGCACTACGCCCCATTTCCGGAGGAAGACGACAACGAGGACGGAAAAGCTGAGGAGAACAACAACGGGGAGGATGATGAAAGTGGCGGCGAAGAGGTTATTGGGAATGATGACGCTGAAGATGACAGTGACTCCGACTCCGACGATGATTACGAAGGTGCAGGCGATGGCGGCGGCTTCAGCTCAGGCTTCGCGAACATCCCGGGCGGTTTTGAGCTGGACCAGATACTGCTCGTAGCCTGGCACGCCGTGCTGGAGCCAGTCGACGCACTGGCAAAGCTTGATCCTGATGGCCCCTTCCTCGCCGCCAGGATGATCCTCTTCACCCACCACGCCCTTTCCAAAAACAAAGCTCTTCCAAAGAGCCTCGAAGATGGCGAAGAAAGGTTCCAGCTCCAGGCTGACCTGGGCCAGGATCTTGACGAGGTCCTTCTCGTTCAGCTACGCAGAGCGTGGGAGCAGGGTGGGCACAAGGATGATCTCTCCTGGGCTTCGACGTTCCTCGAAGTTGATAACTCCAATAGCGTCTCCAACGATTACAACCGCGTTGTCATGTCAGCATGCTCTTCATCTGAGTTCTGGGAGGTCCAGAAGCAGGCAGCAAAGTACAGATTCAAAAACAGGAAGCGGCGGCGGGAGTCGATGTGGGATCTTCCATCCGAACTCCCATCGACCAACTACGGTCCCATCGCCATACCGCTGTTTAACACTATTATTGAACTGCTCGGCTGCATAGTTAGCAGCTCGGGGTACAGGGGTCCGTGCTTGCGACGCTCTCATTACTTCGTTCAAGACATACGGCAGAAACTCAATTCGGCTATGCCTGAGGAGGTACTTCGCTTAGTGTCTTCGCTTCTCCATCAACACGTCCCTCTTGAGCTGCAAATAGCTATTCTGGAGTACACCAACCCTTCAGGAAGTGCCGATATTCATCCATATCTTTCCAGGTTGGATATTGGAGCTGCCTACATCCCGATCCCAAAGCGGGCAGTTGACGATGAGGAGTGCGAAAAATGCATCCTCGGACAACCCATCTCGGCTCAAGCCACATGCCTCAAGCGAAACGTATACATTTGGAATGTGGCCTTGCGGGCCTTCCACACATTTCACAGGGTACAAGATGGCCGCGTTTCCATGTGCAAGCACAAGGGCATCTGCCAAGGCCACCACTCAAACGAAGAATGGCGCATCACATCGAAGGAAGATGTTCAGAAGTATGCCCTCGATATCTTCGAAAGCCGGTGCCATGTTTCCTCACTTCCCACCTCAGCCCAAGACTGGTTCAAGGCGATGACGACAATCAACCCGCATCCCGGTCTCGTGAAAAGTAATTATTATAAAGCAAAACACTCCATTCGGATGAGATTTCCCCGCCTAGGACTAAGGGGGGGAGAGGCTGATATCAGATATCGTAAAGAGGGTGGACACTGCGGCTTGGTCTTCTCAATGCTCAACCCAAAAGTGCACAGACAACATCCAGATAGGGCAGATCCGTTCGACTTCGACACCAACAAGCCTGGACAGTGGGCGTATGGGCGGTCTATAGAGGAGGAGAAAGAGGTAACTGAGGCTCTATTCAAAGATGTCAGAACACACGAGGAATGGGAGGAGGAGGTGCAAAGCAGCGATGATTCGCTTTCGGAAGAAGATTAGAGGGTTCAGCTTGCAGAGGCCATGGTTCTTTTTCTGAGATGAAGTAGTGATTATATGCGCGAAGTTCGCTCGCTATCTCCGTCTGATGTGGCTTGTCACCGGAGAGAGTGGAGTGTGTAAAACCGCGAGGTTGTAGTCTTATGATATTATTAGTTTTCAGGTCAACTGTCCCAATATCCAAGTTTAGTGTGCAAACACTATGGGGAGGACAACATAGACAACATGAACCCTCCAGCACTATAGAAACACCTTACACCCATTCATAGGCGTGCGCCCCAGCCGCGATACTGGGTCGGAGATGTTAGAAATACCAATGAGCTTCCAGTGACAACAAGCATCATACTATTCATGAAGGGCCTGATTCCTTTATGCTGAAGAAGCGTTTCCCACAGCGCCTTGAACTGTTCTGCAGGTCTATGACAAGTCATTTCCTTGTAACTTTGAACTCGAAATTCGACGATGCTTCCAAATGTATTCCCCAATGCTCCCTTTGTATTCAGTTTGAAAAACATGTCCAGAATAAGATTCATTGTCTGGATGGCGACACCATGATGGCATCGAGAGCGGGCTTAAATAATCCCCGGGGCTGACGGACATAAGGATAGCCTATTGCCGCACCACAATTGAATAATAAGTTTAGCCATCTACCCCAAATATCCATTCTTCTGATTGAATCATTTAAAATAAATTGTTTCAAGTATCAGTCCCTACAAATTGAACATCTTGAGCCACCGCGATCTCAAACATGTCTTTGTCTTGGGGTGAAAAGAAACTCACCTGGCTCATCACTGGTGCATCATCAGGCTTTGGCCTGGCTCTAACACGACTGGCTCTGGAGGGTGGTCACCGCGTCATTGCTACGTCTCGAAATCCATCATCATATCCTGAAATCAAAAACGAAATATCTTCAAAAGGTGGTGAACTAGTGGCGCTGGACATCAATGCTCCTGACTCGGCGGATGTCATTCACAAGCTCCAAGAGCAAGGAGTCGAGGTTGACATTCTGGTAAATTGTGCCGGGTCTGCCATCCTCGGCCCTGCCGAAAGCTTCAACGAAGATGAAGTCAGAGCTCTGGCTGAGACAGCATATTTTGGTCCTTATCGGCTCATCAGAGCGGTAGTCCCCGGGATGCGGACACGAAGAAGAGGCATGATTGTCAATGTCAGCACCGGGTCAGCTGTGGATGGGCGAGAGTCAATGGCCGTATACGGTGCCAGTAAAGCCGCAATGGACAGTAAGCTTCACCCTGTTTTGTACCAAGCAATCAATACAGAAACAACTAACACTATTCAAGCGTTGATGCATGTCATGGGGAAAGAGCTTGCTCTCTTCAACGTTCGCACCTTGACCATTCACCTTGGAGCATTCGATACTTCTTTCGCGAGCAACAGCGTTAGAACCACATCCAACCCCCTTCCATCAGACTACAACGGGACTATAGTTGATAAAGTCGTTGGATCGGTCAAGCAGAAATTTACCCCGGATGGTGACCATAAAAAGGCAACTCAAGTGATGTATGAGATGATTATGGGAGAAGGGTATGGCAAAGGGAAAGAATCTGAACGTGTTATGCTTCTTGGGAGAGACATGTGGACTTGTCAGCAGGCTGCGGCTGATAAAATGCTACACAAGATGAACACATTCGAGGCCATTAGTAAGAACGTTTACCTCGATAAGTAAGGTAGTTAAGTTCATGATAATTATACAGCTCGTTCACTACTTTTTAATCTGACTATGATGTGCGGATTAGAGATCTTCGGCATCTCATTCCTCCGAAATTTCATCCAAATAGTTGACTACCTAGTTGCATCATACTGCTGTCGCCTTCGGTTCTATGTGGGAGAGTAGTGTGGGCTGTTTTAATTGTTTCATCATTTTCTTCAGATAGAGCAAGCATCAATATCACGGTATACACAAGCCATCCGGCGGCGCCCTGTAGTAGGCGTACCAACTATCGTCGCCACCCAGATAGACATAGTAATGAGGCGAAACCACACCCAGATGAATCTTCATCCAATCCTCGCTATCATAAGGCTCCCCATCCTCGTCCGTGGCCTCCTCTTCTGGAAGCGGGTCGGCCCAAGCCCTGACGAGATTGACATGGGCGCAACTATTAAAGGCGGCATTGTAACTACCGGGATCGGGCACAAAGCAGCGCAGCGCTTCCTCGTCAGCCTGGACGAAGAGGTCATAGCGCCCGGGGCGGTTGATCTCAGTCTCGAGAAGGTCGTACGGAGCGTCAGCGCGCGCCCAGGCCCGGAACCTGCGCTTCAGCTCATCCAACGACGCGCCGTCGAGCTCCGGATCCTCCACAAAGAGCCATTCCATCTGCTCCGCGATCTCGGGCGCGTCAGACTCAGCGACAGTCTCGCACAGGTCCTCGAGCACCACTCGCTGCAGCGTCGCCCAGGCCGCGTCCAGCTCGGGCTGGTACGCTGTCCGATATACGACCCAGCCCCATTTGTTGACCTTGCCGGCGGCGATTTGCTGCTGGATGATGCGCTCGGGCGATGGTTCGTGCCAATTCAGCGAAGGCGAGGTGACCTTTAGTGCCTTGGGCGGCGATGTCGAAAATGGGCGGGATGTTGGCAACGCGCGACTGACCTGGGGGACTGTGAGTCTGCCACGATACGCGAGGCGGATGGTGGTGTAGAGTCGAGAGCGGAGGAGACATGGCGCACGGCTTAGGTTGCTGCTCATGATGCGTGGTACCGTAGCCATCTGAGCTTTCTTGCGGGAGAGACCAAGCGCCCAGCATGGAGGCAGAGAAGGAAAATAGTATTGGATGACTAAATTATCTCAGCTTCCACACCCATGCACGAAGTCTTCCCAAAACGTCTGCATCAGCTATTCAGTGATCCAATCTCTCTTGGCATAAGCCTCTCTCTTGGCATAACAAGCCTCTCGGCTTAAGAGACATTTCCGAAAATTGCGACTAAAACTATACAGTATCTACGAATTGAAGATTGCTATAAACAACAATCACTAGTCTTCTTTTCGTCAATGGGACCTTCATCCTGCTATCGCATGGTCTTAACTACCAGGCCCATCCATGCCTGCCATGCGTATTAATTAAAAACTTGATTGCTCTATCGAAAGCTCTGTCCTTGACTTCCTTCTTCACTGCTGCATCCGGCACTAAAGTCATGTTAGCAACACCCCCGGTTAAGGAAAAATCACACGTCGAATTTCCTACCTTCCAAGTAGCCATGAAATCCCTCTGGCTCTACATACACTTCCACCCTTCCAGGTTGTTCAGCGTTCAACCTTTCAGCCAACTCCTGTTGTTCTCCAACTAGGATGTCGATTGCGGGTATCGCCATCAGCATTCGGGGTGGGAGTGTCTCTCCTCTGGCAATGACGGGGCTCATTCGAGGGTCTCCCGCGTGTGAGGCCCGTACGGGGCCTGGATAAGAATCGAACAGCGGCAGCAAGAACGCTAAAGGGTCAGTTTTGGGAAACCTCGCTGGTTTAGGCTTTTCCCAAGGTGGGATACGGAGGTCAATCGAGGCATAAAAAGTAACGCTCGCTTTAAGGGAAGTTGGCGAAGGAGCTTGCAGTTCGGGTTGTTGTGTAGCTGCCAGGGCGAGGTTTCCACCCGCTGAGAACCCACCGATGGTCATGAGGGTACTGTCTGCTCCCCATCGAGACTCGGCGTTCTTTATGATCCATGCAATCGTAGCATCAATATCATCAATTCCAGCAGGGAAAGGATGCTCTGGTGCGTATCTGTACGTAAGGCTCACAACCACAGCGCCTGTTTCGACAGCAACCCTCTCGTCGAATCTGGCGTTGCTCTCTGGGAGGCCACCAATAAATGCTCCGCCATGTATCTCAATATGGAGAGGTCGAAGCCTACGGCCCTTTCCAGTGCCAGGCGTCTTGAAGACTAAAGCACGAACGGACCGCTTTGGAAATATTGGCAGATACTCCACATAGAAAGGCCGGGAGAAAATATATGGGAATGAGCCAATGGAGTAGGTGAGTAATGAGATGGGTTGAAGTAGCGCAAGCCTCCAGCGATACTTCCAGGGTATTGATGAGTTAAATAGAGCCACACACAAAGGACGGAACCAGCTGTATAAAGCCCACATCTTTGCGTGATTGCAGCCAAAATCTATGCTTCGATTGGCAACTAGGAAGAGAAGAAGAGGTTTGGGTTCGTTGAATGAAAGAGTAGAGATTGCATGAGCTTTGATCCTCAAGTGCCTTAATTTATATTAGCAACTCAAAGCCAATGTGCACACCACTAGCCAATCGGGTGATAGAACTTGGTGAGTCTAAACCTGATTCATTAAGCGAACGCGACCGATACGACCAGCTGGTCAAGAGATAACTCACCAAGTCACATGATACCGACATTAAAAGCAGATCAAGAAATCAACTTTCATCGTTCAAAGCAGCTGTCGCGAACTTGAGTAGATGGTTCTATGTTATATTGACATTCAAAATCAGCTTTAATACTTGGTCTCAAATAGAATAGGAGCCATAAGCCCAACACATGACAGCTCCCTCAGTCATGCCGCTTTGTCCACGGGCTCAAGGCTTCCAAGAACTTTTCATGAACTGTACGGTCACCAGTGCTCTTCATGAAATCTTCGAAAGTTTCATCACCTTGGACCTTGAAAAAGAGTAAAACCCCAGCCCAGACAAAGTCAGTGTAGCTGGCTTGTTCTCCCTTGAAAAATGGCCCTTCCTTCTCTTGTAACATCCCAGTGATCTTCTGCAGATAAGGCGCGGCTTTTGCAAATGCCTCGTCCCGTGGTACCGACTTCGCGTATTCTTCAAGTGTCATACCTAGCATTTCCTCGCGAGTCCTCTTGAAGAATTCAACGCTGCGTTCACTGAGGAGGCGTGCTGGCACCTGAGTAACATAAACCGTTGTCAAACTTCCCATTCCCCCCTTTAGCTGCTCTATCAGCCTCGCGTAAAGTTCTGGATCCAGGTGGATGCTAGGTTCAGGATGCCTTTCCTCAAGGAGAGCCGAGATGTGTTTGGAGTCCATGACGTAGGTGCCGTCAGGGAGCCGGATAGTTGGAGCTGTATATATACCGCCTGCCATTTCATTTGGTGGTAAACTGATAGGTTGGACACGTACGTTAGACAGTGTCGGTTAATCTCAAACGCTCAACTGTACTCACTGTGGCTCAAATGTTGGCTTGAGGTCGGGATATTCGATCTGCACAATATCAGCCGTTAATTTCTACTCAATGTCTCTCGCAGGAACTCACCCATTCAGTCTTGTAGTCTAGGCCTTTATAATTAAGTATCAACCGCACTAAATTGACCGTTAGAACATCCCTAGAGCCAGATCTATTTCAGGCATGCTATACCTCTCCAAGTGTTAAATGACCAGCATGTCTTCGGCTCCTTAGTCGGAATATCGAAGAAAGTGATAGTATTGTCAGTCGACATGTTTAGTTGTCTATCGTTGATGTGTATCTGTGGAACTATTTTCTTGCGTCAATTCTTACGTGTTAGGAGTCAGACGCTGATAAAGGAAGAGGGGAAACGACGAGATAATTAATCTCAAATGGGCTTATGTCATATGATCAACTTGTCGCGTACCCTTTATTGGGAGCTCCTGAAAGTTCTCCGCAGTTTGAGTCTCCATAATCAATACTACGACTAAAGCAGAAGCCAGTAAGTGTCCCTGATAAGTTGCCGTTCGTATTGCGAGGTAAAATAAATCCGGAATCTTATTCCCCGCCTTGATAAACTCGATCCTTCGACCAGGCTGACCCACCCAACCACCTTCACAAGCAAGGCCTCAGTTTGCTTCACAACAGAGACCACTACTTTATGGCATGAAGATCAGTTTGGTGGAATAGGCTCCACAGAGGTGATTTCTTCCCTTAAAGTCTTCTTCGGGAATTGGCTCTCTTTTCGACTCGAAAAGGGGGAAACCCCACGAGGAACCCGACAATAACATAGCTTCCATTTGCATTCTATATTTCGAAACAAATGAGTGCTCTATTCGATAACATGCTAAGCTCCATCAAATACTACTAGCCCTTCTTCATTAGCCAATTGATTGGTACGGTATACTCGAATACGATGGTATTATAGGACAATACTTGTGGTAAGGTCCTGCATACGCTTGAACTGCTAAGAAAGTCGGCACATTCAACCAGCACCTCATTCAATACATGGCAAGGAGTGTAGCGGTTTGCAGATTTATAAACCCAAGTACCTCTGCCATGACCAACCCAAGAAGCGAGTGTCGTTAGCTTTAGCAAGGCCTATAACCCAGGAATTAAACTAGAAACTTGAGTCCAAAGAAATTCCCATAAAGCCCTATCTATGTTGGCCGTGTGTTGTAAATGAAACAGTGCCCATATCTGGTACTTTAGTCTTCTACTACTTCACATCTATAAGACCGAATGCTGTATCCCCTCCACTGAAAGACAAGCTATGAATCTTTGAGGAGAAACAATCCGCATCATAACCGAAATTATCGATTGACAGTTTCCTGCGAGAATCCATAAGCTCGAGGAGTGATCAGACATATTTTAAACTCCATGGTGCAGTGATTCTACAGGGCAACGTCTCCATCCAGCTCAAAAGGATACATATCAAGACGAACGTTTCGATCATCGACAGAGATACGCGTGAATGGCTTTGTAAATCATCAGTCAATTGTGGGCTCCCTTTGGCAGCGCGTCTTTCACGGATGATGACCAAATCCAGAAAATTGGCCCGCCAATGATTCGTGAGCACCATGATGACCTCAGAGATCTCCGATATAAGCTCAAATCACGAGCAAGAAACACTTCTAAAGCCGCACCCAGCAAAAATAAAGCTTATAATGAACAGTCAAACAAGAGGCTTAGACTTCAAACCCCAGGCTCAGATTATCTCGCCCTGGCATGATTAGGAGAGTGGGTGCGCCCGTGCTGCTCTTACCGATCCCTCTTGCAAACTCTAGTACGTAAATGCTGCGCGTTATCAATGATTCGAAGCGAGCCATAGACTTATTCTTTATATGGTTTTAATTTTTCATGACAATTATTAGGGAAAAAAGCTCCTTTGGCGATGGGTAGAGGCTCTCAAACTTGCGCCTACCCTGTGGCCGATCAACATTGCTGCTGTTCTTAGGCCGCTACTCGAGTCAGTTGCCCTCTTTGCCGCGGAAAAGAGAACTCGATTTTTTTTTTATTTCATTTTGAACCGCTGTTCAATGGTTATTGTTTACTTTTGTGACGTAGACTTATGTTGAGCAAAGACGATACGGCGAACTGCTGGCGCATGAGAACCGGAAGCAATACCTTCTTAACATCAGTGGTAATTTACAGTCCCAACGACCCCGTCATGGACTCAAATGAAGAAAAAGTGAGTTTAATACATCTGTTGGATTAATATTATATAGTGGAGCGCAAGCAACACAGCCTTTTATAATATAATTGACATCTGGAGAATACCATAAGATGATTGAATCTACCAATCCTTTTGGAAAATGCCTTCGGGTTCTTCAAATACTTGACCCTTGGACGAGTGTTAATTACAGGTCTCCACTCCCGGAATGGTTCGAGAAAAATCTTCAGCCCAAATGACTGAGCGGCTCTTCTTAAAACTCCACGCCACGCTAGGAGAAATTGGCAACGGTTCTGCTTCGGACGACTGCCGGGCTTTGAATGAAACCCGATTGGGTCCCCAAATATGCATATCGTCATAGTACGAGTAGAATGGTTAACACAATTCACCTTGTGCTCATGCTCCGATCTTTGCTCTTTGGGGCTAAAGCCGAAGGAGGTGACAAATTACAACTACCGGATCCCAACAGGCGAACAACTTTACCAACAGAGGCGCTCCTTAGGGCGTCAACACTCGGGTTACGACGGAGTGCGACCAGTCTTCAAAAATTAATGTCATCATACCGATCCCCACAGCCTTGGTTTGATAACACATTTTCATCCCTTGTGGACTCGCTCTCGGCTCTAAGCTCCAAGTTCCACACTGCCATTTTCGAAGCACCCCGTGAAATCTCATTGGCTACCGGCCCGGGAGAAGAAGTATTCTTGCTGCCTAGAGTAGCGGTATATGATCATGGTGGTCAGGGGAAGTGCCGAGGTTTTTGTTGCGAGACGGCTACAGTTGAACCTGCTCCAGCTCTCCAAACTTCCAATTTCCCTCGATTAAGAATGATAAGATCACGAATTGAATATAAAATAAGCGTAAATTTATCCAGCCTTATGAACAATCCCACAAGATTCGGTGAGCAACTTCTTGGGAACATTGCTGATGCCGCTCGGTGCTTCTCCGGTGTTGGTTCCCCCAAAGTCCACCCGGCCAATCCGCTTTCTACTGAATCAGCGAGTGATGGAGCTGCGGAATGTCGGAGGACCACTTAATGTCGCCTCATTGATTGCCGGGGGCGAAGCTACTGAGATCCCGAGCCCACCACAACCCAGGTCAAGCCAACCAGAATCGATTCTCTGCCGTCCGTGCCCTCTCTTTAAGAGGTTTCACAGGCCGTGTTTCCCGTGGCACGTAGCATCCAAAGGGGGGCCGCGAAACGAGGCTTCAGCACAATATGACGGAGCCAGCTCCGACTCCCCAACAACAACACTTCCATTCTCGGCACGACACGGGGAATTGTATCCATGGGGTCTGTCAATGGAGAAGGGGGAGCACGGGGAAACAATTTGGAGATAATTGGGGTTCTCCGATGTGGGGATTAACTCAGAAAACGTGCGAGCCCGGTTCTCAATAAATATCAGGCAAGGCCTGCCAGTCGCTAGCAAGTCTAACTCATCTGCCCTGCCCTCCGATTTTCTCTCAAGGCGATCAGCTCTGGAATCGTTTCATCATGTCGTCCCAAGTGATCGATGACGCCAAGCAGGACTTTGCTGCCCACGATGAGCTTCAAGTGCCAACTATGGACCCAGCGCGTCGAGCTGAGGTTGAGAAGAGCCTCAAGCGCAAACTTGATGCACGATGCAGTCTGTTCGTGCTAATTTACATCATGAACTATCTCGACCGAAACAACATTGCTGCCGCCCGTCTCAAGGGCTTGGAGGCCGACCTCAACCTCAACGGGACACAATACGCCACGTGCTTGAGTATCCTTTACGTGGGCTACATTCTCATGCAGGTCCCCTCCAACATGTTCATCAACCGTATCGAGCGGCCCAGTGTGTACATTGCCTGCTCCATGCTCCTGTGGGGAGTCATTTCCACTCTCACGGGCTGTGTGAACAACTTCGGAGGGATGGTCGCTACCCGGTTTTTGCTCGGTTTCGTCGAGGCTGCTTTCCTGCCAGGTGCTCTCCTCATCCTGTCCAAGTGGTACACGCGTCGAGAACTCACGACAAGAAATGCCATTCTTTTCTGCGGTAACCTCATCTCAAATGCCTTCTCAGCCCTTATCGGCGCTGGAGTGCTGTCCAATATGCAGGGTGTGTTGGGGCATGCTGCCTGGCGCTGGCTGTTCTGGATCGAGGGAGCCATCACCATGACTGTGGCCATCTCTGCCGCCTTTATCCTTCCTGATCTCCCCACCAACTCGCGTGGCTTCACGGAGGATGAGCGAAGAGTAGCACAGCTCCGAATGATGGAGGACGTCGGTGAGGCAGACACAGACTCTGCAGAGCAGGGTATGTTCGACGGTCTGATTATGGCTGTCAAGGATGTCAAGATCTATGTCATGATGTTCACTTTCACTGCCTACGTCGTCGGCCTCTCTTTCAACGCCTTCTTCGTAAGTTTCACCATCCTTATCCTTGTTGAAGAATTGTTGAGAATAATCACTAACCGGCTTACAGCCAACCCTTACCAACACTCTCGGCTTTGGCTATGTTCCAACTCTGCTCATGAGCTCCCCGCCCTGGGTGTTCTCGTGCATTGTTTCAGTCATCGTCTCATGGCACTCTGATCGCACACAGGAAAAGGTACTTCCTATACATCCAATTGGATAAAACGCCCAGAAAACAGACCAAGATTGCTAACACTCAACCCAGTTCTGGCACATCACCTGTCCCATCCTTGGTGGAATCGTCGGCTTCGTCATCAGCATGTCCACCCTGAACGTCGCCGCTCGCTACGTCGCACTCTTCCTCCAGGCATCATCATACGCAGGCTTTATCGTGTTTTACTCCTGGATCAGCTCTTCCTTCCCTCGCCCTCCCGCCAAACGTGCCGTCGCTATCGCGATGATCAACGCGTTCAGCCAGCTTGGCAATATTGCCGGATCGTACGTCTGGGGCTTGAGCGACAACGGCTTCAGGAAGAGCTACGGAATCGTACTGTCCATGTTTGGAGTTACGATTGTGGGCTGCTTTGCGTTCCGATGCATCCTTGTCCGGCTCAACAAGAAGCTGGAGGAAGGCGAGCAGGCGTGGGAGACGAGGCCGGATGTGGCTGAGCAGACTGCCGCTGTCGAGATCATGGAGAATGATGATGAGGCTTTGCGTGTGCGGAGGGGATTCCGATACCTTGTCTAGAGATATACTCGAAGGTTCCACGACGAATAAATTGCTTCCTACATATAGTCACAACAATTGATATCTCTTTATTTGAGAATGAATGAATCTAACCATGTGAGCGACTGAATTGACATTGTCCCAAAGATGCTTCTGCGAACTCAATCTCATCTGAAACTTAATGTTTCCAATTATTGTCTAGAAATTGTGAACTTCAAAGTTGTTTGCTGATTTGAAGTCGCAAATGGGAGGCGGGAATCATCGGGGCCACCATAGCTGGGTGAGAAAGTTGCCGGATGCAACACTCCCCTTCAAGAACGGTTGGCTGATATCAATACTGCAGGACGAGTAAGGTGCACAACGTAAACTTCATTCTCACCTCTATAAATTCTCATAATCTGAGGAAGAACATGCAACAAGGCACGTCAGCATTGGTGGCCTGTTCACGATATTGGACACGACACGACTCACTAGTGATTCACCTGAATTGGGCTTAAGGTCACATCCAAAAACCTATGTGGTGCTCTCGGACTACGCTGTGATATGCAACCTAATCTTGCTGATTACTAGTCTACAGATCAAGAGAGTCAGGGTCTGAGGTGGCGTGGCCATGCCGAAATGGCGATGACAACAACCCGGGAGCTCTAAGCTCCCAGCAACGGCAGCTCATAGAGGGATCTAAAACTTCAATTCTGTCCATATTTGATTTCAGTATCAGATATCGTGATACTAGCTGTGTCAGCCCAGAAGAGTCATACAAAGTGCGTCACCTTGTTGGGAATACGGAACACAGAAACAATTCTGTGAAATACTAGATCTCGATTTGGATAAGGCGTCAATATGCTGGAGCATATTCCAAATCATGACCTATACTCATTTACCAGCCTCGGAGGAAGAAATTATGGACCATGGGGGACCGGACCTATAGGTGTATGAGGCGCTCAAGAGTCTAACACGTTAGACGAGGCTGGATTGTGATGAATGGCTTGCCTCTACGATGCTAACCAAACGTAGAAAGTCATAGGAATTTTCTTCCCTCTGACTTTTATGTGTTGGGAGATATACGTACTAAACTGATGCCAGTCTAAACAATCTGGGATTTCTTTGGTTAATAAGATTTCCTTCCATTGACCCGTTCCAGCCTCAGCTACTTACCCAAAGCGACCGCGACTACATACACATTTGCGGCCTAAAAAGCCTCAAAGCATCAGAGTAAAACGTGAAATGCGAGTTGTCCGACCGTGTGGATAATTACGAATTCCAATATTGCTGCGTCTGCGGTAACAACGAGGGGGTACCGCGGGGTTGAAATGTGACAGCAGCTGCTGCCTCCTGACCCCTACTGGTGATTACAAAAGCTGGCCGGAGATTCTCCATGGAACAAGATGATGACAGTAGACCTCCGTTCAATTGGATTTTAGCGTCACTCTCCAACATCTCCTGGCTTGATTGGGAAGTTTCGTGATGTATCCTAACTTAGCCAACTGGGCTCTACCTAGAGAATGGCAAGTGGGTGGAATAAAACATGGCACATCGACACAATATCACTATAAATAACCTAGTACTGAATACAATATCAAGCTAAATATTATAGAACAGTCTATTCTTCTCTTATTCTTCTCTTATTATTGTATTTAGTTAAAAAACCAAGGTCCCTGGCTTACGCGGAAAGAGCTTTGGTTTGCCATGTTTTATTCCACCCACTTGAATGGCTTCCCAAAGGGCAACGCGATAAACTGTGTGGCAAATGATACATGTGGAACCTACAGATGTGACTCAAGGGGTTTGAATTGCTCACAGAATGGACCGCATTGGGTTTGTGGTAAAGCCGAGCTTATGGAAAAGTCGGTCAGCTTGACGACCAATTACGTGTGCAACTGCAGAGGCCCAGCGACAACTACTCGCATATATAGATCCAAGGGCGACCGTAATACTAGAGAAAGATTGCAACAGCGCCAGCTCAATGGCCACATCGACAGGTTCAACCAATTCGACCACCACAACCTCTTAGTCCAGTGGCCACATCGGGTTTTGCAACATCTGGTTCCGCAACACTCATTACCAGTGCCGAAGCAGAGCCCACCGCCACATCCAGGGCTCAGGGAAAACGCAAGGAAGATTTCAGCTGCCAAATTCGTGCCACTTGCCGGCAACTTAGTGCTTAGTCAGAGCTGCCAGTTGTCAGCAAATCTCGCTTCGATAATCATTTCATCTTGAATCTTCTCTGTGCCAGTCAGAGTTTTGGAGTATATCATGGGATATCTAGCTTCCTGCCAAAGGAAACGCAAGAATGGGTTGAAAACTAATCTCTTCCATTGCCAGGGTGCTAAGAGGTCCAAAGCGAGCTGTGTTGGAGTCTCTGTGAGTCGGCAGATCTGACATGCCGGGCAGGGAATCTCAAACCATAGCAGTCTTGGCAGCCCAGTTTTTATACGCTGGCACAAATCGATCCTGCTGTGCATAACTTCCTGGCTTGAGTGCATATTAATATCTCCTGATTTCGCCACATGATTGATTTTAGCAGCAGATGTCACTCCTACCTATTAGGGCAATAAAAGCCACCCAATACGTGAGATCATTTCCCCTAAGGTCTAAGCGCTTAATACTGCAACTTAGGAGTAGATGCACGACGCTGTTTCTTATCGGCCTTTTTATAAAAGGTAGAAAGATGGGGCGCTGGAATAGTCTATGTATTGAGTCAGCACTGCTCAAGGATTGCTTAAAGATTTGTCTTTCAGCTGAACCTCCATCTAAACTCCTGATCAAAAGCCGCGAGGCATAGTTCTGTTATCTGACCCTGAATATGAAGTGCCGGCCTATGTGTCTCCGGATCCTTGTTTAGCCTTGGCTTGAGCGCCACGGCTTCTCCTTGTGCCGTAATTTAAATCCCTGCCAGTGGTTGTAGAGAGTGAGGTCTGGAAATTGTGTACAAGGAATTATGTAAACGCTTGGGTCTGTTTCACCTGGGGTACATAGTCAAAGGATTTAGTATCTGGGTACCGCGTGTTCTGGTTTCCGCTGTAGCCGCTCCAGGTATAATCTCGCCACTATTCAGATTTCTTTCGAAGAACCGCCTATCTATGCACTGTAATTTAACCCCTTTTCAGTAAGTATATGAGGAACCTGATATTTCCCTATTAAGTAGGAGTACGCGGTATAGCCCATTTTACCTATGTTAGAACTCCGCTTACATGATGTTTAACCCTGTGTATACATTTTGATACTACAGAGTAGAAGGGAATAAGAGCTGAGATAAATATTACTAGCACACTTTCCGTTGTAATCTAAAATATCAGTTCAAAAATCTACTCAATCTTGAAATCTTTTTCATTTTTATTTCTCTGCTTGCGATCAGCTATAAGATTTACTCTTGCAACCCTTTCTCAAAATGCGTGTTATTCAGATGATTACTTTTCTCTTTGCCGTCTCAGGCTTCACTGCCGCGCAGTCTACTGATGAAAATGGCCTCTCTCGCCGCCAGCTCGCTGAAGCCGCCCGCGAGAAATTCCTCGCTGCTCGCGATGATTACCTTGCTGCCCGCGACGAGTACCTTGCTGTCCGTGACCTGACACCTCGCGCAACTGGTCCAGCTCCGGTCAGCATCAGTGTAAGTATCCCATTGCATCCGGGTAGTCACCTTTGCTCCTGATGCAAAACTCCTGATACGAAATCTTCCTAGTTCCGTAAGAAGCCCGGTTGCCGTGAGTTTGGTGGCAAGGTGCGCTGTATTTAGAAGTGAACCCCGTACGACTTTTGGCGATAAGTGCTGTTGCCGTCGTACAACAGTGCTACTCGCTTATATACAAGCCAACGCTCACTCTTGGCCCTATCTGTTATCTATTACAGCTAACTAAGCCTAGCTGGCTAGCTAGCTTATTTTTATATGTTATACTTCGTTATATAAGCTTGAAATCGAGTTGTATTGAACCAGAGCTTACAACTACTACACCATATCAATTTAGGAGTCAAGGTCGACCCCTGAAAATAAGTGATTCCACGCACGCCATATCGATTCCCTGACTACTTGCAAAGACGGACGAATCTGGTACAATACTATCCACAGCAGAGCGTGTATACCTTGTAAATTTCATCAAGACCGAAACTCCATTGTCCTGGATCTTACTGTTGAACACATAGAATTTAGTTTACAGAGATACCAGTCACATAGAAGTAAAAATATAACTCTCTAGCTATAAAAGTTATCTTCAGGTATTAATAACAGTTATGAAAGGATACATTAAAGCAAAGCAACTTAGTATAAAACTAGAGAAACAGATCCTTCAAGAACAGACTAGTGCAAAGAATTTGGTAGAGATTCTCCAGCAGATTCTCGGTAATAATCTCTCTGTCGAGGGGTGTTGTTGTTACCGGTCGCAAGGTAGTTGGTTCATGAGGTTGATCAAGTCACCAAGATTTACCCTGGCGTCCGGAGAGTCATTCTCCATGGCCATTCATTGTCATAGATCTTTTCTTGCATTGAGCCCTTTAGCCAGTTGCAAATCCAGCCCCTCTCACATGCACCTACACAAGACAGAATGCCAGTATGTTACTCGGGCCCCGCCGTCTCTTTAAATCGAGGGAACCTGGTTCGCCATGGCTAATGGCTTTTTTAGCCTCAATATTGTAAAGGAAAAAGACCCCTCAACAACAATGAGCATCTAGACGCCTTCTCCAAAAGCGGCGAAGGCTCGCTCTGCGCAATCTACGAGAAACAGCGCCCTTGTTGCCGACTACATCGCCCGTCGTGCCCTAATCGAAAGTCACACAGGAGAAGCAGTCCGTGCTCCCAGTAGTTGCCGCTTGCGGCCATGAAAACCCAGTACCACTCCACCCGTCACTGGCAGCCTAAGCGACCCGTTGCAGTTGTAGGCCGGCTTCTTGGCAGCCCAAGCAACGGCGGGATAACTACAGCTGCAGTTAACTCCCCAGTCAACTCAGAGCAGAGTCGGGCCAAGGGCCTCTCCGATCAGCTGTGCCCTTGAAGACGGCAGATCGGCATACTTTGCGGGCACCGCAGGTCTGGACGTCGAGTCAATAAAGGCTTATCTACGGGTTCCCGGACTCTCAATCGTGGATTCAGCATATCCGCAGCTCTACATGGTCTGTGGGCTGCCAGAAAGGGCTGTCACGTCGTGCTACGTTGATAACTTCTTTACCTGGTGTTATCCGTCGCCTGCAATGATCGAGGACAATCACCCTCTACCTCTTACACACCAAGCTAAATCTGCGGTAATTCGGCCTGCATCCCCATAAGCAGCGAGATAATAGCGATCTCTGACAAAAGTTCGAATGAAGGGCATCATCTCGTTCCTCCGTCACCATTGACTCAGAGCTAAACAATTGGTCCGTTGGGGTATTTTCTCAGTAGCGCCACTAAGCAATATACGATATCGTAAGGGTATAGAAACAGGAAAACCTCCATAGCGACGAATTGCATTGTCCAGTCAAATCTGCGGGCATAGAATCAACTTCAAGGGAACATATCAGCTTATAAACGTAAATGCCAATGCTAGTGTATTATAAATGCAAGAGTTCGTAATGCCATGCTACTTTATACCAACGTTCCTGTTGACCCAAGTCGTAAATCAAATGATAAAACTTCCCATGGAGAAGCCGCGAATTTTATGTCCCGTGTATATTTACATAGAGGCCGGTGCTTTATTGGCTGAGTCCCTTGACGGCCCGGTTGTTCATGCTGAAAGGCATCCATCGCTTCTTGTTGGCAGGGTACCAAGCTTCGGCGTTTATCTGCTCACGGAAGTATCCAACACGGGCGTAGACACCGGGCGAGTCAGGGCGAGCGCATCCGTATCCCCACGAGACAACACCGATGACGTTTCCGTTCTCGGCGTTGATGAGAGGACCGCCGCTGTCGCCCTGGCAGGAGTCGATGCCACCCTTGGGGGTTCCGGCACAGAACATGTCGTTGGTGACGGGGGACTTTAGCTTCTTGCGGCACTCGTCACGGGCAACGACGGCGAAGGAAGCCTTCTGGAGCTTGACGGCTAGATCACCATCTTCCTGAGTGTGACCCCTAAAATAAACCAAGATTAGTGGCATGTCCATCAGGAGAGATTATTTCGTTGGCATTACATACCATCCTGCGACGGTAACGTTGAGGCCGGCCTTGGGGTCGTTCTTAGGAGCAGCCAAGGTGGCATATGTGATGTCCTTGGTCTTCTCGATGGGCTCATCAAGCTCGATCAAGGCAATGTCGTTCTCGGTCGTGGTCGAGTTGTATTTGGGGTGACGCCAGAAGGAGGTCACACCGACTGTGACACCGCCAGTGTTGCGGACCTATGAATCTCAGCGTTAGTTTTCTCCAGATCAGAGAAGATCAAGTGGATCAAGAGTGCTTACTCTGTGACCGGCCCGGACCTGGGTGCTTCCGGCGTTCTCGCCAACAAGGCAATGGGCGGCGGTGAGGACAGTCCACTCGTTCATCAGGGTACCTCCGCAGTAGTGGCCCTCCTCGCCCTCGATTGTGCTCTCAATGCTCACAATGAAGCGGAAGTCGGATGCACCAGCGTCTTCTCCTCCAACGACCTTGATAGTTGAAACGTCGTCCTCGGAGGAAAGTCCTGCTGCAAAAGCAGACAGGGAGAGGGCTGCGGCGAAGATCGAGGACTTCATTGTGACTTGTTGCTAACACACTCACACAACACGGAGTGTTAACTGCAAAAAAGGAAACAGTCCGGCACTTGGATGACAGGAGAGTGGGTTGATCCAGAGAATAGAGTGAACTACAGAGCGGGAGCATCAGTTACCCTTATACCAACACTCTCTACAAGCCACATTTGAAGCCATTTTATTAATAGCAATCAACTATCGGTCGGGCTGGCTTGGGCATCGCCCTATGCATCGACATGGGATACCTGGCTGGAGTAAGCATACTAGCCTTTGTAGTCCGAGAGCTCGCAACAACCTAGCCAGGTCTAGAGTCCTGGCGGTGCTGACGGTCCACTGCCATTACGGCCCCTCGACTAGAATGGAGCCTTGACCCCTGCCTTGGCCACTCAAAAGGGACCGCTAAAGTCCACTGAATTTCCTCTGAACAGGGGACATTGTTACGCTTACCAATGCAGGGCTGAAAATGCCACCCGTAGTGCCGACGACGTGTCAGGTCTGCAAGGTCATGCTAATGTTTTTGGAGCTATTTCTCGAGGGCAATTCTCCTTCTTGGGGGCCAAAACGGGTTTCATGCAGAGAGATTGCTGGCGCTGTGTTACTCCCAGTGTGCGCGTACCCACGCTTCCCTGTGCAGTGGCGTCGAGTTGAATAGCGTGGCTGTCAGACGTGTGGGCTGTGTTCGCCCCTTTTAACCATATTTCTAAGCCTCTATTTAAGAATAAACATAGCAGCTCTAGATCACAACCAGGTCACTGAATTGAATTCATGTCAACTTATGGGTAAACTTGGAGTCAACTATGGTATCTTCTCATCAAACTCCCTCCGGGGCAATGCTTTTCAAAACTCGCAAGTCAAGTACCTAGTCTAGGGTAATCGTGAATGACGAGGACCCCAGGCTCATCAGAGGCTGGTAATGAGGATGAGGCATGGCTGATCTCTTGTCTTGACGTGGTTGGGGAAAGGGCCGGGGGAACAGAAACATCTTTGTCTACCGGAGACCCTAGATCAGAAGCCTACTGCAAATGCTCCAGCCGCACAGGCAGACTGATTCGAAGCTGGATTCAGCTCTGCTCATTAGCCTGGTTTCTTTGATCGTGCAACCCACCCACAGCAAGCTCACTGGTCCGGGCTACTCACTTGTGTCCAAGCGTGATTAATAACCCATTCATTAGACTATGCAATTAAGAACACGCTACGACCAAACACGAAAAGACTGGTGTAAGCATTGTTCTCCAGGGACCGCATCCCCCACTTTACCAGGCAGAAAAAGCAGCACAGCCACCCATTGACCTGGCTGGAAGGCTGGGGCGTCTTACCTGTCCGGAATCGCCATCCTTGGCGGCCCAGTCTTTTGCACTTAGCACCAGAAAAATCACTGGATTTTGAGCAGCTGATCGTTACTTGCTATTAATAATCCCACTAGATACATACTATCTTGATTTAAAGCAACAGAACCACACATCAACCACCCAGGGAGGGCTTCCTCCTGGTTCTCCATCTCCACACAGCTCACTTGTGTAATTCTCCACATTTTGGACATTCAGGTCCATCCTCCATGATCGGAGAATAAGGCACGATCGTTCCATCGCTATACCGGAAACACTCTCGGTTGTATAAGAGGTCTAACATAGAGCTTAGACCCCGTTCCGACATTTCTTCTGCAAGATCCGCTCCAAATGCGGCATGCAGGCATTCCTCTGTGAACTGGTCCAAGAGCAATTCTACCATAGCTGTATACTCAGAAAGAAGTGCTTGGACGACAATGGTGAAATCACAAACAGCTCCATATGAAAGGAGTTTCCGAACGATGGCGATACTACCGGACTTGACGGCGCCTTCAATTGGACGGTGAATTTGGAGACGAGCCTTGTGCACATCTGCACCGTATTCGAGCAGTAGATTCACCACATTTTCATTCCCAAAACGAGCAGCAAGGTAAAGAGGGGTCGCCACGTTGCTATTACCGACACTGCCTTCGGTTACCTTGACATCTCCGTCAACATAATACCCAGCATCAAGTAGATTCTTAACAACATCGAAGTTGCCGTATTCAGCAAAGCGCCTTAAGTGCATAGCACGAACGTGATCGGATAGTTCAGGGATAAGAGAGACCAGCCTGGTATATACCGCCCAGTTTTTGGCGAACCCTGCCACTTTCCCAAGCAAGACTTTGGGTCTCCATTGCTTTGGCAAACTGTCATCTCCGTTGGGCATATAGTCAAAGTAGGCAGCACCCTGATCAGCCCGAGAGGGGGGATATATTGCCATCTCCAAAATCCCGGTATCACCATTCATAGCGGCACCAAAAACCCCCTGAATATCTGCCTTGCCCTTCTGGTAGATTTCTCCCAAGGAGTAATGGCAGAGAAATGGCCGGGTCCTTGATCCAGTATCATTATAGGTGGGCTCAACATTGTCAGGCAAACTCATTTGAAGAAGTTGTAAGATCTCAATCTTCCCAGAGAGCGCTGCTGCTTCAATAGCAGATGGGAAGATTGTATCATTGTGTGTCGGATCGTTGCCATTCTCAAGAAGGCGCTTAACTACACCCGCATGGCCGAGGAAGGCTGCAGCGCTGAGGAGACTCGCCTCTGGGCTGGACATGATCGCGTCGGCTTTGGATCGCCGCCAAGTCCTCCCCAAGGTCACGCCAAGTCCTAACCAGCATAATTGTTGAACCGTCTCTTGAAAGTTGGCACTTGTCTCGTGGCAAATAGAATCTGCGATTTGTCTGACTTCCATATAACGAAATATAGAAGGGTCGGATTCGTTGTGCACTCTATAAACAAGATACGAATGTAAAAGTTGTTGGGCGCCAAAATTTTGCCGAATAGGCCATTGCCTTATGAAGGATATTTCGTGGTGGTCATATCTCTGAGGCTCGTAATCATCCAAGATCCGTGTCTTGAACAATGCTAGTATGCATAGCGCATTGAATGTTTCTAGTACAGCTTAATTAGACTATGAATGTACACACACACATATATATATATGAACCTGACTTACTGCAAACGAGTCTCAATCTCAAGGCTCTTGAGAAACCTGGCTCGCAATGTGAGGGAGAGAATTGGAATCGGGCCTGGACAGCATTGACCAGAATGGTATCCAATATCTCACGAGGAAGCACAAGAATGCGAGGCTCGTCGATTTGCATGGTTGGTGGTAGTGCTGAACGAGAGAATGACTGCATCCTGTATGATGGCGGTGTGTTGGAGGAGGGAAAATTTCCTGAGCGGACGACCTCTGTGGGGTCATCTGATTGTACTGGCAGCTGCATTTGTGTCACATTCACCCTCATAGGACTGTACAGCATGTAGTAAGCTTAAACAACAACGCCATAGAAACGCCATGAAGGAACTAGCTGTAGGAACGCCTTCGGTGAAGTCTGACTGTGCGTTTGCTGATTGGACTGCATCAGGCGTCCAATGATCACATCGTGGTTCATATGTGTTCCCAAAAAAAGGTGCCATGGTTTTCCTTCTTTGGATCGAGGATTCTCTTGGCCAATTTCGATTAGGTCATAACACATTCATTTTGGTACTTCCGCATTTCTGTCTTAGCTGGAGATCATATGATACGTGAAAAATTAGTTTATTTGAGAGTCAATATATCAAAAAGGTGGTGGTCAGATAGCAACGTTCTGTTTTTGAATGCTTTGTACAGTAAGACCTGTGCCGTAGCCCTCAGAGTGTTGTAGTAATATAATGATCAAAAGACATGAAACAGAGAAACTGCGTGGTTGTTAAACATATATAATGGGTGTTTATTTTTCTCTCAACTCTGTCATATTCAGAGATAATATCGTTATTTTGTGATGAATTGAGTGAGTAAAAGTTGTTCAGATCTGATATATGTACAGTGATTGCTTCTGCTCTCTCCACCATGAGATCCTCGGTTTTACAGGGTACCATCACCCTCGCCATACTCCTTGGGGAGGTGATTGGACTCCAATTGGACACTCAATACGCCAAATTTGTGGGTACTGCTAGCAATGAGTTGCCATTTACAGAACTAACAGAGATATAAAGCAAAGTCGAGACATATCTATGACACCAGTCCCACGGACTGTTGATCTTCTTCGCCATCAAAATGCCGGAAAAGAAGTCCCGCGAAGGGGCAAGAAAGAGCGCCTGGAGATTTTTGATAATAGCCAAGGGGTAGCTCTTGGAAAGCGGGCTAAGAAGCACCCCAAACCACCAGCCAAGGCAAGCAAGCCAGCAGCCAAGGCAGCTGTCAAAGCGGCCAAGCCAGCATCTAAACCAGCCAAGCCAGCAGCCAAGGCAAGAAAGCCAGCTGTCAAAGCAGCCAAGCCAAAAGCTAAGACAAGCAATCCAGCTCTCAAAGCGGCCAAACCAGCATCCAAAGCAGGCAAAGCGACCAAAGCGGCAGCCAAACCAGCCAAACCAGCCAAACCCGCAGGTAAACCGGCAGCCAAGGCAAGAAAACAAGCTGTCAAATCAGCAGGCAAATCAGCCAAGGCAAAAGCTAAGGCAGGAAAAGCAGCCGGTAAGGTAGGCAAATCAACCAAAGCAGCCAAGCCAAAAGCCAAGCCAGCAAAGCCAGCAGCCAAAGCAGGGAAGACTAGTAAGAAAGGCAATACAAACAAACCCGCCAAATCAGCAAAGGGGAGCAAGCAAGGCAAAGCGACTAAGCCTGCTAAAACCAACAGGCCGACAAAAGCCAACTCAAGACAGGGAAGCAAGCTAGCCAACGCACCGGGCAAGTCACATACGCCCGCGAAGACAAACAAGCAAGGCAAAGCAAAGAAGTCGCCCAAAGCAGGAGCAAAGGAAACTAAGGCAAAAAAGCCAACTGCAAAGCCAGGCAAGGCAGGAGTCAAGGCAAAAAAACCAGCGAAAGGAACAGGCAAGCCTTCAAAGGCTGGCAAGCAGGCCAAACCGAAAAAACCTGCCAAGCAAGGAGCCAAGGCAAGCAAGCCAACACCGAAAGCAGGCAAAGCTGGTAAACAGGCTAAAGCGAAGAAGCAATCTGAGCCAGGGGCCAAGGCGAGGAAACCGACAAAAGGACCGGCCAAGAAAGCGAATTCGAACAAATCAGAAAAGTCGAAAAAGTCAGGGAAGACAAAGAAACCCTCAGCCAAGCAAGCGAAGGCAACAAAGAATTCAAAGGCAAAACAGCAAGATAGAGTGAGCAAGTCAACCAAAACCAACAGGACCGGGAAGAAGCCGAGCAAGCAACCCAAGACAAACAAACCCGGGAATCGCAACGGCTCTAGAAAAGCATCCAAATCTGTCAAAGCAAAGAAGCCCGGAAAAGCAAAGAAGATTGGCAAGGCTAAAAAAGTCAGCAAACCAACCAAAGGGAATAAGCAAGGGAAGCCGAAGAAGAATAGAAAGGCAAGAAAACAGTCCACGCCACAAAAGTCAAGAAAGCCCAATGCTTCACAATCCAGCAACCACAAAAAGGTGGGCAAAGGCAAGGTTGGAAATCACCAGAAGGCAAAGGCTTTCAAGCCCGCAAATGGAAAACTTTCGAAAGTCGAGAAGTCTGAAAATGGAAAGCAAACAAAAGATGGAGGTCGCAAGGCTGGAAAAGCTGGCAGGGGAGGTGCCTCTAAGAAGGGCAAAAAAACCTCATCCAAGGCGACCAAGCCCAGCAGACTTAAACAGAACAAGGCAGAAAAAGGAATAGCAAGAGCGGGGAGCAAAGGCAAACCTTCGAAATTAGACAACGTCAGAAAATCCAAGGCTCAAGCGCCCAGAAGGGGCAAAACTGGGAGTGGCAAACCCGCGAATCTTGGGAAGACCAAGTCTACAAAGCCCAGGAAAGCTAAGTCTACTAAACAAGCCAAAGGCAAGTATCCAAACCCTGCTAAATCCAAGACCGCGAACACTAGAAAGGGCAAGCCCACGAAGACCAACCAAGGAAAACCCAATAGAAAAGGAAAGGGCGGTTCGAAAAAGGCAAACAAATCGAATAACGGAAGTAACCCGAGGAAGGGAGGCAAACGAGAAAAAGGCGTTGACGCCAAGAACACAGGCGATTCAAAGAAGGGAGGGAAGCCTGTGAAGGAGAGCTCGGCGACACCTGGAAAGGACAAATCAGCAAGCCATGGCAAAGAAAAACAAACAGCATCTGGGGGAGGGTGTCTGTTGAGCAGATCCGGGGAGGAAGGAGGAGGACAAGGCAGTTGCGCCGGTAGGCCAGCTCGTACTGAACCCATTGTTAGTATTCCTCCAGGCCCTCATTATCTGCAATGAATTTACTCCTGGAATGAACTTGAATGCTGACCTTTCCAGGACCCCTTCGATGAAAATAATAAACAGTTCAAATATGTCTCAGCGGACACGAGGATGACCATAAATCATGCTGGTAAGAAGTTTGATGAGTGGGAGGTCTCGCGGCATGATTACTCCAAGGGCGAGCCGGGGGACCTTACTATAAACAGATTTGGCTTGAAGAAGGGTGATGCGAGCGAGGTTGTGATAGCCGATGCGAAGAACAAGTATGATCCACTGCGAGACAAAGACGGCAGGACCAAAGAGGAAAACCAAGCAGCAAGGGAGAAACAGATGAAGAATTTAGAGCAACAACCGGACTCAACCGAAAAAAAGGAGGCAATAAAGAAGCTCACTGAGGCAGCGAAGAACGACGACAAGCCAGGAACCTACGATAAGGCAAGCCAGGCAGAGCTTCTCAAAGGTATTTATGGAGAGGCGAAACAGGACCCATCCCAGCTCAATACGGTGCATCTTCAAAGTATAAATGAGGAGACGACCAACCCAGCAATCAAGGAGATTAGGAAAGGAGCCGAAGGTAATATTGTCGGTAATATTGTCATGAGTGAGACGGAGAACAAGGAAAAATTCGAAAAGATCATGGGCACTAAGTGGGGAGAGGGTGTTACGAAAATCGCTGATGAGTTCAACAAGAAGGTCGACAGTGTCACCAGCCCTGAGCCAGAGAAAGTTAAAAAATCAAAGGGATGGGGGAAAAAACCTGAGTTTATTGAAAAGGACCCGCATTTAGAGTTCAAGCTTTCGGACAAGCAGAGCGAGGACACTCAGCAGAGCGGTTAACTATCGACCTGATCGTTTCTGTATGGTCCCGGGTATAGATATAGTGGCTATGCTTAAGCTTTGCATAAAGATTATCTCCCCTGCACAACGGTTCGTATTCCGAGTCTTATAAATACTCCGGCCCTTGAGAATGCCTGGCATAAATTCATCCAACACCTCACAGAGGCATGTTGTGTATAGGTACATACATCTATGGAGGCTTAGTTTGAGGACCATCCATCATCAGCAGGGGTAGAGTGGCCTACTTCTGGGACTGTGCCCCATTTCCTGGACTGGGACAGTTGGCTGAGCCGAAGCTGAGCCGATGGGTTTCTGAATGACTACGTTACCAAAACTGATTGTTGACGCCGTGTTTATTGCTGACGTGCGCGCGCGCTGTTTCTATTCTAACGGGACATTCGCATTTGGCTGGCTACTGTAACTCGGTCAATGCCCAATTCGGCATTGTCGGCAACCGTGTCTCTTGGCAGCAATAAATTGGCTCGCTAGGCATCCGCTTGTTATGAAATTAAATGACCCGCAGGGTTTTCCATTCACGCCTCGACGCCTGAGTGACCACATTCCATCAAACCACCCGCCAACTGCCCGCCGTCGGGCTACTCTTCATCAGGAGCGACCGTCTTAAATGGCGATCGTGCGGCGAAAGCCGACCGTAAGGCCGTGCGATATCAACCCTGAACGGCGACAGCGACTTCGCAGCGACTCCGACGATGAGGGGCCGCCGAGTAGAGCGACGCGCGCCCCGGAGGCAATTGAGGACGTAAGTAGATACTCGGTCTATTATGTCAGAAGGGGCGCCAGTGCTGGGTTGGACTTCATATTGGGCAACCTAAAATGGATTCTTATCGCCCTTCTCCTCTCTTACTTGGCGGATCTGCTACTCAAGAGTCGCGGCGGGCCTTCTTCCCGCCTTCGAAACAAATACCCCTGTGGCATAGGAGGCGTTTCGCACCCAATGTGCAGCGATTGCTCGGGTTAGGCGTGAACTTGGGTCCCCTTGACTTGGGTTAAGAGGATGGAGGGAGATGGTCGTTGTCATATGGTTGTGTCACAACAACGGGGAAATAATTTCGTCGGTGACTGGAGACAAGGAAGAATCGCTTGTGGTCGGCTATACACGCTGAGTTGAGTAATGGATAACAAAAGGCGCGGCAGTCCCAGGTACCTTGTCTTAAAAAGGAGACCTACGGGAACAACACGCACCTGACAAATGCGGATGCAGGCAGCCTTAAAGAATTGTGGCAATGGCATTGAGGAGTTGATGCATTCGGTGTTAGAATGACCTTTCTTTTCGTCTGACAGGACGAACACTGAACCGAGGTCAAGTTGATACGGCTAAACAACGCATCCAGATACCTGGAACAGTGATGTCGAGACTCATGGCCTTGACTAGGTATATCAATTGATGAGCGATTGGCTGAGTGGTAGGAAAAACTAAATAGCATTATCTACCCTCACAATACTCCGTCACTTCAAGCCAGAGCTGCCTCTCCCCTTCGCGCTTGCCTTCGCCCTCGAGGCTAAATGCAGACAAACTAGGAAATACGCTTGCAACGTTTCTCGTCAATTGAAGAATACTTTCGCTTTGTGCCCGGTTCTCCTCCTCCAACGCCTCGTTGAATGGAAGCGGTTGCTGGTCTTGGTGCAATACAAAGTGCAAACCCCAGAGATCCTTGGACATCACCATTTGTCCACCGCCGCCTCCAGCGTCGGCTTTTATCTCGCTCCAGTCGATGGTAATTGGACCGAGAATTATGTCAACCAGTTCGGGGCAAAGTCTGCAAAGCGACTGTACAGATCGGAAGGTCATCGGCTCCTCATTTGTCTCTATCTTCAAACAGAGGGACCAAAAATGGGGAATGTGATGAGCAAGTTGTTCTATGAATTCATCGTTCAAACCAGAAGCTCTAGGGCGATGGCCTCTTTCGGCTATTGCAACGAATTTCAAATTTAAACAGCAGCGAGCAATTAGAAGGAGGTGCTGAGCGTCAAAGCTAGAACCTAGTGGGAACCTCAATTCGAGGCTCCTTAAGCGCGTGAAGCTTGCCATCACGGAAAGCGAAGGGCGTAGAGATTCGAAATGGAGGTCGACTTCTAGTAGGTATGGCAGGGATGCGGCCAAAAGCTCTAGCCCCTGATTAGAGATATTTGTATGGAGAGATGTGAGCGCCTGGAATCCGGTAATCTCCTTGAGCCAAGATTCTTCAATCAAGGGGAGGCCAACGGCATATAGGTCGGGAAGCTGCTCAATAATACGAAAGACATCTTCTGACCACAAATCATCAAAGACATTTTGTATACGAAGAACCCTTAGTTGCCTGGATCTTTGCAAAAACCGTACTAGGCCCTCTCTGGTCACCGTGTTGTCTGTACAGTTCAACAAATACAAGTGAATTAGCCTTGGACATTTGCTGAACAGAGTGTCTAAGAAAGCGTCGGAAAGCTGGCTGCCCGTTGCGACATAGAACTCGACCACGTTTGGCTGGGCATAGTGAAGCAGAGCATGCCCTGTGATCAACCTTGTAGCGCTACCATCCTCAATGAACCTCACTGTCTTGAGTTGCGGGAATTGCAGCGACAAGAGCTCATGGTGCCATTCAAACTCGCCGCGGTACTCGCTGCCGTCTAACCATTCGTTAAACTGCAAGACGCGGATGAAGTTTGCATACATCTGCGCTCGCTGCGGATCTTTTCGGCTCACCGAGGCGAGATGTTCGACATCAGCCAGGGCATGGCCTACCTCGCTCGGCTTCCAAACTCCTCCACCGCATGCATACCACAAGAGCCGGGCAGATTCTTGAAAGAAGGCGCGATTGACTAAAAGACAAGTGTACAAGTAGCCCTTGTAGAGACTGCCGGACTTTACGATAACCGCAACTATCTCAGGAACAAGGAAGAGGTGGTTCATTTTTGACTGATGTGCGGTTGAATCGGATTGAAGTTGTTTTTCTAGGTGGAGAAGTAAGTTGGAATCGTGAAATTTTTGCCATTTACTTGTGAATTGTGATTATTATGACTCATCAGACATGCAATTCTGATTTGAATGCACACCCCTGACCTGATTTTGGGACCAACAATAGCCAATATCAAAAGATGTTGTTGGTTCCAAGTACATGACACATCATTGGGTCATTTGCTGCGTTGTCGACTTAATGACAAGGGCTGAAAACTAAGGTGGATGGAGGATATATGAACAATACTGAGAATTGAGAATTTATAAATTAGGTGTGTGTTGTATAGGATAACAGTCATTGCCATCGAAACCACCACACCAGAACTGATATATCATGTGTGCTCTTGAACAGCGAGGTTGAACTGCCGCACAGACCACCGATTATTGCCGGATAATAGAGTGCTGATGGAGCCTGCTGAATCAAAGGCTTTGGCTGCCCGAAGGAACAGAATCGCCTCATGTGACTGAATTCACGCTCGTCGATTTCAGCCAGGTTCCAGCCTTCTACAATAACCGTGGACTAACAAGAGACCGATAATAATGGCACCCTTTTCTAGTGGGTATCACCGCAACACTTTCTCTACGCCAAGGAGAAGGATTCGTAAGTCGGCCAATGCTTGATTGATTTGATGATACTAGAGCCGCCAAGCTTCTCTAGCACCCGGATTCCGATAACTCTTACAAGGCAGAAGGTGAAGCATAACGCGACACGCGCGATTTTCCCAAACCCCACAAAGGCAAAGAAAAATCGATAAATACCTGGGTAGGGACTCATTGCTTCCTGCTTTTTGCGTTCTTCCTGACACTCTCCTGCGGCCGATTAGCTTCAACAATCTCTCATTGAATTATCAGCAGTCTAATAGTCGAAACCGAAGATGGACGAATTGGCGAATCTCGATGAACTTCCATCTGAAATCAAGTCCATGATTATCAATGGCTGTGACAAAGACGATCTCCAATCCCTGCTTCTTACCAGCACACGCCTCAAGGATGTCGTGGAACGCAAGCTGTATGAAGAAATCACCCTCGATGAGACAGAGTCCAAGGGCGATGCCGTCATGGCTATAGCGAACAGTCCCCGTGCTGGTATTGTCCGTACTATTACCTACGCTCCACACGACCCTCAACCCATGCAGTCCGACGATCATGATGCTGAGATCGAGCTGAGCGAGGCTACTATTGAAGTTCTCCGCTCTTTACATAAATTCCCCGCATTGGAAACGTTTCGCTTTCGTTGTGATATCGGCGGGTGGGACTACAACAACTGGCCTCATGGGGCATATCACTTCTGGATGTACACCCGGGAAATGGCCGAAGGGGCACTAGCAGCTGAATCAGAGGAGCCTTGCAGAAGGCTACTGAACGGGAGCCTTGTCGCCCTGTGTGAGAGCGCAGGGGCTTTCAAGGCGTTGGAGTTGTACAATCTGCCTCCGATTCCCACCCAAGAAGGATCTTATTCGGTGTTTCGAACGGATAAATGGTTGGCTTTGGTGCGAGGATTGAAATCATTCGACTTGCAACTCGCCGGCTGCGAGGGCGGAGGCGCACTCAACATGACGTGTGCCCATCAAGAGTATATCGCCGATTTCGTGGATCATACGATCAAGAATCTAAATAGCGTGGAGCGCCTACGCCTGGCTGGTGACCCGGAGGGCACGATTGGACACTATGACGAGCAAGAGAGCTTTGACTGGACGATATTGGACCTTCCTTGCCTGAAGGAGTTTGAACTGGAGTGGTCGAGTTTTGAATCTGGATTGCCTCAGTTTCTCGCCAAGCATGCCAAACAGACTCTGGAGGAGATTCATCTACGTCGGTGTTTCACCATGAGCTTGGATGCTTGGGAGCACATTCTCAAGGGAATTCAAGAGTCTCAGCCTCCCAAGCTCGTCAAGATGAGGATCGAGCCGTACCCGGTGCTCAAGAGTACAACATTTGGTGGCAGCGAAAACTACGACGACTTGCCGCCGCAGTTTGTTGAGAAATGGGAACAAGGAGAGGTGACGTTCGACGTAGAGCTCGATCGACGGTTCAGGCGGTTCGTCATCGCGGAAACGTGCGAGAGCTACGGGGCTCTCCAAATAAAGGACGACGACTACGATTCGGATTTGGAGGGTGAGGAATTCGAAAACCAGATGGAGGAGTTTGGGTCGGACCTTGATGAGGCCAAGCTGGATGGGGATTGGAAGGCGGTGCAGGACATCTGCGCAAGAAACAGCATTAAGGCTGCAAAGGCGTAGGGGCCTATTTCTATTTTACGAGGAAGACAATATGCTGCGAAATATTAATCTGGTGCGCAAATGGGCTGGCAAATGCATCATCTTGGTGCAGTCAGAATCAGTTCCCGTGGGTGAAATGTTCACTGCTGTTTCCAGGCCACAGCCAAGGCGACAGCGGGCTCTCGTCTCACCTGGAGAAATATTTTCAGTACATCCATCGATACTGCACACATTTTGCTGGATTGTTATTGTCGGTCTTGTGCATGTTGGTCTCAATTGAGTGAGGCAGTGCTGTCTTGAGTGTAGCAACTTTCCAGGGATGCTCCCTATAAGCACAGTGCATGAGGCCGCTGGAACTGAACACCGCAGGTGGTTTTAGGCAGCAGCCGCCCACTAAGCCAATGATCATCCACTGAAGGAGGTTGTGCCACCGTGAATTCCACCTTGTGCGCTGCAAACAAAGTTCCTGCCCGCAGAGAAGCTTCAGGTTGCACCTTCCGCTCACTCTTTCCTCACCCCTCTCTCTTTCCCTTTGCTTCTCTTCCTCATCTTCTCTCGCCTGCCTTCTCTTCCTTTCTCTCCCGCCCTTTCCACCTTCACCTTGCACTTTGCACTCTTCACCTCTCTGCCTTTCTGCCCCTCACCCTTCTCCCACCACCACCCTCGGTCGATCTTCAAAGTCCAGCTGCACGATGGGTCAACACCACCAGCTCTTCGTCATCGCCAAGGCCGGCAGGCACTATCGCTCGCTGGCCGCCGTCCATCACCAGTGGCTCTACGGCATGACCGCACTTCGCCAGTGTCTGCAGCTCCTCGAAATCTTCGGCCACAGCGAGAACCGCCTCGCCTTGCAGCAGGAACTCCGGTTCGCAGAAGCTTACTACCGCAACAAGGGTGCCCCCTCCCAGCAGCCGCCAGAGCTGCAATGGGCTGACAGAGGCGGTATCTGCCCGTTCCCCTTCATCACCACCTGTTTGATGATGGGCACTTCTTTCAACCAAGAGTTGGCCCAGGCCAGTGCTGTCCACGAGGAGCCCTTCGGAATGGGTTTCGATCAGGGTGACAACAACGACGGCATCACGGTCATCGACATCACCGATTTGGAGAATGTCAAGTACTGCTTCGTCAACTTTACGGGTAAGTAGCCCACCTCTTCTCCGTGCACCTCTCGTCTCTCGCCCCGCTGCCGCTTCTCTAACCCACATTTCTTCCAACCCTTCTCAGATGACTACCAACAAGAAGGAGAGACTCATAGTCCTCTATATCAGCCCTTAACAGGCTGGCAATATGTCAAGACTTACTACCCCGAGGATGACCCTATGACCCAAACCCACATCCACTTGCCCAAGACCCTAGATACGAAACCTCTTATCAACATTGCAACTCTTGCGGGTAAGTTGCCGTCTCTGAGCCTTTCTCCAATCACAAACTGACCTTGATTTGCGCAGAAACATGGCCGTGGGGCAAATGGGAAGTGCGTGATGCTGTCCCGAGCGATACAAACCAGCCTGAAGATCATCCAGTTGTGCAGAGTTTGGTGGACAAGAGCATGGACAAGATCGTAGAGGCACTGCTTGTCTCAACTGACATGAGCGAATTCAATGCAGCCAAAGATCAGATTGAGGCGCTCCCCAACTCCGTTGCCATCCTCAAAAAGACCCTCCTCGGCCGGGCGGACCAAGTTGGCAAAACTCCTCATTCGGTTTTGCTCCTGAGACTCGCCTACACTGGCGAAACTCACCTCGACTGGGCGCCTTTCACTAATCTTGATATTGCTGACCTAAGGACTGCCTTCGAAGCCGGTTCCTTCGCGTCTGTCAAGTCACTGAATCTCTCTGGCACCTTGGCCTCCCGCTCACCATCCGAGCTACCACCTGTGCTCGCAGGTTTGACTTGTTTGAAGTCACTGTACTTGCTGGAGAGACCCGATCGGCCCTATGACGATGAAGCCCCCCAGGCCGTTCTCGGCCTCGCATCTTCGGATACAGGTCTCGTGTTGGAGAAGGTGGTCGTGTCTGCGGTCATGTCGATTGCCATTCGCCTCAAAACGTGGCTCCCTGACACAAATGATGCACCCGATGCAATCCCGGGATTTCCGATTGCACAACTTCTAGTCTACCATAAGAATGATGCTATTGATGTCTACGGGCAAGTGGCACCCTATGAGTACTTCTTTCTCGGGGATGCTCTCATCAGTCCTGCCCGATTCGTCAATGCTTTGTTGCGCTATGTACAGACCCTAAACTCACAGAGGTACATAATGGCGAGCGGTTCTGGATCCGAGTTGGCCGCTTGCATTGCTTTGGGCTCCTCAGTTCCCGGCAACAAGGACATAGGCGAGATCGGCCCTCTCCCCGCCCAAGCCTACAAGTTTGGCAAGAACAGTTACCACAGCAGCCTTTCTCACGGCTGCTACTCTGAAATGCGAAATCTCAAGCCCGGACAGTGGACAGTTTTGCTGGGCAGGAATGCAGCCCCTGAGGGATTCCAGGCGCCTGCCGACAAGGGCTTCGAGTATGCTTTTGTCCGTTGCAAATCCGACATTAAGGTGCGAAAACCCGAGGAAGGGGAGCGTGACGAGGTTATGGCAGACAACCTTGAAGTATACAGCTTGCAAGACTTCCTTGCTGAGGCAGCCCCAAGCTCCGGCTCTACGAGTTTGGAACCTCTTATCAACCAGCTCCGCTTTCAAGTTGGAAACACTGGTCAGCTGCCCTCGAATGACGACGTGCTTCGGTGCATGAATGCCGCGCAATCTCGAGACTTGCTGGTCAAGTTCATGGATAACATTCCTACGATGGACTTGGTGAAGGAACGCGCACGCATGTATCATTAAGATCTCTTCGATCAGCTACATAGTGTGAGTTCCCTGGTCTTGTTGAGGGTTTGTACTTGGCATGTACAGCAGGTTCTCTATTGTATCTCAACACATTCTAGGAAGGATAGTTCCTTGTTGCCTTCATGACAAATTGATTCGGAAATTGGTTGAGGAGATGCAAAAAAATTTACGACTTGTCCAAACGAGAATAGTAGTACCCTTGGTCCGGTCGAAACTGTATCACTCACCCAAGTCGACATCAGTCACCGAAACATCTTGGGAGGAAGATATGCTAGACCACCATGTAACTTATAGATGTCTGCTTTCAATAAAGATGTGTGCAGTTAATATTTTCTTTCGGGGCATGCCTGTTTTCCTAGCAAGACCCCCACTGGAGGCTTTTTGAATCCCAGTAGATCATATGACACTTGAGCTACACAGTATCGGAATTCGTCTGTACCTGGCTTCGTTATGAATGCAGTGAGCAAAGAAATTCGCTAAAGATCTCAGTGTCGGAGTACAATAAAGGATAATTTTATGAAACGACGAGGAGGCAGGCAAATACAGCTTAGTTCATCAGCTTGAGTAACAACGAATCAATCTTCTAGGACAGATAGTCTAGGCTAATGCAGGCCGCCACAGGCATATTTCACCTCATTGCGAGGTAGATAATGAGCCACCCAGTCTCAGCCGCCCTTCCAACACGTCCAGCTTAGCAGGCCCCATCCTTGTTACCAGGTCCGCTGTAGTTCTGGCAGGGCGTCTTGGCGTCGGTGCAAACATTGACGAGCTTCGCAGTGTCGCCGTTGCTCTTGGTGATCCCGACGACCTCGCCTCCCTTGCGGGCCGTGACTCCCTCGACGTAGACTTCGCGCTTGCAGGCTTGGCACTAAGGGGGCTCTTGTTAGACTGAATCCTCCCCAGATGCCCTTTCAGGTGTTAATGGGCTGACTAGGGATGTACTTACAGTTCCGCACGATCGGTAAACTTTACCGTAGTCTTCGGCATAGAAGTTGTAGATCTAGAGGAATTAGTAACTATCACTTTGAAGGCGTGCGCTTTCTTGCATGCATACCTGGACCTTGCCACAGCCGTTGTGCTGGACGATCTTGTCGGAAGCCTTGAAGGCACCGCCTCCTCGGATGGTGGTGACAGCACCGGCAGCATCATCCTTCTAAAGAAGTGAAAGAAAAGAGCAATTTCAAGTCAGCCTTATTGCAACGCCAGATAGTGGACCTTCGGAATTGGAACATACGATGGAGATGGCATCCTCACACACGTCCTCAAACCAGACATTCTCGATGGTGCATCCTCCTCCGAGACAGTACACACCCTCGCCCTGGTTCTTACCAATGATGACGTTTTTGAGGGTAGCGCCCTTTTGCAGGATAAACACGGTATCCGCCTTGCCTGAAAAGAGGTCATACTGTTAGTACTCGCAATTCTGCCTTACGAGAAGTGAGAAGGGGGACAGATACACGTACCTCCTTCTACTTGGTTCTTGCAGGTGTACCCCTTGCGATCGTAGCGTTTGTTTCCGCCGTCGAAGCTCTTGCCCGCGGCGACCTCGATGGGGGCGGAGCTGCTGACTGTCGACGAGGGCGAGGGCATGTTGCTCTTGGCCACGCAGGCTAGAGCCGAGGGGATGCCGAGGGCGGCGAGGACGATGGTGTTGAAGGCGACCATTTTGGCGGTTCTAGTTTCTCAGTAGAAGAATATATTGTAGAGCAAATCCTTAATTACAATGGATCAGATGCAGATGGAAACTCGTGTCTAGTCAAGTTGGTCCAAGCGACTGGGAAGTGATGAGGTGGTTCGAATAGAGTTATATATGTATGTGTCATGCTGCGTATCAGGGGCTCTTTTACTCCGGACAAATAAATGAAACAGCAAACATGCAACTCCGAGACTATCTCCGAGACTGTCGAACGGATGCAAGTCTACCGTGGCGGCCACTGAGACGGGGGCACCATGGTGTTTGAGAATTGAGCGGTGCATTCAACTATACGCGCTTGGCCTGCCTGTTCCAGCCAAACAGCAACAAAAGATTCTCAATATTAGAGGCTCGCCAGCTTCATGCAGACTTGGCTCAAGTTCGAGATCGCCCCAAATGCCGACCGAGTTTCCCCGTGTTGTGGAGGGCCATGTTCCGTTTCCGAATGCGGCAGATTTGAAACGTACAAAAGGCTAATTGTTTTGTCGTTGGCTAGCCTTGACACATTCCTGGATGCATATACGAGCTTGGCAGTGATCCGGGGTGATGTGCGGTGTGCATTCGAGACTCTTGGCGACGTGCTAGGCCGGGATGTGAGGTTAAGTGGGCGCTGTGTCAAGTCTCAGGTTTGATCCAATCAAAGAGGGAAGTTTATGTGTCAATGCCTGGGATGCTCACCTCTAATCTCCATGCTTGGTTGCCTTGCCTTACCTGAACTTGCTTGTTTCTCACTTAACCCACGTGTTCGGTCTGGGCACAACCGATATGTCTCTGGTGATGGTACGGATTGGAGCCTTGGCTTGGTCCTTGGGTAGCCTCCAGACGGTGCATTCCCAGTAACGCTGACACACTGATACTTCTCTCCATGCAGCTTCTGTACTTTGATTTATGGATTAATTTTCATAATTGCGGCCCTGCACTCGGAACAGTTTACTTTTGTACACTCCTTGTAGGGATAATGGATGGAAATCCTGTGAAACTGTTGGAGACTGTATCAGGTGATGAATAGAGTTTACTTGTGTTCCTGGAATGTGGTCTAGATTTCTTTTCCCCTTTGCTCTTCATGTTGAGTATCTTACATGCTACATTCACGTAATGGTCCTGCTAGCCATTTTCAGTCCGTAGACCTCCTCAGAGATAAAGGACCTGTTGTAAAATCTTAACTGAGATAGAAGCTTGGAAAGTTAAACGTAACCATCTTTGTTGGTAGTCAAAGTAGCCTCAAAGCCCAATCTAAAGAGGGCAAACATTATGTAGAACAATAGCGAAAAGAACATGAAGATATATAAATATCTAGAAAAACTCGAGGCGAGGAAAAGCTTTTGCAAAGCTTATGAGTTTGGTTGCCTATAGGGTAGTTGAGGGTTCAAAGATGCATTACTAATGAGGCACCAGCGCCAAGTCATTTCTCATCTCATGCCAAGCTCGAATGGTGATCCGTCTCTTTTCATCGGCACGCGGGAAGATGAGTTCGATTGGTGTGACTTCTGAGCCCGCGGATGAATGGGAATTCTTCCGCTTGTGTCCGATATGCCGAAAAGCGTTCGTGAAAGGTGTGTACGATGTCTTGTGATCGACGATGACGTATTGGTAGATTGACTAAGATGTTGTCAGACAACTCCTTTAGGCGACACCTCTCGTACTGTCGTAGGGCTCAGTTCAAGCGGAAGGGCCGACCGAAGCCATGCGATGGCTGTGCGTTGGCTAAGACTAAATGCAGCCTGGATGAGCCGACTTGTCAAAGATGTCGGTCAAAGGATCTGCCATGTGTATACGGAGCAAAGCTTTTGGAAGGACTGTTTCCAAATCCCGATTTGCAAAATGGAATACCATTTGGAGATCTGAGCACCCTGAATTTTGAGCAATCACCAACCGCTGGAGACCCGGCGGCGAATTTGACCGGGACTTTAGATCCGCTGCCAGAACTTAATGGTCATCCAACACTCTCACAAAGCAGCGGGCCCTTGACTTCCTTTCACATTTCAAATGGACAAGAAAGCGTGGCGGAACTGACAAACGCCACCTCTGAGAGCCTCCAGAGCTTAGAAGTCTTACCTCTTGATGAAGCTGCACTTGCTCAGTTGACCGAGGCAGTCGACGAGCCAGCAACTCTCACAGCACTGAAGCAACCCAGCCCGGAAGCAGAAGCCAGTGCCACCATCGTAATGTACTGTATCCGCTCATACCCTCAGATGATGCTCCGTCGACAGACCTTCCCACCGTTCATTCACCCTCATTGGCACACGGAAAAGCTACCTGAGAACCTGATTAACTGCATGAGTATTGCGCAGCTATTCGTTACCCGAACACCGGAGAATAGCCCCTTCTTGTGGCGAACTATAAACAACGAAGTGAGCCGATTCAAGAATGAGGTAAGACACCTAGGATAATCTAATATGCTAAACCTATAACGAGAGTCCTGTCACGCCTCTCCTACTATTCTAACACAATATAGGCCAATGAAATGGATGTAAAAGCGGTTCAGACAGCAGCGCAGGCCACATTGATCTATTTGATTATGTTGGCCGTAGACGAGGCCGAAGACATGTCGACCCAGGGTGCTCGATTATTGGAAGTGTTTCAGGTCAGTTAGAGTAACACACCTCAACAAACCTCTTGGGCTTTCCTCTCGATGATAACCCCGTACAGATCCTGTCCTTTCGCACAAGAGACCTCTGTGGCGGAGTCTTCTTGGCCCCTCCTGAATGCACATATCCCAGTCCTAGTTGGGAAGAGTGGATATTTGCGGAATCAAGAAGACGGTACGATTTGAATTGTTCCGACGTCCTATATCAATGCACTAATCGGTAGATTTGTAGAATTAACTGCTTCTATTTCGCCATCCGGGAAGTCATACAGGCAAAAGCAGAGATGCCTTGCGTGCCCCCTGGTGCACATCGTGAAGTGGCACTTTGTTCCGCCAAAACAATGTGGGAAGCAAGATCACGCGAGGAGTGGGAGGAAGAGAGGGCTATTCAGAACATGGGACGATTGCACATCGATCTTTGGAGTCTTGGATCGCTTCTGGATGCTCAGCAGCACCCAGAGCATCCGATGTATGCGCAACTACTTGAGATTTGGGGAGCCAATACGGATAAAATGGGGGTGCTTATGAGTGTGGTGGCAGTTATCATTAACCAACAGAAAATGCAATCAGTGGAGGAAATTGACATCTAGATTTTGGAGATAAGAGTAGTCTCTTGGTATTGGATGACCAAAGATGTCCGGTAAAGACACCTGCCTTCTGACGAAAGCTTCCAATTCCATGGTTACCAACTTAATGGAAAGTCACAATACGCAGAGATTAGACGGTTGACTATATTAACAAGAGTCCACCGAAGGAAGAACGGACATACGTAAGCGGCGGACAGGAGATATGACCACACCGGCCGAATGGTTCGATCCACACCGGCCACCAAGAAGTCACCGATTGACCGAGCAGCAAGTATGGTACCTGACAGTAGGCCCGGGATGCTTGATGGTTCACGAATTAGATACCCATGATTTTATCCTGTGTGGACAGTACGTCGCATAGATTGAGGGAGAACTTCAACTGGATATGTTCACTCCAGCTCGTTTGGCCTTGAACATTTATCTCACTATGGTGAGTGCAAGGTCATTATCCTCCCAAATATCCGGGTGACGAATCAGCTGATGTTCTTCCCAATCGGGAGATCCTTGCGCATGCACTTCCTTTCGGAATAGTGTATAAAAGACGCACAACAATTTTGAGGTGCATTTCTAATCCTGAAAAGTCTTCAATCTAATCAATCATTGATATCTCTTCTGAAACCCCCCGGTCACTCTTTTTCGACAATGCCTCTTCTAAACCTGCCGAACGAGTTGATAGAAAGTATCGTCACTCTATTATGGGAAGAAAGCGACCTGAACGCCGTTGTCTGCACCAACAAGGAGCTTTATAGCATGTTCAACACCTACCTATATTCTCACAACATACGTAGATGCGAACTATATGAGCTTCCCTATCCGCGCTACGCACTCGTGTGGATCGCTCAGAACGAAGGGCCTCTGACAGCCTTTGAGATGGCACTTGATGCCAAGAAACAGAGCAGCTCGGACGCTGCCATGCACCTCGGACACAAAGCCTTTGAGCAAGCTGTGTTCAACGGGAGAGCCGATCTAATCAAATTGCTATTATCCCGGGATGACTGCTCTGGGGTGCATCCCAACTCTGTCAACGAGGCAGTTATTCGGGGCCATGAAGATGTCGTCAGAGTTCTTGTCGCTTCCGGTGTATTTGATCTAAATTGGCCTGGTCGCTACCAACGTACGCCTCTTTTCCAGGCAATTTGCCATGGGCATGTTGAAATCGTTCGTATATTGGTGGCGGCTGTGAACATGAATCAGCAAATGTGGATAGCAGCTTTGACTAAGGCTGCAGAGAATAGGGATCATGAGATTGTACAACTTCTTCTTGTTGCAAAGGCAGCCAAGTGACTTCGTTATCTCTTTCCCCTGGACAAGTGATTGTTGGTTGAGTTTTGCACGTCTTTTCATGCGGCTCAAGGTTGACGAAGTCAACCGAGGGAACAGATGACGGATTTGGGTGATGTACTTTATTGTAGGATCATATATATATAGCATGGAGTTCTAGGAATAAACGAGGTTACCTGCTTGCGACAAGATTTGCTTTGCACTTACTCCAAGCTGCCATGCCCATTTAGTTTCTATATAATACATAGTCGGGCCAGCGTACTTGTAGCCATCTTTGACCCAAGAGTCGGCTGGCTTTTGAACGTCAACAAAATACAAGTTTATTCTTCACATACAGCCGAGGGAGTTGAGTTGTATATGTAGACAAGAAGAAATCACGAGCAAAGATCTTATATAAATTCAACTACGGAAAGGTGCCAATGAAGCCTAACGACTATTCCCTCGTCCATATTGCTTCAAAAATCTCCCATCTACCAATCGATATTTCCAAACCGGTTGCTGAAAGTAGCAGTTGGGCCGTTGGAATCCAAAGTAGCAAGCTCCACGATGCGAGTAGCACCAACCTCCGGAGTATCACCATCATCAGGGCTCCCACTAAGTCTTGTATTGACTAACCCAGGGCAAGCAGAGTTAACCTTGCCTCCGATATCCGACAAAAGGCGGGCGTAGTTGAGCATGAGCAAGTTGACGGCTGCCTTGCTAGAGTCATAGGCTTTGATATCAATTGGATACCACCTAGAGCTCTTGTCCAGGGACTCGGCAAAGGTACCCATCTTGCTGGAGACAAAGACCACACGCGGCGGACCCTTAACTGCCTTCTTGAGAAGAGGCAGCAAGCTCTCAGTAAGCATAGCAGTGCCGATGACATTGGTTTGGAAGGTACGCTCAAACAGCTCCCAGGGGTCCATCTGGTTGAAATCGAGAAGTACCCCCGCATTATTGACGAGGACGTCGAGCCGGCCAAAGTCCGCCTCAATAGTTTTCACGGCGGCTTCAACAGAGGGTCTAGATGTCAGATCTAGCTGTACGTGGGAAGCAGAGTGCCCCAAGCTCCGGAGAGATGTGGCGAGTTCAGCTCCAGCAGCATCCCCACGAGAACCAATGATGACATGGTAATTATGCTTGGTGGCAAGCGCAGTCGCAACGCATTTTCCAATACCTTGGTTGGCTCCAGTGACAAGAGCAATGGTTTTGTCGGTAGCGGGAGACATGTTGATAAGTTGAGGCTTGGGAAGAAGATGTTGCGGATGATGCAAGTGAGGTTGAAATATGATATGGCGTCGTGAATTTGCACTTCTAAGATAGGTTGATGAAATAAGACATAGGAACTGCAGACATGACAAGTCTTAAATACATGGAATTGTGATCATCATAGCTTGGAATTGTAAGCCATCCGTCCCAAGCCCGCCGGATCTCGTTCGCCAACTCTTTATAACACCAGAACCGCCGGTATTATTTGGTGGGTCCCGGCGAATTTGGCCGGTTGCTCTGATTGATCGGTTGAAGCTGGGCGAGATGATTTTCAAGCCTGTTCACACTTCTTAATGCAAATTTGAATACCTAGAAACAAGACATTTGTCAGAAGTTGTCTAAAATTGCCACCGAGGTTTTCTACGGTAGCATGACGAATCGATCACGTCTCTGTCTCACCATATCCTGCCTCCAGGATATCACCAATTATGCGGGCCCTCTCCGAAGCATTATACTTCATTGCATACCCCAAAAGGGTTTGTATACCTGGATCTAATACATTCATATTCTGTGACAGGTCCCATCCAATACTGGAAGTGTTAATAATGTAGCCTTCTGCTATGGGGTATTTAGGAGTGCAGCGTCTCCCTCCGATATGAGACTCATGTGCTGCTGTGACCTTATTGCCAGTGGCGGCGCTTCTTTACAAAAAAGGGCCTCTACAGGCTTAAAGGGTAGCGAGTCTAATTATTGCCATCTTCCCTCAGATAAAATCTGATACCTCGTTAACATCCATTTATCCTACCTAATCACAAACCTCTAGAACCGCATCCTAAGCGTACTAGAAGCCCGCCAAGGGGAATTCGTTGATGAAAGGCTTGGGTAGCCGTGTCCACATCAGCCATAAGATGATCAAAGCAACCAGCTACTTCATTTTCAATTGGGTATCTAGCTATCTTTACAAGTATATGGTAGAAATAACTACATGTATGTAATAGCTGTGGAGACTCGGGCTCGGTAGTTGGTCGGCGGGCAAATGTTTATTTTATTCACGTGAATGGAGGGGTTGATGTTGTAAACCGTTCATATAGACAACGCCTCGGAGGGTCTCGGAGGGTTTTAAGTAATGTGTGGTTTTGGGGTAGGATAAATTGCCATGATTGAGTACGATCAAGCTTATGCGCGCGCACTGAAAAAGTGCCCCCGGCTCGCAAATCATGAACAGGCTAACATCGGAGCCTTTTTGTCTTCTTCCTTTTTTTAGAGACAAAATGAAAATTTTCTCCTCGCGACGAGACTCAGCTTGACTTCAGACTTCCTTGTATCAAAATCCACACGCCGAAGAAATGGCAACGAGTTTGAGTAGCCCTATCCGGGGCCTGATGCTAGCAGAAGGCGTCCTAAAGCTAATCGGCGGCTTCATCTTTATTCGTTCACCTCGGAATATTCTCTCATTAGCAATGCCTCGGCCGTTCCCCCCTTCATCATTGCTTCTAGTGCGAATGCTCGGAACCCAGACGGCGACATTGGGCGCCTGCTTGCTATTAGCATCAACAAAAACGCCAACAGCTGTTGCAAGTAGGCGAACCGCATACTGGACTGTTTTCATAAGGGATGTCACTTTGGTTGCTGTACTTGGCTGGCAACTGCTGTTTGCGGATGTTAACCAACCGCTCGGTTTGACGAGAAAGGGCTTACAGATGTGGATCGCGGAAATCTCACCCTTCATGATAGGGCATCTTTGGGTACTTCTGAGGCGCCCAAAATGGTTTTAAACGGCACGGTTCATAGGAATCTATAAGGTGCTGTAACAAAATCCTGTCTTGAGATAAGGTCACTGCCAAGGCGCCGTCTACGCAACATCTATGGTTGACGGTATTTTAGAAATACGAGAGGGGTGGTACCATTCAGAAAACGAAAGCTATGGAATTCTAATCTGACCTCATAAAACATCCATACATAATATGGCAACCAGAAGCCGTTTCCATAATTTGGAGCTCAAGTCTATGTTGGACTCTGATTTACTGAGGGACAAGGCTCAGTTTACCAGTCTTAATGTCAAACACGTAGCCACGGACATGAGCCTTCAGTTCCTCCCTAACAAGGGGAGAATCTTGCAAGAGCTTCATATCCTCCCGAACTACCCGATTATGGCTATGTTGGCGTTCAGTGATTAGTCTCAACCTTTTACATAAGGAGAATTACCGGGATAACTTACTTCTCCAGATCGCCGCCTTTGTAGGTTCCAAAGTCGAACTGATCGATTTCATTGGCCATTTGAGGGTACTTGGACTTCAAACTCTCGCGAACATCTGCAGTTGTAATAACAGTGCATCCGCAGTCTATAAAGGCTGGTTATTATGGTGATATGGCACATGCTATCCGATGTTAGGCAATATTAGTGGCTTACTGGTGTGATGGATAATGATGACCTCTTTCAAGGCCTGGCTCTTTGTAACTTCCTCAAGAAACAAAAGCGCGTGAAGCCCGCTCTTGACACGACCGCCCAGATTTCGAACGACCAAAGCCTCTGTCATGAACATTGTTGTCAGTACTAAACTTACTCAGAATGCGGCTATGGGATGAATCATGATATTACCATCCGGCTTCAGGTCCAGAAACTCCTCAACGGATGCACGGAAGTCGAGGCAGGCAACTAGAGGGGTGTGGTGTTAGCTCATGCAATCAATACTAGCCTGCGAGATACGGACATATGATGACAGATGGTATTGCCACTGGGCCCTCACCCAAGAACGTCTTGGGCTGATGCTTCGTCTCGGCGTAGACTCTATATATAGTAGATCAGCAGAAGTCGAGGTGGAAAATGAAACAAATATGAGCGAACCGGTTTCTCTCAAGGAGCTCATTCCACTTGGAAGCCATGTTGTTCAAGAAGGTAGTTGAAGATTAACTTCTTTAGTATTTGAATAGGTAGTGAAGGGGTAGGAACTCTTGTTTGATTTGGATGAAGAGAAGTTCTGATTGATGGTCAACTCGGGTGTAGGCTGCCTTTTTATAATCCAAAATCTCTCTGACTACCAAGGTGTTGTTCTTGGAGCAGACATGCTTCCATGTAAGCAAGCCCAGCCTTAACCCAAATTGGCATTTGCTGCAACATCCTAATCGAGGATGGGTGACGCTACAATCACTCGAACTAGATACGTTCGCTGGTAAGTCTTCCACCAAGCGCAGCACGTATTGAAGGAAGCATAAAGTGGCTGGATTTGTAATATTACATCATTTTGGATGATTCTATCCCTATCATGACCCTGAAAATACGGTCATACTTCCTTCTTCTTAGCTAGTTCCAAAAACCTGGCCAATTTCCAAGGTTCCATCAGACTCCAAGTACCTACGGACTCCTGGAAGTCAGAGTGTGTGGCGATGGCCGCATCTGCCGTCATGGCCTTTTGTGAGATTAAAAATGCCGCGCGGCCATGCTTCCCTGCTACAGAAACCTGGATCTCCTTTAATTCCGCGGCCTGGTTTTGTACTTCCTCCTCGAGGAATTCTCGCTCGTTGGGTGAGATGCAGAGTAACATGCGAGTAGTGAGGATATGGAGAACAATACATATTGCAAGCAGTTCATAGCGCTTGCCGGTCTCATCCTTTGCCGTGTGACAGACGTCCACGGCGTTCATAAGCGCTGTGTTGAAGCTACGGCGCCAAGCAATGATGGCGGATCGGAGGGACCGCAATTTCGCTACCCCAGCTTGGAGTTCAGCAGTCTCGAGGCACGTATCCGCTGATAACAATTGAAACGTCATCAGCGCAAGATTCGGGATCCTAGTCATGAAGGTCATGAGGGTCACGCCGAGGCGAGACCTATCGGAGAACGTATCTTGTGCGATGACAGCACTTTCAAGAACCCCAGTCCATTCAGGGTTGTCAAGGAAGCACTCTTGAGACGTAAATAATGCTTCAATACACTAAAACCATGGCGCTTTAGTTTGCCATCAAATTTTCTCGACGTGGGTGTGAGTAATGGCTACTTACAATTGGGTAGACCAGCGCGGTTATCAAACACCTGTCGAACTCGGACGTAAATCCATATGGCCCTCTTGCTTGTATGAGTTGTGAAGCTCCAGAGATGTGTCGACTCCACATGTGGCCTGTGGTGGGATTCAACACCTGCATTAGATCAGTGCCTTGGAACAAGACAGGAGGCTAGCTGCTCGGTAAGTGTTCTTCGTACCTCAAAGATTGCTAATAGTCCAATCGCACACAGTGTCTCTGCAGTGTATCTATTCACTTCGTCGTCTATGGCACATTGAAGGCTACGCAGAGCTTTCCCATAATCTTTCATGATCAGACCATCACTTGCCTTACGAGATGGAGCGAGGGTCGAATGCGCAACTGTGCGAAGACATTGAAATGCATTATGAAGCGCCTCGGTTTGTCCAACTCGTGATGGGATGAACGAAAAGTATGACTGTTGTCGGCAGATTAATAGGCCTGATAGAGTTGACTCTGTTCGAAGTATGGTCGATGCTCTGACACCATCCGAGATTAGCCTCCGTTTTGCTTCAAAGTTTCCCATCGAAGATGAAGAATTAAACAGTATGCAGAGTAAGTAGCCATACCTAATTCCCAGATGAATCGAGGTCAATGCAGAAAGATCGATAGGATGCAGCCCGTACTCCCCAATTTTGGTGACTTCTAGGGCGAAGGTCGGGACGGGATGATGGAGGCAGTGATGCATGTCTATTGCTGGGACTTCAGTGGGGAGTTTGACGTCAGCTTGGTTTTGCTTTCGGCGACTTGCGCTCGTAGCCTTCATTGCATGGCTTCGAATCCTGGACCGAACGTCATCCCGTTGCTTCCCCTTGGGCTGGTAGGCAATGAAATCAAACCCGTTGGCCCCGCACTCCTCCATGGTCACTGGATCGCAAAGTGCGTACAAACAACGGTGGGACAATTTTCTGGGCAAGATCCACGTTGGTTCAGCAGTGCAGGAGTGAATTATGATGTTGACCTAGTTCTGAAGTGTCAGACGGGGAGGCCATTGAATTACTAATGCTACATTACCAAGATGCCCACTTTGGCAGTTGCTGTCCAAAAGCGGCAGTTGCTCGCTTACACTCGTTCAGCCTTCGATGTGACACTAATAAGGCCATTTGATCGTTCAATCCTTTCCTGTTGTGGTCATCGGGAGAACAAGCCACGCATACATCGAACCCCGTAGACTCAAGTTCGGCCATGGCAATATCCAGCAGGGCAGGCCTTCCTTTTGCAATGACTCTGCCAGGGGACGTGTATACGTACAACTTCATTCGATTGGTGTAAGCCACGGGTGCCTCATGATTGGCTGGAGCTTCGGGCGCGAGCATGGCTCACCTTTTCGGGTCCGGCCTCGGCCATGTGACTTGATTGGCTACGCCCTCGGGCGTCATATCCCTTGGACGAAGACCCATAAGACGAAGTAACAGCAGTTTAATATATGGGTTATATAAGTCGCATTAACTTGGTTGATATCATTATCATATACAATACTAATGAAATAAAAGGCAGACTTGCGCCACACTTTTACTGTTATCCACTAGAAAAAGTAGAAGTCTCGTTCCCTCAATCCAACTCCCGGCACTCTCATACAACATGACAGGGCTTAATAGCAGCGGTGAAAAGAAGCCACCCGAGCTCAGCAAAAGTTTACCTGGGTCACCAATAGCTGCTGTTTCGCAAACTCTAAGCACTAACAACAATATACCCTCCCTTGAAACCCACGACCTTGAGAAAGGAACGTTAGACACGGGTCGAGATAGCCATGCCAGCTCCCCTGAGAGGCAAGATCCCAACCTTGTTACATGGGCTGGGCCTGACGACGTTGAAAATCCAAAGAACTGGCCTAACGGGATTAAGTGGAGGTACACCGTCGCTGTATCTCTCCTTGTCTTCATCTCGCCAGTGTCATCGGCCATGATCGCTCCGGCAATGGAAAACCTTGGCACCGAACTTGGCATGAACTCCGAGATTGAAGTGTATCTGTCCCTTGCCATCTTCATACTTGCCTATGCCGTCGGTCCCATATTCTTCGGCCCCGCCTCGGAACTCTACGGGCGTGTGCAACTCCTCCAGATCAGCAACCTGTGGTATATTGCATGGAATCTGGGCTGTGGGTTTGCGCAGAATAAATCACAGTTCTTTGCATTTCGTTTCCTTGCTGGTATTGGTGGCAGTGCTCCGCTTGCTTTAGGCGGAGGAGCCATCAGGTAAGATACTATGATATCCGGACTGGCTCATAGGGAGAAAGACGGCTAATTCTAAATATTTCACAGTGATATATGGTCTGCTGAGCAGAGAGGGAAGGCCATGGGGCTCTACACCTTGGGTCCAATGCTCGGTCCCGTTGTTGGGCCTATAGGTGGAGGGTTCATTGCCGAGTACACAACATGGCGCTGGGTCTTCTGGTCGACTAGCGCTGCAGCTGCTGTTGTCCAGCTGGTTGGGGTTTTCTGGCTGAAGGAGTCGCATCCTGCCACCCTTCTGAGATGGAAGCGTAATGCATTATTCAGGGCGACAAGAAACATCAACCTACATACGGAAGAGAAGCACGAGAGTTTCCCGGTCAAGCTTGGCAATGCAGTTCTGAGACCAGCGCGGCTGTTCGCAACTCAGCCAATTGTCACTTGCATCTCGGTGTATATGGCTTACCTCTTTGGAGTGACGTATTTGATGTTTGCGACGTTTCCCACTATATGGACGAAAATTTATGGCGAGAAACAGAGCATTGGAGGCCTCAACTACCTTTCAATCGCTGTTGGATCGTTCGTTGGCCTGTTCATCAACATCAGATTTGTGGACAGGATTTACAAGAGCTTGAAAGCCAAAAATAATGATGTCGGCCGACCGGAGTTTCGCATGCCGTGTATGATGGTCGGCTCCGTCATCACGACCATCGGTCTCTTCTGGTATGGGTGGAGTATTCAAGGTCGCGCGCATTGGATCATGCCTAACATCGGCGCTTTAATCTACACAGCTGGGACCATCTCATGTCTCCAGGGGATGCAGACGTATATAGTCGACTGCTATCAGACCTACGCCGCCAGCGCTCTGGCTGCCTGTGCGATACTGCGCAGCCTGGCCGGGTTTGGCTTCCCTCTCTTCGCCCCTTATTTATATAAAGACCTGGGCTATGGCTGGGGTACCACTGTTCTGGCCTTTTTGAGTATCGCGATTGGGTGGACTGCACCTTTTATTTTCTGGTACTTTGGCCCTAAGCTTCGGGCCATATCGCAATATGCTTCCGGCTAAGTTTGCACGAATCCCTACATAGATTGAGAGCGAAGGATGTCAATTTGGGAAGAAACGCGGTGCTACTCCTACGGTCTGGACGCAACTCCATGTAATATAAGAAAACACCACTCACAAACCAAACAATGAAATTAGGGAGTTCCATAGGGAAAAAATGGAAACCAGCTTCATGAGAACGTCACTTAAAAAAGAAAAAAAAAAAGAAAGGTCGACATAAAAGAAACAAACAGTAACTAGCTCTTCCACTGGTGCTGAGCTACCTACCCTAGACCGGCCTCACACCTCATCAACTCGAAGCCAACGTGAAAAACAAGAGATCACATAAGAATTTCTTAGCCATCCTCGCTCTTAAGATATGAAATGTGATTCAATTTCTAGGCTGGAATATGTTTATGAATGAGTTTACTATCGTTTTGCCTAGGTTCAGTTTAGTTATGTCAATGGGGTAACCAACGAACCACTAAGTCAACAAACCAACTGAAGTTTGCCTTCTCTTGACTCCCTAAATAATTCTGAAATTAGACTGACAAGTTCTAGATAAATACAAGTTTCTCATCTTGAGACTGACGATGCCATGCTGCGCCGGCTTACCACATCAAAAAGCACATTCCAGTGGTTTGAGGGCACAAAAGCATCAAGCCCCTGTTCTAAAAATGGGAGCTGTGGAGTTACTAAAAACAGCGTGTGATTACCCCTGCTTAAGCTCAATTAGTGCTGTCAGCCGTATCGGAGCGGCGATTGGAGGAGCACAGATATCATCAAATGCCCTTCCCAGCTCTGACCTTCTTTTCCTTTGTTTCTTTCCCTTAGATTGAGCTGACCTGCCCGGTGCACTATCGCCATTTCCTTCAATTCGCTTCTTCAACACCTTTTCTCTCACAAGAAACCTTCGAGCCGGACTCGAGGACTTATTTTCTCCCTTTGACTTCACGTTGAAGCTGAAACCATAGCAAACGAACGCGACTGCCGCATTCCTCGAAAAGTCTCACTGCGCGTCAACCTCCGCCGGACGTTTGCATTAGGTGATCCATTCGCTTGGCCAACACCTATCGCCAGTTACAAAACCGATTTCTACAATTCTACATTTCGCCGCCTGTTTATACTTCCCTTCCTCGTCGACTCTAAAAAACACTCGAAGCGAGAACGAGCAGGACAATCAGAGATCTCTGCCTCGCCCACGACAAGAGCAAGGCACCACGATTAAAACGAATCCTAAGCCTATCTTTCCTAAATCAACCCGCCATGCTTCTATCCATTCCCCAAGCCGCAGTCCTACCTTCGGGCGCATTCATGGACAAGCGCGTTTTCCTTTACCGCCGATCCGAGGCGCCAGCTGCCAGCCCGAGACCCTCCCATCGAACGCATTCCCGATCACACTCTGCTTCTTTGGTGGACATCTTCCGGGAAGATGCTGAAGACATTGTCGACAAGCGACTCCGTGTTTTACAATCTGCTTGGGTATAATCGTGTCGGACACAATGCTCGAGCGTATCGAGGAGGGGTGGACTGAATGGATGTCCCCGGGTTTGTTGTCGTCCTGCGAGGCCAGGCGGCGCTTTTCAGCTGCGGAATGCAGAATTCGATTTTGTAGATACTTTTTTAATTTCTTCTTTTAATGATGAGGTCTATTTCATATACTTGGGGTGTCTCTCGGTAAACGTCTCTCGGTAAACGTCTCTCCATGGCATTAATTTCTTTCACAGTTTGTTTCCGACTTGTTGCCTCACTCTTCCTCCTCTTTTCCGTAAATGGTATCTATACAAGCAGCGACGAACAGAACAGCATAGACAACTGCGGTTACGATATTGATAATCGCTATGGCCATCGCGGAGGGCTTCTTTTCGGGCCACTGTGATTCGCACAAGTCTTGCCAGTTATTATAGACCAACGTTCTACTGGGCGTACGGTTGCAACGGCGATCAATATCCGAGATGGAAGTCCACTGTAAGTATGCGACAACGACGCATGCGAGCGCAAGGACTAGTGAGAGGCCGAGTTGGCCAAGGGGTAGGATCCCATTGAGAACCCCAGGGCCGGGCCTACCCTTCAAGACGAAGATGAAGGCCATGACTTCGATCAAACCCCATCCTATGGCGATTGCAGGCTACCGAGGAGATGTTAGATGCCATTGCAAGTGAATCAAATGGGATGAGACATACCACCGGGAACGAAAACATGACCGAAGACGAGATCACGTCTCTTTTCGGAATCAGGCTCAAAATCAGGCCTATAGAAGAGATAGACAACAGTATCGCAAGTATGTGCAAAATCAATTTCGAATAGGCCCAGAGTTTTCTTTCCATGAAGGCTGGTGTGTGTACCTGTTCGAGGTGAGGGGGAATCTCCCGCTGGTGGTCACCATCCCAATCGTGTTGGTAGGGCTGGCCGCTATGATTGGGTACCCCATTTTGAGCATTTGGGATGAGATAGATTAGGGGAATCCCAAACTTCGAGGCCTCATTTGGGGGTCCATGGTTGCCATATTCGTGATAGGTCTGGTACACTGGGCCATGGGAGCCAAGGGCTCTCCTACTAGCCTCATTCCTAGAGACAGGCTCACGAGCTGCGGTTGGGATAGGATGAACAGGAGCATTCCCGTCATCGCCATCATTTTGATGAAGTATATCCGGCGTAATAGATGTTGGAGAAGAGGCACGAGGTATCTGCTTGATAGACGCCTCAGGTTGCGAGGAGGGACCGCCTTCCTCGTCGCCAACTATGGCGCGCCTTCGCTGGGCTGGGGTGAGATGGCTGAGTTGTGGATTTGGGTTCTCTTTCTTGTTATTATGAGGGCTGGATTTTGGGTCTGTGTATGCCTGTGTCTCGAAGTTCCCATCATCGGTCGGCTCAGCCCGAGTGGAGGAGTAACCCAGTTCGTCGTTAGGTTGGCCGGGACTTTGATGAGCGTGGCTGCGAAGACTCGCCCCTTCCTCCATGTTCCGGTATGTTAGAGTGTAATCACGTAGCAGGATGTTGTTTGAGGGTTGTGAGATGCGTCCGGGGTGAGAAATTTCATGGATCCGAACTTGCTTCCATTCTTTACGCTGGATAGGTGACTGGAGCCATATCTAAATCAAGGAACGGATGCGAGGTGGAAGTAAAAATCAAAAATACTGACTGAGAATCAAGGTTGAGAATATGCGGTTCCGTATGGGGGAATGTAGGCAGCAACAGACAAATTCCGAACCCTGTCACTTTACATGGGTGACCAAAGTCCACATGACTCCGTCCGAAATCTGTCTGCTAGAAAGATAAGTTGACTCATTTAGGGCTGATATTTACTGTTACCGCCTAGGGAGGATTATGAAATATTACGAACAGCCGTTCTGATTGGTATGCCAAGAGGCTGCCACCGCATCACATACGGACAGGGGAGTGATCACACCTTCTTTTTGTGGCAAATAGCATTTCATCTCTTGCGAAGATGATAGAACGAAATGATTTTGTGCAAATGAAGGAGCTATCATATGTGAGTCACAAACGATCTCCGAATCAATTGTAATGTATTGACCTCAATCCTTCAGCCTATCATCTTCGTTAGGTGTGATATACTCAAACAATCAACGACAACATTGGACCTTATATAAAGTGGTTTAGAATAGTTATGGAATAACTCTTAATTAATTCATGACGATTGAAACATTCGCAAGCCATTCCGGAAAATTCCCTTCACAACCTAGGCCTCTAAGAGGCCCTCCAACAGTTATTTTAAGCTAACCATCTAAATTCAGGATTTCGACAATGTGAGACACGCTCATCCTAGTAGAAGAAAGAGGTGGTTTGCTTCGCTATGTTACATAATGCATCTTGTCAAGCAACTTCCTAGCCGTAGGAATGCCCAAAACCCACGTCCATCCCACAAGCAACTGAAGAACTTCTCGCCCTTCACTCAAAAGATATCTTGAGCCCAGAAGTCTCCTAGCGTATTGAAGTGGCGTCTCACCAGCGTTGTTTCTTGCATTGAGGTCTGCGCCACGTTCCAGTAAAAGTTGAACCACCGACGCATGATGGGTATTCACAGCTGCCATATGAAGTGCCGTATTCCCTCGCGCGTTACCAATTGAAAGGCTAGCACCTTGGTCAAGAAGGTGAGCTGTGAAATCTAAGACTTCAGTTTCCCCCCATCTTTCAGTAACTTTGAGCGAACAAAGCCAAGTGTGTAGAGCGGTTGCCTTGTAGTCGTTGTACTGGTTTATGTTTCCGACCACGGACGCGAGATATCTGACGGTCCATGGAAGGGAATCCCGCCAGGTGAAGTCAATGATAGATTTTTGCAGCATTGTCTCTCTGTTAGCGATCTGGTTGACGTCAAAACCGTGTTTGATGAATATCCGGAGCATTTCGATGCTATGACAAATAAACCGCGTTTGTCTGCAATTTGGTATCTGACCAACCCGAAGAGGACCAGACAAGCCAAGAATGTAGTCTGCGAGCATGACATTGTCGGAATATATGCAACTAGCTAGACAAGGCTTTATCTTTTCGTAAGTCAATGAGAGATCGTTGTTGGTTACCCGCCGAACATAGTCGATTAACAGCTGAGCCTCCTGCACGGCTTTGTCTCCGTCTTTTTGAAGAGGTATTTCTGTCATTGTATCTAAGATAAAACTCTCCGTCAATAGCCTGGAGGGATAAAGACTCAACAGCTTTCGAAAAATTACTATGGCGCCATCGCGGATCGCTTGCTTGAAGAGGTCACCCAGATGGCCGGGTGCACCCTCGAAAGCTTCAATGATGATGCCTCTTTCCATGAAAATTTCCAGAATGTCTAGACGATCGCGGTTTACAGCGGCCCGATTTGCGTTCGAGATAAATATGACGTTGGGTCTCAGTGATAGGAACCCTTTCACGACGGTACAGCTGGCTTCTGCGTCGGAGCATTCAATCGCGTATTGTAGAGATGTAACCTCACGAAGGTAAGGCTCTGCCCCGCGGTCCAGAAACCAGCGTGCCAGATCCCAGTTACCCCTTTGACAGGCATAGTCAAGCACTGACCTTCCATGACAAGAGGTCTTTTGCAAGTCCAGTCCTTGGATTCGGATGATATCATTGATTAGTGGTGGGCAACCTGATGCCACTGCCGGAAAGATCGGGCTGTCTGGTTTTATCCCAGCCTTGAGTTCATCGATAACCGGCTGCAGTCTCAAGAGGCTCCGTGCGATGTTGTATTTTTTGCACGCGATTGCATATTTGACGTGAAAAGAATCATATAGCTGTGGCGTCCAAGTAAGAACTGCGTTTAATGTCCACCGGGACTCATGCGCGATTGCCCATCCGAGGGCAGGACGGTGGAAACCTTTGTGGGTTGTGCAGGAGGACGTGAAATCTTCGTGCCACCAGTATTTATTGGTGTAGCAAGGACTGTTGGACATTCGCTCGTTGAACTTGTAGAGAAACGGCATGACAATGAATTTAAATCGTTTGCAGGTGAGCGATAGAGATAATAAATCCTGCGCCGTGGAAACAACCAGGTCTTCGGAGACATATTCAGCAATTCGGATTATCAGCTCAGTGGGTAGGAATTGTAGGTAGTTCTCCTGGCAGCCAACGTTGGTGCCGGGGAATGCCAACACAATGTCCGAAGACGAGGGCATGATTTGAATGAGATTTTGAGAGTTGAAAGCAGTTGGGTTGAATGAGCTTTTTGTGATGTGTAGCTTGTTGAAAAGCGCTTTTCTGTCAGATGGTGAGGACTGGAGAGGGTACGCCTATTTATGCAATTTTTTCTTGGTTCCCAAGATTAAGATTTCTATGGTACTACCTGTGGACAGGCACCGGTTTGCCAGGGGATAGGCATGGGTCTACCAGTGGATGGGCACGGGTCTACCAGTGGTTAGGCAGTGGTTAGGCAGTGGTCTGCTGGTGGAATGAGATGGGCATTGTCCTACCATCGGAGGGGCACCGGCCTACTAGTTGTTGGGCGGTCGCACGGGGGTAACATGGTGGTGTCTCACCTTACCAACACCTGCTATCATCCAGTTAGATTGTTGTTACCATGGAGCTCCAGTTCTGCAGCCTTGACGTTGCTTTTGTCTGTGACTGGGTCGGTGGTGCGAGGCACAGGCTCGATGCTCGAAACTTGGCTTGTGTGTGATGACGAAGGCAGCGAAGTGCGAAGTGAATATAGGATCTTTCGTAAGTACGAGGAGGGCTTTTCAGTCAGGGCTATGTAGTATCTTGAGGTTCATGAGGGGAGTTGTGCCGACGAAAGAATGACCATGCCAGAAAACTGTTACCATTAGCCTTAATTATTATACACAGTTGAACAAAATGTTACACTTTGGTGTGTTGGCTGTATTGTGATGCTAGGTATCGCATCAATTGTCGATTTCTTGGTGTTTAGGAATTACGCACCCTCCTTTATTTTTCTCAATAGTTGCCTTACAGCCTGCATAGCTCTCTCACTTAATAATGCTGCCATGACTATTCAATGAGAAATTTAATTCCATTCTCATTTTATGGAATGTTGCGAGCCTCTCAAATAACTTCGGCCTTTGTCCATTACTCTTTGTTTTCTTAACAACGAGACTAACTCAGTCTAAAGGCATGTCTTTACGGGAGAACTTGAGTGTAAAATTAATAATAATAATAATAGAACCTGCTAGAATCTGACATCTCAACAGGTTTCTAGCTGAAAAAGCAAGTAAGGTATACAGAGTTTTTACATCCCCGTTCCACCAAATAGACTTCCTTGCCCGGAATCAACACCCAGAAAACTGGCAGAGTTATCCTGCCATAAACTGTTCCCCATCTCAAAGAATGCTGCACCATTGAAGTCCCAGGCATTTGGGGAATATTGAGGCTCGTCATCCAGACCGATACTTATTCTGTTGTAGTTTTGAACCATGTGGTGGTCTAAAGTTCCTTGCGGACCCCTAGACGCAACGCATGGGATATTTTCCAGCTTACGGACTAGAAACAAGCTGTATTCCAGATAGAGCGATGCCCAAGAGGTGCTTGGTAGCTTGTTTGCAATTCTGCCAAAGTGCTCTGCGAGGTTCCGGATCAGTGTCGAGGCTTGCTCTTGCGCTTCTTGCGAGATGGCAGGACATTTGAAAGACTTCTCTATCTTAGCCAGGGTATTTCTGGTGCAAATTTTGGGATACTCACCCTGATAACTTCTGTCGCTGCATGGGATATCATGACGAATGGAGTATTATGATAGCCTGATGCCAGAGAGCTGAGCCTTGCGTCATGCACGAATAGACGGATAATCTCGCAGCTAATGTTAAAGATGTCATGGAGTACAGAATTGATCTTGTCCTGAGAAGCGTTTAGCTTTACCAAGTGCTTGTATGTGTTGTTTCTAATTAGTAAAAGGCCGTGGTTGACTTCGAAGGTAAAAACAGCGGCGAACATTGATTCCAATTGAGAGCCGTCTTGCCGAGAATAACTCGTCCCCTTTAGCTCTTCAAGCTTGGATGATGCACTTCTATCCCACTCGGCGATAGAGCTGAGAGTCTTTTGCATTCCGAAAAGTCGCTCCAAGGCTTGCAACTGTATGAACCCAGTAAGTAACATGGATAAGATATTGCAGCGTGGTAAGCCTACCAAGTTGATGCGTAGCTGAACAATCCCGGTAATGGCCAGGTCGCCAGCTGCGCTGCCAGTGGCACGAGCCCAAGCATGCAATTCCGGCTGCATCTCTCTCCATGAAACACAGGGTGCGCGACCTATGGTGATGCCAAAACTTTTGTCCATAAGGAAAACAAAGATCCACGTTCTCTCGTAGTTGCGGACCTGGCGATCACGGATGCCGGCGTACATGTTTCTATTGGACGCGTTGAAGTTGTTGACTTTCTTCTGAATGAACGAAGAGTCATTGATTTTCAGTTCGCGGGCAATCGACAAGGCCTAGATGCAATGACATATTTGTCCTAGTGTGAGAAATCTGAAATATTCTGAGTAGCTTGTCAGGGGGACTTACATGACCGAAACGCAGCCAAGAAGGATCATCAGCGTAATTCTGAGCGGCATGGCTCCAGAAAGTAAACATAATAATAGCCTGAATAATCTCAACAGTCTTCACCGAGTTCAGAATCGACCACTTTATATTTCGTTCGGCCATATTATAGAGTAGAGGTGCGAGTAAAATGTCTCGATGACTCAACGAGAGCTCACATCCTAGAGCACAGATGACGGAGAATAATGTGAATGAACAGCCGTGCACATATTCTGCCGTGTGTAGATCTGGATCAAGGATGCCCACAGAAGGGTGGCGGATTTTGAAATACAGCTTGAAGTATTGCAAAACTTCTTGTTCATTGACGAGACCTGCAGAAACAGGGTCGCAAACTTCAGGATTCAGTCGGCAAAAGTTGTCTGGTGGTATTCCAGTCATCACGTCCCAGTCCCTCAAATCAAGTTCCCTAGGAGCTAAAAGGCAAAGGTTAGCATTGAGCTTCAACTATTGGTCTTTAAGCCCTGCCAAACGTTTACTATTGTAACTGTAGAGAACTGACCAAAATACTTTGCCAACTTGCTATCTGCTATCATTGCTGCACGATTCTTTTGAAACTGGCCCGGCATGGATGGCTGTGAAAGAGGCTCGGGAAATCGAGGTGGCGGCACTGGCCTCCCTGCCCAACCTTTGCTGGTTGAACCAGGGGGAAATCTTTCCACTCCAACAGCTGCTGCCAATATCAATAGTGGAGAGCATTGAGACTCAGCAAGATCAGTTTCAGATAAGTCGTCGCTGGCGACTGTCGGAAAATGTTCACTCTGGCCACTGACCCTGTGCCCATGGAATTCTGAATAGGTGCCACGCCTGGGATTATCGGAGTCGGACTCTGGGTGCTCTAGATACAACTGCGAGCTGTTTTCTATGGGCGAAGCCGATATGGTCTCGTCTCTTAATATGTCGTTGGTGATTTGTCGAGAAGTATCTTGATTACTTGGGACCTTCCAGGGCTCTGCGTCTGGCCCTGGATCAATCGAACCGGTTTCATGAGGCCCCTCCCGACTTTGTTCTGCCTCAATTGCAGCAATTAGATTTTCTTTTAGGAGCGGATCTGAAATGCGTGATAAAAGATCTCTTAATCCGAGCGGCTTGCTAATGTAAAACATATTACGTCAACCTTCAATATGTATCGTATCAAGCGAATATCACTCACTTCACTGTTCCAGGTTTGCGGCCGCGATTAGATTTACTGGGGTACGAGCAAGCCGTTCCGTAAACCTTACAGCGGGAGCTTGTTTAGCTTTGTGAGCCCCTGTACAAAAGGAGATTGAGGGTTTTATTTTTGTCTCATAATGGCCACATACCAAGGGTGCTGGCGATCACACTTCTGCCTCGCATTGCGACAAGAATAGCAGGCTGTAGCCGGCATTGGCGTTTGCGGGGTGGAGATCTTAGAGTTCCCTTGCGAGGACTTCCTGGTCTGAGCTTGTCGCCGCATTGTGCTTGTCTAACGAAGTCTTACAAAACAGGCTTAACCAAATGCGATGTTGATGAGGTGAAGGGGATCAAGCGGATGGTTAAAGCCCGCGGGGAAGTGAAGAGACGCAGATATCGAAAGAGGAAATCCCGCCTTTGTTTCCAGGTGGGTTCTCTCTCTTTCGTCGCCGGTACAACAAAGCGGTCCGGCTACATTGGTCAGCCGACTCCCCAGTCCACATTTCTCCTAGTTTCGGAGGTTCGAATAACGTTAGCGTTCAGCTATAAATGGTAGCTAAGCAGATGTTTATGTACAGGTTCAGTCTGGTGGTACAGTCAGAGATCCAGGAGTCAGCCCCTTTCTTTAACGCCAAGCATGCGGAGTGTCGAACAGTCAATGCCCTCGATAGAACAAATAAAGGATATACAATTATGGTTAATAGTGAAGTTGGGCAGCGTTTGGGGAGACTGATAGGTAATTTTCTGGATGTTAATGCACTCTGGAGGGTTAGAAGAACTACGGACCATTCCCTTATCGAGTATTCTGACCGGCCAGCATCAAGCTCAGGGATCTCCCCACAAATTATGCGAGCAAGGTCTGGTGACCTGAAAAAAAGCCCAAGTAGGTTGGATACTGGATTAAGTAGGAAACGGCAACATCAATTAAGATGCCTATGTTTGGATCGTCTGTGGTTGGGCCCCACAGATGCAAGATTCCGCGGCGTTCAACTTGGACACCGCGGTGTCTTACCCCTTGAGGTGCATAAACCGGTCCCATTCTCTTCGCCGACCTTCTAAAACCCTGTTGTCAATCAAATATAAAAAGCTATCAATGTCGAATAAAAGGAAGCTTCCGAGCCAGCGATGTCAACTTCTCCCGACATTCCAACGTGACCCCGATCCTTCAAGTTGGGAACCTACGATGGCTGGCCGCACGCTGCTTACCAGGCTCGATGAGCTTTGCAATGTCGATGTCGACGATGCTGACATTGAATTCATCAAGAGTCTTCCACTGAAGCCATATAACCGTAAGCTTTATACCCAATGACTCAATCGAGGGCCTTAACTGACGAGCAGAAGAAACGTCAAACCAGGCTATTATCACGCAGGCCATTACCTCGACAACGAATAGACCAATCCTGAGGGACTGCATCAAGAACTACGGCTCCCAAGGTTGGGAGACAGTCTTTGAGAGAGTGGTAAGACAAGATTCTATCTGTTACGTTATGAAACTTTCCTAACGTAGGAGTAGTCCGTCCGTATTTGTGCGAATAACGTCCCTCTCATCATGGGTCGTGTCTTGATCCAAACGTCACCTAAGCACATTCACGACGACATGGCAATAGTCAACCAGTGTCGACGCTTCGCGGCGGCTTTTGAAGAAGCTGGTGTTCCCAGGGATAGATTTGCGATCAAGATCCCCTTCACTGGTTCGGGCGCCGTAGCTTCCAGAACTCTGAACGCTGAAGGAATTCGAACTTTAGCCACGGCGGTGTTTTGTCTAGAGCAAGCCATTGCTGCAAGTCAATCCGGGTGTCTTCTGATCAGCCCATACTTCAATGGTAGCTCACATTTCTATGTTAAATTTGCTTGGATGGCTTGAGATTGACATGCTGCAGAAATCGCAGCACATTTTGACCCGGCACTGCGACCAAACGTGGTGGATACGGCACTCGAGGTATGATATTGATGACAATCTTGGGAACATGTGTCAAGCTAATAGTGTCATTGAAGCATCCTATGTCGCCTCGGATCATTCAAATGTTGGAAGCTTTCAAGACTTTTTACACAGAAACCGGCGAGGAGCAGCCAATCATGGTCATTGCAAGGTTGGTCACATGTCCCACCATTCGAGTGACGATGCTAAGTGTCTCAGCCACCTCTCTCCGGAGGAGGTGTTAGCAATGGCAGAGCTCGGCTGTCAGCACGTTACAGTGTCGCAGGATAATTATCGACAGTTAATAGCATCGCCTGATGAAAGTCCTGCAACTACTCGTACTAAGCCAACCCACCCTTATGCTGGTCTGTCGACTCCTGAGCGGCTTCAGTCATTGGCGCAAAAAGATCCGTTATCAGGGACGGAAAAGAATGGCCTAGCGGCGTCATTGGATACGGATTACGTTGCGCAGAATGGGAAGATACTGGACGCGGCTATTGAAAGAGATTATGTGGCTACGAAACGGATGAACGATGCAATGAAATTCTTTACAGAGTGGGAGGAAAAGGCCAAGCAGATTATCGAGGATGGGATTTCCAAGCTCAGCCTGACGTAAGGCATCAGTGTAGGAAGTTATGGATGCGTATGTTCACGTTCAACTCTACCACTCCGTCCACGTTTGTTGAGAGCGACGACATAATACCTTGCTCCTCTGACTTATCTAACTTTGGTTATTCATGACAACTGACTACAAACTCGTAAACATTGTCAGTGTGTCTTTATCCAATCTATGGATTCCTAAACCCCAACCCCTACTGATGTCTCAGATTCCTCGTCGTGTACGATTACGCGGATGTAGTCAAGCATGAATACAGTAGGTCCCGCTAACTTCGTCCTCCCCCGGAGAGCGTGCACGCCATTCACCATAGGTTCGCTCGGTATCCTAGAAACAACTCGTCGGAGTGTGGGAATCTTGAGGCCACTCACATCCTTGACGTCAAAGCAGTAGTGTGACGCTGGTGCCTTAAATGCAGTTGGTGCGTAGTCTACTCTGCGTAGCATCAAGTCTTCGTCAAAGTAGAAGAGCTGGACCTTGCTATGCGCCAAGTGGTGGTCTGGAAAAGTGACTTCAAGAACGCGCCATGTCTCATCATTCTCCTCATGCAAATCAACCTCTCGGTATTCGAAACCAGGCTCAAGAAGGTGGAATGGAAATGTCAAGTAGTTATACAAGGCATAACCAGCGAAGCACGTGAGGTCTAGATCATCCCACGGCGTTGTCAGGGTATGCTCAAGAAAATTCGCATAGGGATTATCTCTGGAGGCTAACACAGTGCCATCTCGACGCTCTATCCATGCGCGTTTGGGAGTATAGATCCATTTATCGTCTTGCTTTCCGGATACAAGCCCTTGGAACACAACTTTTGCGTCTCGGACATTGACGTGGCATGTAGGTTGAAGACGCGTCGGATACCCTTTCCATTCGAGCGCTGACCCGGTAAGATTGAGGGAAATCTCTATGTGGCTGACCTTGTTCCAGCGGTCTATTCCACCATGAGCCTGAATAACCAAAGCCGCTAGGTCCAGACTTTCATCAACTGTTAGCATTGAGATGATCCTCAACATTTGAGTTTTCTCACCTTCCTCCTGTCGGCGCTTTACCATTGCCAGAGCTTGACATCGTCACAAATTTGCAAACAGATCTATCAGAGCACCTGATAATCAAAAGAATTGTAGCAAAAGCGAAGAACATGGCATGAGGGTGATATTAAATGCTTGAATAAGCCCTCCCCTTTAGCATTATAAAAGTCGCCGGAGCTAATTAATCATCTCACTTCGTCAAAGAGTCGGATACCGTAATTAATAATTGTCTCATACACAGGTAGCCAGTACCCACAATAAGACGGCTTGTTTACGTACTCTGCCGTCAGCGTTCACTACTATATTTGTTTATATTTACGTGGGCAATCCAAATTTGTAATATCTCCGGTGACTTGTTGCTGCATGCTAAGGTCAAAGTCACTCCTCCCAGTATACAGCACGCTCAGCCTCGTTAACACAATGTAGTAGGGTTCCAAATGCTAAATTTATCCTTCACTATCTAATTATCCAAATCTTCTACGCCATCCCTCCGCCATTCACTTCAACCTTCCTTCGACCATTGACCTCAATCTTCTCTTGGCCATTGATTGCAACATTCTCTTCACCATTCATTGTAATCTTATGCTTGCCGTTTACTGCACCATTAATGTCAACCCTCCTCTTACCGTTCAATTCAACCTTGCAATTCGTTTCTTTGACTTCCTGCACCGTTGCTTGGTACTCTCTTGTCCATTCCTCGTTGTTACTGCGGATAAGAACCGCTCGATATCGAATTTGTCCTTCCCTTAGCTGTTGCATAGCAGTTTCGATACCATATGCATCAAGTGGGAACGTCACAATGGTCGGTTTTATGTTCTTACGAGCAGCAAAGTCCAATAAGGTACGAATGCTGTGCCTTGAAGCCACTAGCGAGCCCTGGATCTTGACTCCTTTCCATACCAAATCAAGAAGGGGAATCGGCACGGGCTCAAACGCTACCGTCAAGGGGTAAATACTGCCGTGAGTATCCATCAGTGGGATGAGGCTATGGTAGGAGTTAGTACTGCAGATCGAACGATAAGTAGGTGATCCAGGAGTGTTACCTCAGATAGTCGACAGAAGCGCTACCGCACAAGAGTAGATGCTTTAGGGGCTTGAAGTTCACAGGAGGCTTGTCACCACAACGGAAGGCGTGGTATTCGCTGGCGCCGTAATCCATAGCCTCCTGGCGCTTCGTTTCCGAGCTGGACAGGACTACAACTTCACATCCCATGGCAGCAGCAAGCTTGATAGCAAGGTGTCCAAGTCCCCCGATACCCATAACACCAACTCTCTGGGTTGGGAGCACACCATACTCGCTCAAGACAGTCCACACGGTAGCTCCAGCGCACATCAACGGCGCCGCGTATATAGACTTGTAGCCATCCGGAATCTTGTACACGCACTTTGCGTCCCAAACTGCGTTGTGGCTAAAGGTCCCGTTATCGAGGTCGTGGAAGCCGTATTGTTTCTGGTTCCTGCAGTACTGGTCCCAACCTGTGAATCAGTTAGCACTCAACCCGTTGGTTACTTGTAGTAAAAGAGAGGACATACCTGTGGCGCAATTATCGCAAACTCCACATATCTCGTGGGTGTATCCAAAGCCGACACGATCACCACGCTGGACCGATTGCACGCAACTGCCAACTTGGCGAACAATGCCTATTCCTTCGTGCCCCAACACCTGACCACACTTGAGGTAATGCTCGTCGGTACCACAAAGTCCGGAATGCGTGGTCTCGATGAAGACTTCGTGATCTTGGAGAACTCGAGTGACTTTATCTTGGGAGATCTTGCCCTCTGGCCCTCCACGAAAGACAGTGTATGTGACCTCCATTATGGGATTTGTTCGATTTGTTGACTTTGGCCTGTCTCGGAGCCAATTGCTACTGGCAAATGGTTTTATATTTATATTCCTCATATATACATCCTTGCTCTGCACCAGTGGGGACATTCGCAGGAACGAAGAATGTTGTACATGGATTGCCTGCTTCCAAATTGACCTATCGAGGCTAGGATCTGTATCAAAGTGGAGAGCTCAGTAGATGGATAAGTCGGCAGCTCAGACTGGAGGAGGAATGAAGTTAGTCTGGTGATTTATGTCGATGACAGGAGATGATTCGTGGCGTGTCAGCAAGGTTCGGAGGCATCTCGATACCCAGGGAATCCCGGCATGAGGCTCCAAGTGGCCCAATACAAGGTAACCGAAAGCTTGGGGCTGACACAAGGAGATCCACGTGCAGCCTGATTGGGGCAGCGGCTGTCTCTTCTTAGCTCCCGTAACTTATGATACCCCTATTCCCTTACTATTGTTGGTTTATTTGGATCAGGGTTTGGGACTTCCGTTCCGAGAATTATGGAGGTCACGCCACCTTAGTTTCGTAAACATGTTACCCTATGAACATGTCACAATTCATCCAAGGTCCATGGGCTTTGCAGGCAAACATTTCACGCTACTTGTGTTGAGAAAGATCCAATATAATTTAACATGATAGTATTTATATCCTTTATATATCTCGTTTTTTTAACAATGTAAAAGGAATTGGTTTTTTTTAATTTAAAGCGGCCTTCTCTTTGGTATAAGTTGGCTAGGGATATGCTAGAGTCTTCTTATGCTGCGTATTATATCCACTTAATAGAGAAGCTTTTTTATTATTTAAAAATAAATCTCTTATAGAAAAAGATTTAAAATTTTTTTATTTTTTTTTTAATTATTTATAAAAGATATTAGTTTAATATTAGGTTATAAGATATATACTACTATAGTTATTTAACTAGGTATATAATCCTATATATATTTATAAGTAATATATAGATTAACTAGCTAGAGATTAAAGAGATTATTTCTAATTACTTATATTACTAAATCCCTATATCTTAAGCTTAAAGATATAATCTAGCTATAAGATCTAGGTTTATATAAATAGGTAAATTACTAAAATAAACTAATACTAATTAGTATTATATCTAAATATATAATATAGACTAATAAGGGAGGTAAATATAGGATTAATCTAATATAATACCTCTAAGTAATACTTTAACTCTTTCTAAAGGTTTAATTAGTAATTATAAAAGTATATTATTTTTAAAATATATCTCTATCTTATAATTTACTAAGCTTTAGCTCTTTAGAATATCTTAATAAGTAATTATATAGATATATTATTTTTAAAATATTCTCTTTCTATAAGATTACTTATAATCTCTAAAAGTATTATTTATATATAAAAAGATAATTAGAACTCTTAGTTTAAAAGATTAATAAAAATAATAATATAAGTAAAAAAGTAGTAAAAGTAACTATTACTAAGTAAATATAAAGAAATAAATAAGAGATAAAAGTAGAACTTAAAAGAATTACTAAGCTTTATAAACTTCTAAACTTATTAAATAATATTATTTAAATACTAAATATAGAATTTTTCTATAATATAAATTATAAGCTTAATAGATCTTATAATATTATAAATAAAAATATAAAGAATACT